AATTACTTTTTGGGTTATTGGGAAGTTAAAATCTCTCTTTTGTTAAAAATGTGTATAATTATAATTTTTCAGATTACTGCAACCAAAATATTATCTTACTCCAATAATTCAATTAATTTATGTTAATAAAAATTAGAACACCGCTTTAAAAATAATAACTTAAAAGAAATACAGTTTTTAAACTATAAAAACACACACGATGTGTGTAAATATGCGTAGGTTTAAAATTAAAGAATAATTTTTGTTAAGCTAATAATGACAGAATATGTATGTTTTGAAAACTTCAAAAACTAATTAGTTTATTTTTTAACCACACTAGAAAAAACCTGAGCAAATAAACTTATTTTGTTTGCAGTGTTTTATGATCTGCTTTACCTTATGTCAAACAAATGTTCTTTCCTTAAATTCGGACCAATCAAATGTTAAACCCACTTCACAAATCATGTCTCTATTACATTCACTCACTTCTTCTCTTTACCGTAACCTCTCTAACTCGATAAACTATTTCATATTTCACCTTTTTTTTAACATGCCAAATCCATCGCTATCGTTCTCTTTTATTATTCTTACTATTGGCTAACTCATAAACTTCCTCTTACATACTAATTAATTATTGTGTCTAACCTTGTCACTCCACAAAACCATCTCTCTAGACTCATTCCAACCACTTCCATTTTTCTTAGCATCTTTTTTATTCAGTACTCAACTATAATGGATATAAGTGAGTTATATTCATTATATCTGGCTAAGTACAGTTTTATATAATTTTCATGTAAACACACACTTATTCTACTTGTCACACCTTCTACACTATCGTGATCTTGCAAATAGTGTGTGATGTGATAAATGCAAAAATGGAATTGGAATTAAAATTCAAGTCTGCGTGAAACTGTAACTGCGAAATTGGTAGAGTTGGTATACTTAAAAACAATGTATTATATGCTATACATTATGCGGGTTATTTAATTATGTATATGTATAATAAATGTACAATTTTCGATATGTGTATTTAGACAGGGATAGTAACTTGTATCGTTTTGAAAGTATACATTAACAGGAACGTACAAACTACAAACAATCAATCAAAACTGTTTGATTTCGAGGGATTGGCGATAGGAACGACTGTTTAACTTAAAAGTTAAGACGAGATTTTATCGGATTTATTTTATGTGCATTATACATGTAGGTATAATATTATAATAGAGGAATGATAGACGCGTTCATTGTTACGATATGTTGTCATTAATTCTACATTATTTATTAATCAAATAATATAGTAGCGAACACGACAGTGTATCAGTCAAATATATACCTGTATGTAATAAATGTATACCACAGAAGACAATAAAAATATTATTGTCTATAACTGTTTATAATGCGGCACATTATTGAAATCGAATATTATACCTCCTGTGAGTTTCGAAAGAGGTCGATTTGTCAAAGCTGTTTGATTTTCGAGATAACATTTTTTTTATCTTACCGAAACAATGCTTTAATTTTATTAGCCAACGTGTCATTAAACCTGTTATATTATATTGTTTATACTATATAGTATTCACAGTAGTCGCATTATGGTTAACAGAAGCTAATATATTATATAGCTTGTTTTCACGCAAAATTACTATAAAATCGGTTAAGTAGTAAAATGTGGACGTACGCCATTTTATACTTACTGTTAAAACGAATAATCAATATGTAAGTATAAAGAATGTGTACATGAACCAATAGCCCATGTTTTATGAAATATATAAATGGAAACAACAGAGACATTATAGATCTTGGCCGGGTTAAAACCTGTACGGGAGTATAACCGTATGGACCTATATGGAAGTTGGACGATTATCAAGAATACTGTATAGCCTCAGAGAAGTAATGCATTATAAAAAATACTGTTGTCGTAGTTTTCCGCGATAATATTGTAATTTATATAGAAACGATATATTTTAAATGAGTACGTGAATATATACATAAACAGAGTATACATTTTCGTTTTACAATAGTGGTTGTCAAATGAAAGGAGAGATAATAAAACATGTGAACATTTACATTAATTATTCCTATAACTGCTATAATAGTTAAACTAAATTCAGAGTTTGAATAATATTAAAGCAGTAACGAACCCTTAAGTTCATCAATTTTAAGCTAGTTTTGTTTAAGTAAGATATATATAACACGGATATATAACACATAAAAAATGAACTATAAAATAATATATTATTATAATTGGACGTTTAAATTATGTTCCGGAGACTTAAACGAATGTATGCAAACTTGTAGAACTATAGAACTACAACAAAATTAAACGTAAATTGTGAATTATTACCAAATACGTTTTATTGTTTAATGTATGATGATTTATGTGCAATGCATAAATCAAACATCAATTGACATTTCGGATTTTATAACGTAATGTAAAATAAATAAACAGTGTAACCAAAATATGACTAGGGTAAAAATATATATTTCTTTTATAATTTATTAAACCCACCGTCTTCTCGACATAACACAATGTATCGGCTACATAACTACTGTATGGATTATTCGAGAAACGTTGAGATTTTTTTTTACCGTACATTTTTATTAGTTTGTATTTCATTTTATCACATAAACTTAGGATCCATACTTTTTAATAGCTCGAGTTGTTATTTTACCTTTTTTTTTAATTTTAAATTAGAATTTGAATTATTCAAAGAGCCAAGGGACGTCCTTATAAATATATTATTTATATGTGTATATAATGTACATATATATTTTTTTATGTATATATACATCAAGGATCCTCGTGCAGCGGCGGAATCTTATCGGACCAAAGCCCGACGGGGAACCCAACACAGCGTTTTACTACATACTATACCACCACGGATTTTTATGTGGACAACACACACCAATGGAGTGGACCTGAACAAACAACTTGTGTAGATAAAAATATATAATATTATTTTTATTATAATACCCCCTTGATACTATAATATCTCTAGGCGAATATATACTGCGTATAATACTGTAATCTAGGCGTATTAAGAAATATAATACGCTGATGATACTTGCAAGATATTATGCGTGGACGCTCTCCATTGATTATAATTACCTGTTGTACCGTCTTAGGAATGTTATACTATAATATACCTAATATATATGCCAACCTCGAAATCTCTCACGCATTATAATTATATTCAAAATACAAACACCCGGGCATAACATTGTTTTCTATGCAATACTTGGGTTTTTTTTATTATGAACCTGCAGCAAATGGAAAAAACGATCTTTAAACAAGTTTGCACTAGAAGAGTTTTATTAACTTTTGAGAAAAAACGCACAATTGACCATTTGGGTTAATTGTGCTCAGTAATAAATTATTGTATTAATACATAATGGAACAAGCAATGTTAGGTTAGGTAGTAGTTAATTAAGTAACATTTAATTAAACAAAATAGCCACTATTTAGAAATACAAATTAATATTACGAAACAAAGTATATATTAAAATTCAAACATATTAACAGGTTATTTTTGTAATAGGAATCACTATAGGTTCATGATTTTAATAATTAAATATAATGTCGAAGGCGAATAGTTGTTTCTAGTTTGATGTATTAATAATAGAGAAAAAACGAATATATATTATATACTATTACACACAATTTTGGATCTATTAATATTATTTTAACTATTTTACGAAAATTGTTTTATTTTCGGAAAATATTAATTTGAATGGAATTTTTCTAAAAAGAGTTAATTCTAGCTAGGTAAAAAGACACATAAGGTAAAAATAAATAGTAAATTTAATTATGTGTACAGTATAACAGTTGTCAAGTAAGGCAAAGTTCTATCTTACAAAATATAGTAATACATTTATATAATATACTTATAATATTTATAATATTAACTTCGTTAAATTGTTATTATGTCATAATTAAATATAATTTTCGGGTCAATTATAAAATAAACAATTTTTTGAGATGATAATAAATCTGAATATACCAAAGTTTGTATTTTTTTTTTCGGAAAAATTTCTGTTAGATAAAATTAATATAGGTACGAAAGAAAGTAATAGGCATTAATCAATATATAAGGTATAATATAGTTTACTAAATAAATACTTGACAGTTCGTTGTGTAATAAGATTCGATCACTAACGGTTCTCTGGACTCAGTTATTAATTGAAATGTAAGAATTTTACATACATATAGATAGTATGATTCATTAGTACCTATAGTTAAGTATTCTCACTAAACACCTTAAAAATTTAACATAAATTGATATCCATACATCTATTTCAATATTATCAATAATTTTATAATCATCGGCGAAAACAGTAATAGATATAATAGTATTTAAAAAAATAATACATAAATTATACTACTGTTAATTGTCAAAATAGGTTTGTCAATATTATAATACAATTTAGAAAACGCTACACCTCTTTTTATTACATGGTTCAGTATAGACATTTTTTCGCAAAGCTTTATTTTAAGCTAAAATTGTATGCAGTGTGTATATTTAAATAAGTACAGTAATGATAATTCATTATGATTCTTATGTTATTTTTTTCTCTGCCTTATCGCAGAAGCCATAATAACGTTTTGAAATATTTTTCTAACCTTATCATAGCAACGCAAAACCCGTTTTGCTTGGCCAATAAGTAATAACGGCTTTAGGCCTTTAAAAAAAATCATCAGCAAATTCATAAATGTATAATATTTTTGTGTGGCTGTATGTTAGCAAATTTTAGATAAACTAAAGATACGGTATTCTAATATTTTTATGAACAAAACCCTACTTTTTATAAATTCCTAAATAGCATTATAACTTGAAAACCGCCAATGGTACAGCCCTCAACATTTGATAATGTTTGTTTTTACTCTAAAACTACTTAAAAGTTTATAAAAACATACATGCATGACTATGTTTTTCAAATCATATAAATGTTTAGGTGTAAAGCGTTTTTTAAAATAATTTATACCAAGTATATTATGTTTACAAAAAAAAAAAAAAACATACCTGGTCGTTGATGTCAGCTGAAAGTGATATTTTCTTTAAGTACAGTACACAACACACACACACGCACACACATACACAATAATTATTATTATATAAACTGCGCGCATAAAAAACTACATTCTATTCCTTTGGTATATTAAAAAAAATTAAATTAATAGTTATGATTCAGAACCCGAACACAACGCGAGTACGCGGCAGCGTATATGATATCCAGTTGAAAGCACTCCGTGGAATGAAAGATAATACTACAGTCTACAACCGGTACGAAAAAATGGAACAGGTATAGCATCTGCCTTTGCAGACTCCAACTGCAGTAGGAAAAAAAAACAAGAAGGAGAGGGCCAACGAACGTATCAGTGCGGTCACGCATGGCAGCGAAAATACCGTGTATGACCGACCGACGACGTGTGCAGAGCTGTCGTTATAAAACGCCATGGCAGTGTCGCTTGTGATGGAATTCCATTATTTTAGGAAACCCAAGTGGCAAGTATCCGTGTAAACAATACGGATTATCTAATATATTATGTTATTTGTAAATTGTTTTTAATTTTCGGTGTACAACATGAAAATTCAATTTTTTTTTTAAATAATCGTAAAACGTGTTTATGCAAAGCGTGGTGTAAAGGTCAAAGAAAAAAATGTTGATACCGACTACCGTTAAAACTAGGTAAACTTTAACTAGATTCTCTCGTCAAATTTTTGTAAACCTTAAATTTTACCTTAAATACAAGCAATTAAAAAAGTTAAAAAATGTCCGAATTAAAATATAAATTGTGAATGTTGGGTTAATTATATCAAAAAACAGCTGTCTAAAGAATCTAGCTAAAGCTCATTTTTTTAAATATGGAAAATTAAATTGTCTACGGTTTTTATTTAGCGTAAAATAAAAAATATGCATAACTATGTTAAGATGAAATAAAGGGTTTTAATCGCTAATAAGTATGCTGTCGTTGATCATTATACTTGTTATAATAAACGTCCCTTTTTTTTGTTAAAAACTTATATTTTATTCCTATTAACTTCTGTCACAATATTTTTATAATTCCTAACCAAATGTTGTCGTTTTTTGATAATAAAGTAAAATCATATGTTCGAGTTGTTTATAATAATATTTTTACTTTCTAAATTCTTTTAAAGTTCATCTTATATAACTTGCGGGGATCGTTTAGGGGGATTGCATGCGGTCTTTTTTTTAGACGTTTCAGACCAAAAAGCCAGAAAAAATTTCGACTACTTAGGATGGTCTGATTGGAATTCTGTAAAGATATATGAGTTCTTTGGCAACTTTACTAGGATATGTGGGACACAGATTTTTGGTTTTTTGCTTATTTTATGTAAAAAAATGGGTTTTAATAATTAAAAAATTATACAATTTTATTTATTTGATTATAAGAAACAGAAATTTTCGAATGAAAATTGGCTTACTACATAACACAGTACAGTAGTAGTTCAAATCTCTTTACAGAATTGAAATTGGACCATTCTATGTGGTCAACATTTTCTCTAGCTTTTCGGTCTAAAATAAACTCAAATGGCTTTTACTCATGGAAAAAACTATTTAAAAATAATAATACCTCGAAGCTTATACAAAATTAACCGGTAAATTAATTGACATGGTCGAAATTTGTTAAAATTGCTTTTTTCTTAAATATTGCTTGTACAAAACAAAAAGGATGAATTGAATTTTCTAGGAACGCGCCTTAAGTATTTAGCTGATAGGCAACTATACGTTTACGGCTGTGTTCTTATTGCCGCCGACTTATTTCGCAGAATTGCAATATGGTTTTAATTTATAATAAAAGCTTTTTTGTTTTCAATTAATTGCAAATTTGTTTAATTTCTTTCCCCTTTTTTTCGGTTTTGAGGATGAAGAAGTTGACTTTTCTACTTTTGACCCACCACAGTACCAACCGCTACTATTTCGAATATAATATAGAGGTACTATACTCGTGTAAATCAGTCCCACAGGAAAAAAAATTATCGTGACTACTGACTACAGACACAAAAAAAAAAGGAAACAGCTTTATAAAACCATTATCTTCTCGGCTATTGCATCAAAACTAAAGTCATCATATTGTCGTTTTAAAACAAAACTTTCTCTGCTTTTAATTAAAGCTTAAATAATTTTGCCAAAATATATTTTTTTATAACGTGTACAGTGTGCATATTAAAGCAAAATCGCAACTTGGTTTTTGTTCATCATTAAGTAAATATAAAAGTAAAAACCAGATGTTTTCTATTTTTGGTATAAGACAAATGCTAATACAACCTGGAAATATATGTTGTTGTGTTTGCAAAATGAGTGACAGTCGAAAATGTTAGTACCGAATGTATGTCTCCTTCGTAAAAAAAAAGAACGATAAATTACAAAATAATGTTAGTATGATTCATATGTTCAGATATGGTGTTCTATAATACTTCTATTTGGATGGTCATGCTTATGGCAATCGTTGGATTATCGAGTGCAGTACCACCCACAAATAGCGAGACGGACATATCTGAAGAAAATTTAATAGATCAATTTAATTATGTTCAAGAGCTCAACAAAGGAAAGTTTACCACTCAAATCGATTTAAAGGATTTTGGCATATTTTATGAAGTAAAAAATGTTCTATTAACAATTATACAAGAACTCGATTGTAATTATACGTACGATATGTTAGTTTTTATGCGTTTAATGACTCCAGGAAATTACACGAATGACAATTTATGTGCAAGTATTGATTTAACGTGCTCAAATTGGGCTCAGCATATGTTGAACGCTAGAATTAATAGTAACTTTCCATTGAAGGGAGTTTTTCCGTACTCTTCATGGATATTTTATTTTTATGTGGTAAAAATAAAAACGTTTGCAATACATGACGCGAAAAATGAAATGAATAAACTTTACGGTTACATGGAGGCGCATTTGAAATCGGAAATGGAACAGTGTGTACATTTGTGGCCTAAAATCAAATATCGTTCTTACGTGGACGAATTGAATAGCTTAGACCCAAATTCAGCATTTCAAATGCTTACAAAGGCATGTACACATCTCAGCATGGTGTCTAAAAGCAAACCTGACGGCCTTGACGATTTTGATTCAAGTTTGTACATAAATAATGTGGTAGAAAATACTAAAATTATGAACACTTTGGCTACGAATTTTGGAGGTTTAGAAGACGGAGATCGATTTGTAAAATACCTGCAATTTGAAATGAAGAAAGTTAAGGACCCTATGTCAATGCTTTCCGATTCTATCCATTCACTTAAGCGAGTTCATTCTAATTTTATGCTGATGGTAAAAACTATAATGTTACGTGTATGTTGGGCCTTTTTAGATAAGCTAAACTCGATGAAATACAATACGGCATGGGAAGCAACCGAAATATTATTTTACCGAAAACATTTTGATGAATTTGCTAGCTTATTTAAATTAAATGAGGAAGATGATTTTATGGAACTCATGACCGATATTCTAACAATAAAAAATCGATATGATTCTTTGACATTAAAACAAAAAATGTCTATGATTTTGATCTTACTGAAAAAATACAATAATGAAAAGGATGTAATACGTTTTGAAGACCGCAACCCCGCGATCTTAAGAACAGTTAATATTCAAACCTCTACACTAAAGAATATTACAAATGGTATCGACTATACTATCAATAAAGAAACAAATTACTGTTGTGAGAAATTAGAAAGTTGTCTGTGTGCAGAAGTTTTTGTAGAATATTTAAAAAATATACTGATTGTTGCAAAATTTAATATTTTTGAATTATTCAAAGAATTTGACAGTCTTGTTTCGGAAAAGGAATTAAAATTAAGTGAGATTATTTAAGCAAAATGCACTTGTTGAATATTAATAAACAATTAACCTTCTATGTTTTAATACCATAAAGAATGTTTTAATAGAGTACCTTGTGTAAAAACAATTTTTATACTTTTTTTAAGCATAATTCTTCTTTTCAATTATAATAAACTATTTAATTTTCATAGTATTTATATTGCTTTATAATGTTAAGAAAATATTTTTAAAACATTAACATAATATTTATATACTACATGTTATACATACAATTATAAATTTAAAATGTATTTTTGCTTTGCTGTAAATTTTGTTAAATTTAGTTCCCAGCTTAGTCTGTCATACATAACAATTTCCTTAACGGATTTTATTTAAAAACAATCCTTTTATTATAAGGGGGATATGATTGGGGCTGATTGTCTGTCTATTTTCATTTATCACCCTACATCGTAATTAACAATTTAATGAAAACATTTTCAGATGTCTGTTGATTCACTCACACGTGGCAACCTAGAAATTAACTATGGTCAAAGGGTAATTTTTCATTTTTTATTATGTTTCTCCTTAATATAACAAAAAGGTTAACAGCAGATAACTGAGAAAATTGTATATTTTATTATAGTTCAACTATAATATAGCACTCTAGATCTACCATAGGTCTCATTTTTAGACTTAAAAACCTAATAATTTACATACATGTAAAATACGTATAAATCACATCGAAACTGAAATAGAATTTGAAATGCCTAAACAGAGAAAATCTATAATTCACCGTTGAAATTCTTACAAAATATTTTAAATTTTGAATGATTTTGCATTTTAAACTTTAAAATTACGGCGATTTATATATTTTTTAAAATGGTCGAATTAGTTCCAAGTTTGTATGGAATTTTTTCTTTTAGACATAATACAAATAAATGCCGTTAGGAGCAGCTAGCAATTATTTTTAATATATTTGTATTTAGCGCATACGTGTTCGTTTATTATTTGTAAGTACGGACAAGGGCGGCCACATTCATCATATTGTTAAGAAATTACAATAATTCATAATTTTAGTTATACCTAGATGGTTTATTTATTTAATTTAAAAAAATTAGTGGTTCCGCAGGAGCCACCGAAATAGACATAGACAAGGAGCCCATAGGAAAAATCCATCTCTCCTTATGGGCCTATTTACCCCTATTGAGAAGTAGGTACCCGGCAGGTTTTTTTTGTTAATATTAAAAGAGTAATGCGAAAAAAATGTTAGAACCTAATACAAATTAGGAGATACTTGCAGGATAATGTATTGACAATTATTATAATATATACATAGATAGTTGTTTTCAAATATTTAAAAATTTCCCTTTTAAACACAGGGAGAAGTATGTATTCAAGTATAAATCTAAGACATTTTGAGGCATTTATGATATAGCCCTTTTTTTCTCATATGGGGTCGATTCGCTAGGCTGATCTCAACTATGAACTCAGAACTACTGTTTTGTCGTATATGATAACACTATCTTAACAGAACATTGATACTCGATAACGACCGGCGAATGACGAGCTTGAATTCTCCCCACCGATCACCATATCTAACCTAAAATATAGAGAAAGGTCTTTGTAAATAATAATTACTCTGTACTCAGTAGTATTATTGTTATAGGAATAACTTTGTTGCCAAATTATGAATGTTTAAATTTAATTATTCGTAATTTATAGTTTAATATAAAACAATTTTATTAATGGTAACAAATACGTCTGGTATGAATGTTATGAAGTCCTGTACATAGAATGTTACCTAACGATCAGGTAAAACTAAAAACCAAGAATGCCTGATACACCTATTAAATAATAAACAAATTTGATTAGCTCTTGAATAATTCATACTCAATTTTTTTTTTTTAATTTAAATTTTTATTTCTAGTAAATTTATGCAATCTAAAACATTTTTTTTTTACAGGGAAACTGTGGTGTTGCAATTAACAACATGACTGATACGGATAGAGATAATAATGCCTTGGAAAATGGTCATCAACCAGTGACAAATTCGAGGGGCAAAAAGACATGGTCGGAGATTAGACAAACAGTATGTGATTTTCGCCATCGCCTTTCTGCCGTTTCAGTCATGTCCATCACTCATGTATCTTTTCGGCGTTTACAAAGCGGAAAAATACGAGTGTACTTTCTGAGTGCTCCAGTAAATGAATTTGAGACACTCCTCTATGTCGATTTACCAAATCAAGGTGTCGTTGGGCGACTTCCGTGGCAACCTTTAATTGAATCGAATTTTCCAACAGTTATTTTGGGTGGTCGCTACTCACGGGAAGAACAGCTTTTGTCTGAAAGAAAAAGATTAACTACATTTGGTATAACATCATACGAAATGAACAGTGAATCTGGCAGAATAGTTTTTCCAGCTGCAAGCACATTATTTCATTGTGTCGACAATGAATATTCGGTAATTAATTTCTTATAACTATATACATTGTGATTTTTGTCTGTATGTTGTACCTATTTTACACTTGTTTTTTTTTTTGTAGAATAGTTCATTGTATCCAACTGAATTAAGAACAAATGCAACTGGGGCTAAGCTTTCCCCACAAATTTGTCCGAACAACGTTGATCTTACAGCATATGTATGCAATTTTGATATTTGGGTTACTCATATAGCTACAGGTATGTTACACCTAATACGACATATCTTAAACTAATTTTATTCTAAGATCTGGAAGAAAAAAAAATTTTTGTTTTAGGTAGTACAAAAAGATTGACTTTTGCCCATAAAGGTGGGCGCTGTTTATCAGATGATCCATTGGCGGCAGGTGTACCTTCCTACGTAATGCAAGAAGAATTTAATCGCTATCACGGTTATTGGTGGCAACCAAAAAAGCAAACTGGTAAATAATACATATCAGATACCTAATACATTTAATTCTTACTTACAATTAATGTATTCTATAATATAATGTGTATAATAGTTACATTACCAAATTATTTAAATTTACTTTTAACTCTTGTTTTATTTAGATGATGGTATTTATAGAGTACTTTACGAAGAAGTCGATGAAAGTGAAGTAAAAATTTTCAACTTCCCTTCATCGAATTCAGCTGGTAGCGGTGAAATTGAACAATATCGGTATGATAAAGTATGTGTATTATAAAATTTGAATTAAAAATTAAAATGAAATACAATTTTAGGTTTCCACGAGCCGGAACAGCAAATTCTAAATCCAATTTGAAACTAGTTGAGTTTCAATTAGACGAAGAGTGTCAAATAGTAAATGTAAAAAATTTAGAGCTTCAATATCCTTTAGCTCATATGTTTCCTTGGATGGAATATTTAGTTAGAGTTGGCTGGACTCCAAATGATGATTTGTAAGTTAAAAATATTTTTATTCTACATGACTACTGTTTATTGCTTCCAAGTCAAAGCATTGCAAATTACATTCTTGTGGAAATGGATTTTTTTTTCTACTGGCATAAAGGACAAATTTTTTTATTGTATTACAATTGTTTTAAGTTAACAATAGGAAGTTCATACTTTAAGGTGTTTTTCTTAGTTTTAAAGGGAAAGAGGTACCTAACTTGTTTTTGACCTAACAATGTACCTTATGGGTATGATTTACGATTTGTAGACTTGCTTTATGGAGAAATCAGTCTGGATGTTCAAAATAAATTGTGGTTACAGCATAAAAATAGAATACAAATTTAAAACATTATGTTTTCCCTAAAATAATAATTTTTTTAATCATCAAAAATTATGAATCGTTTTACTAAATTTTACTATTGATAAAATCCATAGCTCTTGGGCATAAGCCTTCAAAATTAGGAAATAAAAAAATATACTTTAAATTTAAATAAAGAATTTATTTAAATTAGATTAATCCAAACTATTTCTCTGCTTTAAAAATGTCATTGTCTTCTATTTTCAACCGCACATACATACATGATTTACACAGGCCAAAAAAAATGTTTGCCCTCTCACTTCCTTTTTAAAACCTTTTTTTTAAATTTGTATTTACTTGATACTTTTTTACTAGATTATTTTGAAAATAAAAATAGAAAATATTGTTTCCCAATGATTAGACTGGTCTAAAACATATCAAATAGAACAAAATGTATGTAATATAAATTTGAAACAAATAAATAAAAATTATATCTATGGCTAATTTCAAATGCATGTTTTTGTGAAGTCAAATACATTTTTAAAATTTCCTATGGAATAAAAAATGTCCTACTACAACTTCAAAAAGCCTGCGATAATTGTATGTTAATATTAATTTTACCACTGAAATATTATCAAATTAAGAGATCTAGTTTGGGTCTTAATACTTTGTTTACAATAGACAGTAGGCTATTTATTTTTTGTACATATATTACTATTGGGCCTCTTTTTTTCAAATAAATAGATATCACGGATTTAAATATTGTACATAAACACGAGTGTGTTTTAGTAAAACGACATTATGTGTATTATATTATATATCAACAAGTATTTAAATAATTTTTTGTAATAGGTTTATAATGTATAATTTTTTCTACTTTTTTAGAATATGGCTACAAATTTTAGACCGACGACAACAAAGACTTGAAATAGTTATTTTGTCTGTTGGTAATTTTGTTGAGCACGCATCCCCTAATATGATTAATCCGACTAATTGCTCGACATTTGTTCCACCACAAGTTATTTATTCTCAAACATCAAATGTTTGGGTTAATGTAAGTACTATTGCTAAATAATATAGTATCAATTTATGTATTGGAAAATAAACATTTAGTAAATTAGAAAAATAAATTTAATCGCTATTGTTGCATGTAAAAAAATACTTAAAAGGCATATATAGTGGAAATTGCTAATAACAAAATTGATTATAAAAAAGAACTTGTAATAACAAATGAAATTAAAAGTGTTAGCCGGGAACTTTGTTATACATACATGGTTTTTTTCTAATTTTTAAGCAAATTCTAAAAACGAGTAATATTGATAAATTAAATCTGTGATTTTTTAGGTTCATGATTTATTGTACATATTTCCAATTACGAGTAACGGAGAGGTGACAATGATTTGGGCTACCGAAGACACTGGATTTAGACACCTATACCTCATAACTAGTATAATAACTAAAATATCTCATGAAAATGGTATTCATAATATTGATCCTAGTGAAAGTAAGCTAATGAATAATTAAAGTATTGATTTTTTTTTATTAATTGTCAAAAACATTGTTTGTAGATAACATGATGATGTCCAAGTTAGCTCTTACTAGCGGAAACTGGGAAGTATGTGGTAAAGGTCTTTGGGTAGATTTGAAGTATCAGATTGTATATTTTATGGCAGTTAGAGAATCGCCATTAGAAAAACATTTATATGCTGTATCGTTAAAGAGCCCTGGAAACATAAAGTTGCTCACTAAACCTGGTTTTTCATATGAAATTGATATTGATAAAGTAAAGTATTCAAATTTATGTCTCTACCCCAGGATAATTTGGAATTTAAATTTTAATAATTTTCATTCATAGGATTGTGAAGTTTGTGTTGCTGTTTATAGTAATATAAGGATCCCTCCGTGTTGTCAAGTCTTTCGAATAGAACATAATGATACAACTGTTGATGGGATTCATTTACAATCATTGGGATTTTTAGTAGAAAATTCCGGTAAAAAAAAAAACTATAAACTGATTTTATTTTTATATATAAATTATTTTTATTTTTATTTCATATATATAATAGTATATTTTTTTATAACTAGAATTCAACACTGTTCTTCAAAGCCCTACTCTCATAACACATCAAATTAACTCTGGTGATATCTTATTTGCGATGGTATTTAAACCACACAATTTTATACCCGGAGAAAAGTATCCGACTATACTCCATGTTTATGGCGGACCAGAAGTTCAACTTGTCACAAACACCTATAAGGTAAAAGATTTTTTTTAAGTATGAATTTTTTATCGTAACTATTAAAGATATGACATACTTTTCAATTTCTCAGTTTGGTTCAAATAATAAATTTAATATTATACATTTTCGAACCATACATTTTATCATTGTATTTGATAACTAAATAAAAAAAAAATACAAACTCAATATTGTTAAATTTGTTTATTGAAAAATTTTATTAGTTTAGATTGGTTAGAGATCTGAAAAAAGTGTTAACATTTGTGAGCTATAAAAATTTTAAGTTTAAACTTCAGAATTGTTTATTTAAACAAAAAAACAAATAATTATTTGTACACAACAAATTATTTGAAATAAATTTGAATTAAGTGCATAAAGTTATTTTTTTTTTTATAAATTCAAATAATAATTTCTTTTATTACATGTTTTACGTAATTGTTAAAAACCCTGTTATTTGAAATAACAGGGTGTTATATATATTTGATTTTTATTATTTAAAATAATTATTATTTTTCATGATTATTTTAATTTGTATAAAATAATGCCCAGGTTTGATTTGGCTCAGGTTCCATTTGTCACTAGTTGTATATATAATTTATATAGATGATATAACTTTTTTATGAGTTTTACATTATTAGAGTTGTAATTTTCTTTTTATGTTTTAGGGTGCAAGACATATAAGAATGCATATGTTAGCATCTCAGGGTTATGTTGTTATAGCTATAGACTCTCGAGGATCTAGGCACAGAGGTCTACAGTTTGAAAGTCATTTAAAAGGCAGACTTGTTAGTATTTGATATTTTAAAACTTCGTTTTTGTACGCCTTAAGTGATTATTAGACATGCTTTTGGAATATTTTAGGGCACTGTAGAACTCTCAGATCAGATTGAAGTTCTCCAATGGCTGGCTGAATACCTCGGCTTTATAGATATGGACAGATTGGCAATACACGGATGGTCTTACGGAGGATATTTAAGTCTTATGGGGCTTGCTACTTATTCAAATATTTTCAAAGTAATCTTCAGTTAAAAATTGCCTAATTATACTATGTATTTAATTATATGCTTAATAATGGTACTATGTATGTGTATTGTGGTACTAATTTTTGTAATTTACTTTTAAGGTAGCCATAGCTGGAGCCCCCGTTACGTCGTGGACAATGTATGATACAGGCTATACAGAAAGGTATATGGACTTACCGCAACATAATTCTGTTGGTTACATGAATGGATCTATTTTAAGTTATGTTAGCCGTTTACCAGATGAGTAAGTTATTTCACGTTTGCCTGTATTAAAATTTATATGAAAAATGTAACAATTTGTTATTTTTCAGAGAAAATAGACTTCTCATTATACACGGTCTGATTGATGAAAATGTTCACTTTTCACATACGAGCTTATTAATAAATTCGCTTGTAAGATATGGTAAACCATATCAATTGCAGGTATGATTAAATCAATACATTATGTTGTGCCATTAAAACTAATTAATCAATTTACAATATAATATAAATTACCTAAGTTTAATAAATTATATTATTTACGTTTTAGATATATCCTAACGAACGACACAGCTTAAGAAGTTTGGACGCAACAAAACATTACGATACTACATTTTTATCTTTTTTGCAAAACTATTTATAACCACGAACATATTTAGGATGTTCATGGTATCATTTTTTACTAAACTAATTTATTGTGAAGCTTAGTTAATTTTTTTTTAAATAAATTACTAAACTACAAGCTATTATATAAAAATAAAAAAAATATAAATATGTTATGTATGTATATTTATTAAAATAAAACACTATTATAATTTGATATTATTATTGTATTAACGAAAATGAGAAATTTAGCAAATACCAATTTAATCCCCAATCCGAATACTTAATATACATAAACTTATTAGTTAATTATTTGATAAATTATTATTTTATTATAAAACCGTTTTGTATTGTACTTAATATAAATAATGCAAAAATATTTGCTGTGATTTTATTTATGTAAATTATAAATATTTGTAAATCTATGAATGGTGGTATTGTGCTGGATTTTCAACATACTAATGTAATATTCTGTACCATCTTGTAATTAAAATACTATACAATTTTAGTTTTGTGCATCTTGCAATATTATCATATATAATCATAATATGATCTGTTACATAAATTATTATCACTGTATGATTTATTAATTAAAATTTTTAATTACTTGCATACAAACTGCAACACAAAAATGAATTATTTGAACGGTCATTATAATATTAATGATATTGCGTGTAGACAAAAAAAAAGTATAATAAACAATTAAAAACAAATTAATAATTATTAAAAGATACAGTATTTTGTAATTTGTGAAAATAATAAAAAAACATTTTATAAAAATGTTGAATATATAATAGTTATTAATTAATAGAGTTTTGGTTTTTTTACCATTTATTCATCACAATAAATAAAATGTTATTTTTGTTATAATTTTATTTATTGTTTATTCATATTTGTTTGTTATTTTTCTTTTTTAAGCTAGTAGCTAAAAAATACTTATACATAATTGTAACATTGACCTAGTAATAAATCAATGATTGGTAATATTTATAAGTATGTGTAAATATATACAAATATATAATTATATGTTGGCCATAGACAGATAAATTACTGATTTTTACTTGGTTTGCGCTTTGTGCAGTTTTTTTTTTAATTTGATAAGGCTTATCCGCATATGTACATACCTTATCATATTATATTTTATCATTATTTACAAAAATTAAAGATAATTCGTTTTGTTAGTGTTTTCTCAATTTATTTTATTAGGTATTTAATATTTGCTGCAGGCAATTTAGATTAACATAAATCAATGGCCAATGCAACGATGTGATTGAACGTCAGTTGCAGTACAGATATTTTTAATTTATACTATTAACCACTGGTTAATAGTTATACTATTTAAAATTAAAAAGTTATTTTTAGTTACAATTTTTTTGTTGACAATCTTTAGTTAATTTTGAAATGTCTGACCAAGAAAACTTAAAAGAAATGAATACATCCAGTAGTAATGAAATATCAAATAGATTGCCGAGAAACGATCAAGGTGAGAACAACATTATAGTAATAACAATAATTGTGTATGAACGATAAAGGGTAAAAAAAGTAATTTAAAATAACCAGAGTTTAAAAAACTCAAAAAGTACATTGAATTCTAAAAGAACTCTTTATAGTATAAAAAAATATAATTGTTTTTTTGTTGAGAACTTTTAATTTGAAATAAAATTTTGAGTTTTTCTTCTTCGTCGACATCTTAGAATGGCCCAAACTAATAATATTAGGAATAAAATGATTAAAAGAACTGCTAATACCAAAGCAATGATCTCTGCTAGATTCAAATATTCTGTAATAATATATAATAAGTCGTTAAACATAACATTTGTAATGATTTTAAATTTATGATAATTCAAATATAGTAATTACGTTTTTCTGCATCTATCGTCTTTCTACGAATATTTCCTCTTAGATCTGTTGCAATTATTTCCACTTTTGGAAAACAGCATGTTGCAGAATAATATACAATTACTTTATCTCTGGTACCAATAATAAATTCGTTTCGAAATTGAAGACGGTTTGGTATTGAATGTATTGCAGCCAATCCTACATTAGTAAACAACATCAAACATGTTTATTATATATATATATATATATATATACAGGGTGGCCCACAATGATTTGACAAATAAAATAACTTTTGTTCTAGTGAATATTTTTGAGATTTTTTTTTAAAATCATTTATACTCATTTGCACTATAAGCACCACGGTTTTTATTGCGCTTACCTGTTTTACTTATAACGCAAATGTGTATAAATTATTTAAAAAAATTAAATCTCAAAAATATTCACTAGAACAAAAGTTATTTCATTTTTCAAATCATCGTGGGCCGCCCTGTATATATATAACAAAACATATAATTATTTACATGTATAACCCATCTAGTTCTTGAGGACGTTCACCCATTACTCTTGCATGAAAATGTAATGAGCGTAGAGTCTCATGGTGTACTGGACGGGATATACTAAATTATAAAAGTTTATAATGTGTTACATTACCAACCTGAATTTTCATCTCTAATAGTTGCTTCGATATTCCATTTTTCTGAACCGCATGTATGAGGCGTATCTGCGAAGCGACAATCCCCATTGAAAGTATAATCTATTGCTGGCCTCGAAGTATCTCCTGACTGTTAATATATAAACACCCAAGTTGTTTTAAATACATTAATTAATTTATAACCTTTGGCATTAAATTGAATACATACCAACTGCCCAACGTAAAAATTCACTTTTATAAACTCCAACTGTGGTTGAATCACTGAAAATGTTATTTGGTCCGTCGTTCCTTCAGATCCTCCTACTTCTATAATTACCGTTACATCAAATGGTGGACCGTTTGGAGGTAATACAATTCTAAAATAAATAAGAGGATGTTGGATCTATTACGACTGTGAAAAAAACTGTTTGACTTGCCACTTTATGTTCTAATTGCAATTGATTATAAAATTAACATTTTTCTCCCCAAATTTTGAATTCAGTTGTTTATCAATTGATTAATTGCGCTACCACTAATTAATTTCAAGAAGATGGAGAGGGGTTAATCTTTAAATCTCTGGATACACCACTGTATTTCATTTAAATACAATTTTGAATTTACGTGTAATAAAATAAAAATAAAAAATCTAAAAACAATTGTACAAAATTAAGTTTTTTTTTCTTGTGGAAACTTTTTACAAATAAGACAAATTATAAAATTCCAAAATTTACTGTATAATATGTTGTATTTATGTTAAAAGGTAATTTATCCGTGCAACAATTTTTATGTTTGTATTCAACTGTTGCAAAGCGCCATAAGAAATAATGAAACTATATTATTCACCCCATACCGAAATAACAAATATTTTTATATAAATTTTAAGTACAATATTTTTGTTATTAGTTGACCCAGCTGTAACATTAAACACCTCACTATTAGTATTTATATTTGTACCTGGTTGGCAAAATCGATCGCACAAGTCCATGTTGATCCGAACAGTCAAAAACTAATTCCAATGGAAACCATTGTCTATTTATTACTCTAAAATATAATTTAACTATCTCCCCTGGCATGCCCATCAAAACTGAATTTGGTGCTAGTTGTAACAAAAATTCTCTTGAGTTGTCTAATCCTCCGTCTGACCAAAATTTATCTGAAGCTTTTACTGTAAAGAATAAACAATTTTATAAGTTAAAATTGTACAATATACATTGTTAGTTATATATATCTATGATTATACCATTTTGTAAAATGAAGAAATTTTTAATTTTTTTTTTTTTAGGCTAAAGTTAACTAGATACATTAAATTCTTCCTAATTGCACTAATTACGAACTTTCATCAAAATGTACCTTTATCTCTTTGAAAGTAATGTTTACTACTAATCAATATTTTTTTTACTGAACTATATTAACTTGTACACATTACTAGCTTTATATTTATCTTTAACGCAAACAAATTTTGATTTTACAATAGTTTTGAATTATATTTAAAAGCTTAAGGATTTTTGTTTGCAAAATGTGAAACTTATAGTCAAGGGTCCAAGTAAAGTTCTGGACAAAATTCAAATTCTATTCTCTAATTAAAGATTACAAATGATTTCCAAAACAAAAAAAATCAATTTGTTCCATATAAAGTTTAATAACTAAAAAAAAATGTAATTTGTTTTTTAATGTGTAAAATGATTTTGATTCTGAAAAACATATTTTAAAAAATAAGAACATTATGTTTTTAGTTAAAGTATAAAAAAAAATGATTTCACCCAGAACATTATCCGTACCCTAGATTTAAAAGTTATAGTAATCAGAAGTGTTGAAAGGCTCTTGAATACATATTATATTACCATTTTAAAACAAAAACTTTATAATTTATGGATATATAATCAATTTAAAAAAAGGATAATGTATATTCAAGTTTACAATTAAGATCATATTACATAGTCAACTATTTAACCGGTATGTAAGAATTAATTTTATTCTAACTTTTTTTTCAATTATATTTATTTCTATTAAAAACATAATAATTTTTGATAAACGTTTTATCTGAAAATTTATTAGTTCTACAATAATTTTTTTTTTGTCTGAAGTCACTATACATTTTTTTTCTGTGGACCAAATTGTTTGAATAGCAACTTTATCGATCCGTAATTGTATGAGATAGTACTTTGGTAGGTCAGAAATTTGTATTACAAAGTAAATTTAAAAGTTTTTACTTTTTCGTATAATCTTATATATTAACAATATGAATTTCTTTAAACATACATTTATTATACCTTAATAAGGTAATCATTAGTAATTTTAATGATAAAATAGAGCCGTAATATTTTATTTAAGAAAGGCTAAAAAAAATTTTAAAAATGATAAAATAAATTATACACTTGTTATTATTATGATTAGAGTAAAAACTGTAATTCCGGTTTATCATCTCATTAGGTGTAATATATATTTTTTTTATCTGGACTCCATAATTAGTGTTAAGTGTTAACGTCTCATGTTTATTGTAAACGAACTACTGAATTTGTTTAGAACTTCAAAGCTCGGAATAAACTACTAGAAAGAGAAAGTAAAAGTCAAGAAATGACTGACATCATAATGGTTAATGACTCTAATTATAGTTATCTAAAATTTGTCGTAATGAATTTATTTTATTCAAATTTTAAGAGTTATGATGATATCCTTGTTATTCAAATATAATAGTTTGGTACAATTTCATATTTTTTTTTAACACGAGTCTTACGAACAAATTCGCGCACACGATTTTTCAACCACTATTTTTTTGTTTTATGAACAAATATTTCCTGTAAGAAAAAATCAAATAAATTTAAAAAAAAAAATCACTGGCACATAACTTCCACAAAACCGCATACTGGTAAAATTTTAGAATGCGCATAGACCGACGTAGGTATTGTACAGTCAAACACACATACACGGAATAATGTCTTTCTATTTTCGAAAAGAATACTCTATGAAGTCTAACTTCTATCCCGAAATGCAGATAAAATTTACGCGTATTTATATAGACGTCATTCTCTTACGCATTGGTTGGCCAAGGTTAAGTAGTTCAGTAGCATCAATACTAAGTAATATACATATGTAATATTAAAACTCATAAACGTATAATGTATCAAACTAGACCACTCAAACTGATTATGTTCAGTCCACCGGTTATTCTCAACTAAACGTACCTATTGGCTATTTGGAATTTGGATCACGATAGTAAATCATTGATTTATATAATTTGGTTTTTGGTCATTTCTTTGTGAATTGTTGTCTTGGTTAACGTCTTGAGTCGATTATAAAACAAATTCATTTTTTTTTCTAACCTATCTATCGTCCAGTACTGTTTTGTTTTGTAGTTTCTACTCGTCGTGGAAGTAAGAACACATTATATTTTTTAATCACTTAGTTTAGAATATTTCGTTTTAAAATAATATATAATTGATGTTTGATTGCTCGTCGCTATTTAGCGTTTTGTTATTTTTATAGTTCATATAGCCCGTTATAGGTAAGGTAATCTTAGATATATTGGTATGAATTTTAATTTGAATATATAAATCTATTATAAAAGTGTACGGTGTGTAATAGCATATAGAATACACAATGTGACCTATATTAGCTGATACAATCTGTCTACCGTAATTTCTGCCAACTTAGTGCCTAAGGTTACCTCTATGAATTAATAACAGGAACACAAAATACCATTCATTCCATGACCCAAAACTCAGTAATTTGTAATAATGGAAGTATGAGTGTAAGTAACCTTACACGGATAAAAAATCTAAACTAAAAAACTAGACATTAATATATTTTTGTAATAGGTGATTCGCCGTGAACGTTTGTTAATAATTATAGTTCATTTTTATTATTGTGAATACGTGTTGCACAATATTAATTATGTTTGTTATGTATATATTATTTTGATAGCCTGGCTAGTGTCCAGTTATTGCAATGCTATAAAAAATTGCTATGCATTGCTATGTTATACTCATACACAACCGATTGTTTGTATGATTAAAGAATAAAAGATAAGTAATTTATTGTACTATTAATTAGTATATTTACTTTGCAAAGATCACACAGCGTTTAAAATGTAAGGATTTTAACTTGAATTATATTCGGGGTAAATTATAAACAGTCACCGAATGTAATGCATTTGCTTTCGTTCTAAAGCAACACGTTCCTAGACTTGGTTAAATTAGTCCCAGAATTATTATAGTTTTTAATAAAATTAAAAAAAATTATTTTTCATACGAATAAATTATTTTTAGTATTGGTAATATGTTATCATATGACGTCCTTGTGGACCCACAGTAAATATTGTTGTTTATATTTAAGTAAAAAATAGATAATTATTTTTAAACTATTATAAATCGACAACTATTGAAAGTCTACTTGTATGTAGATAATAGAGACTGTCCACACCTAGTGAACTTTTTTGTCAATGGTGTTTGTTGCCCATTTATTATGGTGATAAATGGCTAAGTACACACTTAATAGTTTATATATTGGTTTTAATAATTAGTATTCAAATTATATTTGATAAAGTCAGGGTAGGAGTCTTTGGAGTTAGTAAGGGAGCGAATTTTTAATTTTTTTATGGTACATCTTAACACATTTCTCAACTGTCATAAGTTAATTTAAAGAAACTGAAAAAGATACTATACAATGTCATTTTGCTAACTTTATTGAAATAGCACAACTTTAACAACTTTCACGTAAAAATCGAAATTGGTACGGTGAATATATTTTAATCAGTTGTAGATTAAGACATAGAGCAGTCATAGTTCCTATCATCACGCTCCCTTATGATTTGATATGTACTCAATAAAAGGCATAAAGGCTATATAAACAAGTATTATGCGTTGATAAAGGTCAGGTATGGCAATTTAAATTAGATAACGGATCGCTTTGTATGTGATTACTCAATATTCGCTTAATGTAAACAAGTGTTGTGATTTTGTTAATAGTGTTACTTTTTGATGGAATTTCATCGACTTCGCCGCTTTTGCGTTGTGGAGCTTGATTTACTATTGCCATAGCGACCGGTTCGTAAGCCATTCTGCAATCTTCACAAATTCCGTTTTTACACCACACGATGTCGATCTACAAAAAAAAAAGTATCAAACACAGAAACAATTTGACGAAAAAAAATGTTTCAGAAAAATCCGTTCGGTTTGCTATCGTCCGAGGTTTTAAAATTTTTTTGATTTCCAATAAAAGAAACAGCTATCGAGAACAGTTTGTTCTTTATTAATTAGGTATGTATAGGTACATTAATATTAATGTATTTTCATGTTTACTTTACTAAGTACGTTGGTACTTATTGAATTAAATGATAACTTATCGACCCAATACTGAAGCAAACCTTTCTGTATCCTTCGGCGAAATTTTCATCGCCAAACTCTCCTCTATTTGCAAACAACAGGAACCGACCATTTCTACTAAAACTAATTTTTCGCAATAGTTTCCAATAATATTGCTCGTCTCCTTTTTTCTGTTGTGGCATTGTAGTCGGACGACTTGCCATTTGCGGTGTGATTTCTTGTAAGTTCCTTAATGTTAACTCTCGAATGCCGCTCCCTAAAACAAAAATATTTAAAATATATAAATAAATATTTAAGTACGTATGACATATGCTATTAACGATTATTACGAATTCGGTAAATATATATTGTTATTTGCCGTAAATAAATATTATCGAGGAAGTCGATTATCTTATATAGATTAGATGGGGTTTCTGAAAACGGTCGCTCAAACAACTAATAGTTTTATGTCATTACTCATTACTAAAGATACTATAATAGCTGATATGTGTTAACTTCCGCTAGCACTTAGAATTTACATACCATAACCTAATTGTTTAATAAGCTCCACTTATTATTTTGTTTTTTTAAGTATTCTCGCAGTTTCTAGTTTAATAGACTATTCTTCATATTAGAAAATATATTATCATGTATTATATGGCTCAAATATGTTCAACTCTGATTACTTTAAAAATAACTATCCTAAACTAATTATTTTACCAGTCAAAATTTTTCTTAATTCGAAAAGTTTATTAAATAATACGTACATTAGTCATTTTTCATTACCATTCAAGTTTTAAATGTTGATGAAAATATTGTGAAATTACATAAATAAAAATGTTTTCAAAAAGAAAAACTACAAAATTGCAACTATTTTAAGAAAAATTATTGTTTTATCCCTAATGAATCACACTGTTTTACCAATATTTTAGTGCGTAATTTTTAGTCACATATGACCAATATTCCCTATGTACAGGGTGATAATTTTATCGTGATCCATTCAATATCTCATAGGTGTAATAAGAAATTTAATTTTTTTTTTATAGTGTTTTTATACAAGTGATCTCAATTGTATATCTCAATTTGTATTCCCTTCGGCCTTCCCGAACTGATTATTTTTATATCAACTTTTTAAACTTAAGTGGTAACGTATATAATTAATAACTTTTTAAATTAAGAATATTTTATTTAAAAAAATGACTGGTTGATAACCAGTTTTGAACTATTCTTAAAGCTATAAGAATTATTATGATGCGCAGATAAAAATAATACTACACTCTAACTTTCCACCTGCCCTAAACTTGAAATTTCAATAACATCAAAAATAGTTATCCAAAACCTGTTATCGACCAGTGAAAATGTCCCGTACATTATTCTTGATTTGAAAAGTTAACGAAATATATGCGTTATCATTTATGTTTCAAAATTTGATATAAGAGTAATTCGTTTGGGAAAGGGGATAAGAACATAAAAATTCGTAGAAAATTGAGGTCACATTATATAAAAACATTATGGAAAAAAGAAATCAATTATTTATTAAATCCAATGAGATAATGAGTGGTTGACGATAAAATTATCACATGATTTTCAAAAAACAATTTCAAAAACTCTCCTGCTATCTATAGAATTTTTAATTTATAATTTATATTAATAATTGTTTACTGAATGCATAATAAGTATTTTAATTTATATATTCATTTAATGTGTATATTCATTTTTTTTTTAAATTCAAATTTTATTGTTTTACGAAGGTCGCGTTATACGTCTTTGTCATTTGACATTGAATTTTATTTTTAATGTTATAAATGGGATGTAACATTTCATTTTTTCACACATATTTTCGCATTGCTATGCGATGTAACAAATTATAATTATACATACAATATAAACATATAAATTAAGTTAAAAATTTATATACTTGTTTTATATACTTATTGTTAGTTGTCTTGTGTTTATAGTTGCATAATGATCAGCGGTGAGTAAAACATGTGCATTTTGCATTGATTTAATACTATATATTATTCAGTATATTTAAAATACAATAAATTAAGTGAATAACTAACATTGTAGTAATAACTAATATTGGGATTTAAAAATAGATGTATTTTGAAAATAAGTTATCTGACATTAGCCTAATTATTATAGCTAGTCGTTTTACCGCTATATTACTAAAATCTGAGAAGTAAATTGTTAATAATTTATTGACCATAGTTTGATTATCTTATAATTGTTAGTTTTCTCAATATTAATTTGATATACTTTGTTAGTTCTATAAAAGCTTGCAATGAAACCCCATTGCCAGCCACTGCTGAAGTAGTTTTGTAATATTGCGCGAGTTTTATTCCAATGGATTATTCGTTTATTATTTAAAATAATTTATATTTCATTTGAAATTCCTTAAAACTCAAACCAAATATAACATAAGTCTTAAAACTAAACTCTAATATAACATTTTCAGAAATCTAATATAAAAATGTCTAGTTTTGCTTATGTGTTTGGTGTTAAGAATTCCCCCACCCTCCTCCTAAAAATCAAAATATCCAACTACCCTAAACGTAAGTTATTATTTTTTCGAGACTGGCACTTAGTCTAAAAATAAAAAATGTATAATAATTGAAGCAATGAGAACCAAAAGTAAACAAGTGACAATTAAAAAAAAAAACATTTTTTTGATCATACATTTTTTGTGAATAAAACATTCTACCTGTACTTGTTATTATTTCACAAGTTTTACAAGAGACGGTGGAATTTTTATTTTGTTCTCCTGTAAAATTTGATAAAAAATCACTTGTATCTTTTTGATTTTCATCACTTCAGTTTAATAGTTACACGTTACTGTAAGGTTACCGAATTCGTCTAGTCCAATTAATGTCACATTGGACCGATCATGATGTTGTATTGAAAATGTTTGGGTGGCTTCAAGGTAGTTTTGCGTGCATTGCAATGTTGTTTTTTGCCAATCGGTTAAAATTATAATATTATTCGTTAAACCGAACGAGGCTGTTGTTAACAACACAAAATACTGAATCAACAAATACATGATGACACTACACGGAATATGTGGTACTAATGAAGTAGTTTAAGAATGGTTTTTTAATTATATATAGTATTTTCGTTGCGTTTTTATCTACATACATACTTACTATTTACCCATAAAAGGATGGGTTCGGATTTGTACGCTGAATCATAAAAAAACTAATAGCGGCAAACACTTATATTTTGTTTTTTAGATAGCGACACTATTTGTAATCGGTTCCAAGAATCTTGTGATTTTTACACGCCACAACAAAGCTTTGACGAACAGCAGACTTTGGTCAGAGCCAGCGAACAGCTTAAGGAACACTTAAGCGGCAATTATGGTTTTTCGAGTTTTGAAGAGTATAATTCTCATATTTTACCACCACGTTTAAAAAGTGAACAAGCCAACGCAATAGACATAGGTATAATTTTTTTTATTTATTTTTAGCTTCGATGGTGAGAACTGATCGAAAATTATTGTTCGCCAAAAGTACCATTTAAGATCTAAATGTGGAAAAGTCATCCCAACACCTTCAAAATCGAGTTAAACCATACAATTTTGCATATATCTTTCAAATGAAAAATAACATGATTCGATAAAACTTTCTATAAAATAATCGATTTAGTTTCAAATTTCAAACGTTTTAGACATTATATTTAGGTATATCTCTACATGCAGTGTTGTAGGTGATAATTTAAGTAAAAGTCACTGCAATGAAATTACCTACTTTTCTAATACTTTGATGTTTATTTATTTTAAGTAATTTATACGTTTTTTTTATTTACTCTTTGCAGTAATTTTCAGATTACTCTTCGGTTAATCAGATTACTATTTTTTTGCCAATTAACTAAATTTGTATTATATATGTATGATTCTTCATGATCGACACATTTGCAATTATTAATTGACAAAACCGTACCTAATATTTGTAGTCATCACTTTGGTATTGAATATCACAATATTCAACCGCTTAATAGGTCTAGCAACGAAGATATTTTTTATTTTATTTTATTAGATTTTATTTTAATACAAAACGGGCAATGTCCAAAGTTAAAAGTACAAAGTACAATTACTTACATATGAATCATAAAAACATGAAAAAGACCTTTGTTTTAACATACATGTAAAAAAATATATATTTTTATAAATAAAATAATAATATCAGAAATTAAAAAAAAACAATTAACATTTCAATAGGAAATACAAAGAAAGTAACTCATGAGAAATTTTATTTACATTTTGCAATGTAATTATTTGTATTATTTAACTATAAAAAAAAAAAATTTTAACAATGTCTACAGCCGAATTCTTAAAAACTTATTCTTCTAAAGTCTTCTAAAAAGTGTTGACATTTTTAATTGGCTATTTAGGAGATTATTTTTTATACTTAGGTTCCAAAAATTAGTCAGATATTACTTTTAGGGTATACTTTCAACATATATAATTTTTTTTCTCAAAAATTTTACAAATTATTTTTTATCGAGATTACACCAAAAACCGTTTGCATGTCTATACATTGCCTATATTGTGATTTATATTGATAATTAACACTTTTTATTACCGTTTACTGCTTCACATCAAAGCATACTTTTTTTGACAGTGGTTTTTATTTTTGTCTACAGTTAGTAATAATAAACATTTTTTTAACATTTTTATTATTGTTTGAAAGATGACACATGTCCATCTAATAATATGACTTTACCGAGTACGTCTAAATCTCCAAATCCTATCATGGGCAGTCCTAGTTCTTTGAAAACTAAACCACCAGTTACTGACGATAATATTTCTTCAGAAAATCTTTCAACGGTGAATATTATTATTGTTAAATGCTCTTAAAATACTAAACCAGCTGACACACTATGTTATATGTTTAGCTTATTTTACAGTACTCGCCTGTGAAGTGTCATTGGTTTTATTGTAAATACGCTAATAAAATTGTTTGGGTTCCGTTCAGTCAGAAAGATTCAAACGCATTAGAACAACAATACCTTTCTGGTAAGACGTTAAAAAAATACATGTTTATATTTGTACGTAAATGATCTTTTTAATAGCATAAAAATTTGCAGAAGGATGTGATGAAGAAATAATTATACCAACAAATGGTAGTCGTTTTGATGTGCACCTAAACCAAAGAATTCGTAAACCTGCATATTGGACTGATGAGTCGACTGTCGTGCGGCGTAGTTCCTGGTTCTTCCGTAATCGTAGCAGTTCCAACTATATTCCGTACGACGAACAAATAGCTACGCTTTTAGAAGTATTATTTATTTATAATATTAATAATAATTAAAACAATTTTTATTATTTTTTATTATACATGTAAATTAATTTTCAAAAATGTATTCAGGAAAACTACAAGGCAGCCTGGGACAGTAACGAATGGGGTCGAAAAGTTCCGGTCGGTAATTTTGAAGAAGTAGTAATGCACAGTCCTACTGCCATAATACATTGTGGCGTATCTGCTGTACCTTTTAACACTGGTGACGAAATCCCACCAGAAACGCAAGTAGACCAAATAATAAATGTGGTAAATTAAAAAAAAAATAATAATAAATACTTGAATGCATTTTATTACTAATTTTGTTGTAATTTTAAGTAATAATACTAGTTTTAAAATAATTTTCAGCCTTCCATAAAACAATGTATAGTTAAGCGGGGCTTAGACGAATTTATTATTCCTGTGGACGAGCCTTCAAAAGTCGACAATTTAATGTTTATTGTCCATGGAATTGGGGCTTACTGTGATTTTAAAATGAGACCGATTTACGAAGTTGGTACGTCATTTTGATTCAAATAGAATTGCATGTATTCTTTTTTACTAATTTTATAAATAAATTAAACTATTGTGAAATAAACTAGAAAAGATTATTGTGAGTTTAAAAAATCATTCTACGATATGAAGGTATAATATACAGTACTTACAATATATTTATGTTCTGTTTTGCAATGCAATGTTTTTCATTTATCTCCCAATTTATTTGTTTTCAGTGGACGACTTTCGAAGTTTAGCTCTTCAGCTGACACAGTCTCATTTTAAAACGGCTTGTAGTTCTGAAACAATCGGTCGAATTGAAGTATTACCTATTTCTTGGCATTTAGCATTACACAGTGAAAGCATTGATCGTAAACTCAAAAGTATTACTTTACCTTCGATACCAAAACTCCGAGATTTCAGTAACGACACTATCTTAGATGTATTGTTTTATACGAGCCCTACATTTTGTCAAGTAATAATTAAAATTAAAAATTGCTTGTTACCTAAATGTTTGTTTATAATTTGTTTGTTTTAATTTCAAGACTATAGTGAATGCAATAGGAAATGAAATGAATCGCATGTACAGTCAGTACCGAATTAGAAATCCAGATTTTAATGGTCATGTTTCTATTGGCGGTCATAGTCTAGGATCATTAATTTCTTTTGATTTGCTGTGCAACCAGCGACCACCAAACCCTGCAAAACAAACTACAAGCAATGTATTTTAATAGCTCTTTTGTTATTATAATTTTGTTTTTAATTATTTTAACTTTTTAGGATCCAACATTTGATTCGACTGTTGAAAAACAAAAGAGTAAACTAAGTCGAGGAGTGTCGTATGTAACTTTAGGAAAAGCCGGTACTGGACAACCGTACATCACATATCCACAGTTAAATTTTGGACTCGATTATTTCTTTGGCTTTGGCTCACCGATTGGTAATTGCTAATGGAATTTATGACTATTTACTTAACTGAATGCGGTATCTGATGTGAAGTATCAGAGTTGACAAAAACCGAAGTTTTTAAATGTTTGATTCATTTCAAATTTATAGTTTTTAATTTTGAACACATTAAAAAAACAAAATTGTTTTGTCTGTGTTATTCTCTCTGAAACAAATAAAATTGATTTGTTCCAATAAAGTATCTTAAAGAATAACTGTTTAAAAAAATTTTGTTTTAAACATTTTTAATGTGTAAAACGTTTGTTTTATGAATTAATTATATCATTTTTCAGGCATGTTTGTCACTGTGCGAGGAATTGAGAGCTTAGGAGAAAACTTTAAATTTCCCACGTGCCCTGGCTTTCTGAACATTTTTCATCCCTACGATCCTGTTGCTTACCGTATAGAACCTTTAATAAATGCTGCATTTGAAAATATACCTCCTGTTCAAGTACCGCATCACAAAGGTCGCAAACGAATGCATTTAGGTAAGACTTGGTTAAAACTAATCAATCAAAATTTCTTGAGATGGTGAGATGTTATAAATTATTTCTATAGAATTAAAGGACACCATGGCACACGTGGGAGCTGCTTTGAAAGATCGTCTTGTAAATACAGTGAAGACCACCTGGAGTACATTTTACCAGATGGCTATGTTTACTAAAAGTACCGAAGCAACTAATTACAATCCAAGAATGGTTAAAGAAAATTTTTTTAAATAAACTTGTAAGATTATTTACTACATTTTTATATAAAATAATTAGGTGTTAGACCAACAGCTTAAGTCACAAGCAGAATCTACAAAACAAAGTACATCTCATAGTAGTTCTAAGATTGGAAATCTCAATAAAGGCAACAGAGTGGACTATGTGTTGCAAGAGGCTCCACTCGAAAGTTTCAATGAATATTTATTCGCCGTGGGAAGTCATTTATGTTACTGGTAAGTTAACTCTTATGTCAGGTCACAATTGTAACAAAGAATCCTTAAAACTTGAATTTGGTACTGATAGTTTAATCACTGTTTGCACAGGGAGTCGGAAGATACTATTTTATTAGTGTTGAAAGAATTATACTCAGTGTTAGGCGTTTCACCAGACAGTCAAGTGCAACACGCGACAATGTTACCGTTTGATTTAGATGATGAAGACGACGGTTCAAACTATTCAACTAGTTTGCAGTTTGAAGAGCCTCCATTACTTAATTTATCGTTTAGCTCTCTGCCGCCTATTTTTGATGATAAACCGGAAAATTAGTTTAAAATAATAAGATTAATGTCATATCAAATTTATAATATTTAAAAAAAACCTTACTTTATTCTGTGATAATTTACAACTCTTTACGTATAAATATTTTTTTAATTAGAAATTTAAACATATACAACAATAATTAAATATTCATATAAATGTGTGTTATAATTTATAATTTATCACAAATACATCACAAAAAAATTCTTAACACTATACTTTCGTTGTTATTTGATATGTAAGTTATAATTATTGTAAATACATAAATAAATTTGGTTTTATATTATTATTATCATAAATAAACAGAGTATTTTTACATTTATTTTACAAAACTTTAATGATAAGTATTAAAATATATATAATCACATAAAACTTTTACGTTAGAATTTTACATAAAATACATTAAAATGTAAAAATATTATTTTTTAACGAGTTACAACAATTAAAAGTAATTTTATTTAATAATGATTAATGGTCATAGATAGTTGAAAATCTATCTACATTTTGTTTAAATTGTAACAGTCGACCAACAAAAATTATGATACATTGATAAAAATTATTAACATAAGGCGAATTACTTTTCAAAGAGTGTAATTTGCTAATTTAACATTGTTCTTCAATAAACTATCATAAAGTATTAGAAGAGGTTGTAAAAATCAAAGTTAGCCATTTTTCATTTAGATGGTAAAAAAAATAACATTAATCTATTCTTTATTATTATATAATTATTCAGTTGAAGACTTATTTATTATTTAGGAATACATTTTTTAAAATTTCTATCACACTTTGGCATTATTATACAGTTTATGTAAATATAAAGCTAGATCAAAACCTAACCGAAATTCGCTCAACCTTTTAGAGATTTTAAATACATTTATCTATAATAAAAAAAAATATTTTAAGATTTTTACTCATATTAACTCAATTAAAATTTGACTCAACTCTAGACAATAATTATTGTAATTACTGATTAAAATGAAAAAAATATTAAAATGTTTGTATTACATTATTTTGTTAATAAAATATATTACTATTTAAATTTTAAATAATAAACATAATAAGAAGTAACTATGGAGTATATATTATACATATTATCTATATGTGTTGGGTACAAAAATAAAATAATTGTGATCTATTAATTGTTTGTAAATACAGTTGGATAGTTAAATTACTAATTTATCAACATTTAAGTTATTCAGTAGTCTAAAATATTAATGACAATGATTTATATAAGTATAGCATTAGTAATAGAATTGAGTATACAAGATTATACAATACTCCATGGTAATAGTAATAAACAAGAAAGTCCAAATTGAATGGCAATAAAAAATCAGTTCTAAGAGTTCTGCATGTTATTTTAAAATGCGTCACATTTTCTATTATAAATATTATTCATAATAATAATAAATAAGTAGGTGTTAATTTTTATAAGTATGTACCAGGCCTATTTATATCTTTAACTATAAAAGTATAATTAATAAATTGCTTTAACTTATAAAATAAATAACAAGTTAAAACACAATATATAACTTACTATTGTATAAAACTTAAGTATTTTTGTTTTTTAAATGGAAATGATATATAATAATATTGCATAAAAAATATGCATTAAAACTAAAATTAACAACAGACAAATGTTTGTCTTTTAAATTTTCATACAATTTAAATAGGTATAGTAAAACACGCTATTATTGTACCTTAATAGTTTTTAATGTTTTCTTCAATGTGTACCAAGGATATAATAGTAACACACCTCCAATGCAGTATGTAATTTCTGGACCAATAGACCAATACACTGCAATAAATATTCATAATTTATAAATTATATTAATATTCATTATGTGGTTGTACGTGAGAAACTAATATTATGACAAACTAACATATCGAGGCAACAACGGGGCCGATTGCTCTGGCCAGAGCTCCCAACGAACGGAATGTGCCCATGGCTTTACCTTTGTGAGCACCAGATCCAAAATGAGACGCAAGCGTTGTCATACACGGAACAACAATAGATGTAGCTAAAAAAAAAATATTTAAAAAAATCATAATAGTGCTACAGTACTGTTTTACAAATTAAGTACTTACACAATGCATACAAAAATAACCCAAAAATTAAGAGCGGTGCAGAGTTGGCTAATCCAACGCAGAGAAATGATGGTACAACCAATAACAAGCCCTATATACAAATGTTGATAATTAATAAAAACAAAAGAAAAAGAAAGCCATTTTATTAAACAAACATACATACCATTACTGCTGTATTGGCTGTTCGACTTGGAGGAATTCTTCGTACCCAGCCACCTTGTATAAGTGCCATTGTTATACCAATACCAAAGAACATCCAACCTTGTTGCATTGAAGTATATCCAAATTTGTTATGCGTCAAAAACGTCAATGTAAATTCCAAACCAGAATAAAGAAACAAATAAACAAAATAAACACTGCCCAACGTACGCAATTTCTTGATTTCTATCGAACATAATAAGAGAAGATAATGTATCGTAATTTGTAATACTAAACAAAAATATTTAATATTTTACCGTCACTTGAAATAAGACCATCCAAAAGTTTGAATTTAAAAAGATCCACTACGTTAATGTAGGAGAGAGCTTCAGATAATTTTCCAATGACTGATAGTGCCCGATTTTTCTAAAAAATTTGAAAATAAAAACCAATAACAATAAAAACAATTTTAAAAATGTATGCCTATAATCAGAGTTGGGCAAAATTAATGTTAGATATAATTTGATAAATAATTGAATAGTAAAAACACAATTATTTTTAACTCAATAAATAAAGATAATTGGTTTATTTATTATTTATAAATAAGCAATTATCTCAAATAGTTTACAAATTAAGAAAAAAATATATTATTTTATTAAAATAATATATATATATATATATTAATTACTATAACAATATTTAATAGAAAATAGTTTGAAACAAAATAACATAATAAATCATTAAAAAAAATATTTCTTTGTTTATCACTTCATCTAGACAAAATAATTTCAATTACGTCCAACTCTGCTTATAATCTATATTTGGTACCTTTGGGAGCGATTCCTTGAATGCGAAGGTTACAAAAATAATATTAACCACAGTTAATGCAACCGCTAACAATGCAGGTTGAACAAACCAGGCTCCTTCTTGGCTATGAGACCATTTTGCATAAGCTGCTCCGATCATAGGACCAAAAACAAAACCTACTGAAAATGCTATACCAATCATTGCCTGAAAAAAAAATGTATAATAGATCAAACTAAAATCTAAATAAAGCTTTTCAACATCAATGAAAAAAATTGCTCCATGTTGTACTCTTATTAAAAATTTCAATTAGCAATTACCATTCCTCTTCCACGCTTTTCTGGTGAGTAAACATCGGTTACAATAGCCATAGACAAACTGACGTTGCCTTTACTAAGTCCTCCAATAACTCTTGCCCAGACAAATAATGAAAATGTTGTCGCTTTTGACCAAATTACATACGATGATAGTATTCCGATCTAAAATTTAATTTAATTCTTAAATCACCAAATAATTATACACAATAAGAAATTAATTTTTCTACAAACCAAACATATTATCATAACTGGTTTTCGTCCGTACACATCACTGATTCCACCAAGTATAGGCGATGATGTGAATTGCAAAAACGAAAACAATGAACCCAGGACTCCTAAAATGAATAACAGCATATATTTATTCACTTAAAATTATTATAAATATCTTAATGTAAATATACATTACCTCCAAATAAAACACTATTGAACCTATCTGGAACACCTATCATTTTCTGAAAAACTCCGACATATCCCTCCAACCATTGGTACAATCCTTCAGAGTCATTTTGTTTGTAATAGTCCAACAACGATGGAAATAATGGTAATATCATAGTAAACGCTAATAAATCAAATAGTAGTGAAATAAATACCACATAACCAGTGGTATTTGATGTTTTTGCAGCCATATGTGTGCAATATAAGACAAAAGCACTTTTATAAAAAACTAAAAGATAATTTCCAGTGCATTAAAACTAGTATTCGCTACGTGGTGAATTTTTAAATTAATAATTTTCCTCAAAAAATGTTACATAACAGCTTCAATACTTTCAGATTATAATATAGCTGTTGTACCCTGATAGTTCTTAAACAAGCGATATACTTTCACTTTTCGATTAGAAAGTGATATCAGATAATATCACATTTCGTCAGTTTCTAAAGGTTAAATTAGTTAATTACCTTTGAAAGTAGAAAAAAATTTAAATGCAAAAAAGTTCAAAGACCAAAGTAGTCTTTTTGTCGGTTTATTGTTTCAAAATTATCTATTTTAATAAACACCGGAATTTGAAATTCGGCATGCGCCTTAGAAACTTGATAAGATTATTGGATAAGAAATATATCTTTATTCCATGCATTTATAAATCATATTTTGATTTCGAAGACTCGTGACAAAGTTAACAGGTAAGTCAGCAATTTTTTAATATCACAAATTTGTAATATACTACAACACGGTAGCTGGTATTTTCTAGTAACAATTACACGGTCGCCCGACAACTTCAGCACTTTTACGCGGTTATCACAAGTTGCTGACATACCTGCTTCTTTATCGTTTGTCCTTGATACAATTTATCAATGAAACCAGAAGGGAAGCTTAGGTCAGGACTGATAAGTATCCGACATTTTGTTTTCGTGGATTACGTACAGTTATCACGATTTTTCCTAGAATTATCTATATCTAGCCGCGAAAACAGTATGGCAGTCGGCCTTTTCGGTGACTCATAACAACCCATGTAATTTTTTTAATAACAAATAACAAAAAGTAGGCCTACCGCTTACCTATTATTAGATGATGTATTCAGTAAAATGTCTAAAGTAAGTTTAATATAGTACAATTATGCTAAAATGTTTGTTTCGTGGAAATGTTTTTAACTTGAATTAAAATTGTAAAACCAATTAACATTAGTAAGATGGTAAACTTATTGATGAGTAACTTATCAACAAATGAACATACAACAACACTGGAAAAAAATAAGTACAAATATACTATTTTAAAATTGTCAATTTTTATATTTTATAGATCAAGGTTGAAAAGAACATGGTACAAATTAAAAAATTCATCTACCACATATTTACAAAGAAAAAATATAAGTTGGGAGGAAACCAGCGATGTGTGTTTAGAACCTTTATTTAAGTTTGTGGATAGATATACCGTCGTATTGAGTCAAGTAAGTTAAATAATGTAAAATTATTGTCTTACAAAATGTTAGTATTATAACATAAAAAAAAAATTTAGTAGTGTTTAATATTAAACATGTGCGGTTTTATAGGTGATGGTAGTCTTGGTTGTTGTTCTGACAACTTTTGTTGTGATCGTCTCTTATTGGATTGGATTACCGTATTGGTGGAATAAAAGTAAACCCGTCACTGTTTGCTTGTTGTTGGTTGGAAATTGGCTATTGATAAATGTAGTATTTCATTACTATATGGGAGTAACAACATTACCTGGTTACCCGTCATCTGTTAGTTAAAAATGATTGTAATTAAAAATTGGCTAAATTATGGATAATATTCTGTTATATTGTTATTTGTTGAACAATTATTTAAAAATTTGTATTATTATATAGTTAACATAGGCTTAAATGGTTTCATTTTTTTTCCAGAGCACTTTAATAATCAATGATGTGATAAACTGTAAGAAATGTGATTCTCCTAGACCTCCTCGAACACATCACTGTTCAGTATGCAACAAGTGTATCCTGAAGATGGATCATCATTGTCGTATCCTTATGTTATTTATTTCTGTATTAAATATTTTTTTTTAGAAATTTATTCTTGCAAAAATATTGTTACAATAAAAAATGAATTCTTAACTTTATATTATTTAGCATGGTTAAATAACTGTGTTGGGTTTTATAACCATCGATATTTTTTTCTGTACATGGTTTATATGACATTAGGTTCTTTGTTTTTGATAACTTTCGGGGCCGATCTGGTTTTTACTGAAGTATTCTACAAAGAAGAACATCCAGTAGGTCATCCGGTGAAGATAAACACTTCGTTGCCTACAGTATGTTAAAATAGAAAATATTTCTTTACTTTTGTAAAAATGTTAAATTTCTCTATTTTATTTCAGGACGAGTGGATACTTACTTCTCAAGACGAATCCGATAACGAACGCGACTATGAGGCTGAGTGGAGATTTTGCTGTATTGTGTTTATTACTTTCATAGCCTGTAGTAGGTTTATTTATTAAAAAATTAAGTTTTTAGTTAATCCCTCGATTCTTAGTACAATTAATTTATGTTCTTTATATTTAAAATAAGCAATTTTTTTTACCTAAAACCTAAGTAACAAGTTCAAAACAAAATGTTTAATTTTTATATTTGTATTTTTTATCACAGCAGTTTTCATTGCCTTAGTAATTTTAACTATATGGCATGGCTTATTAATAAGTGGTGGTGAAACAAGTATTGAAGCTCATATTAATAAATATGAAACAGAACGCATGGCTGTTTTAAATTTTGAGTATATTAATGTTTATAACTATGGCGCGAAAATGAATTGGATACTATTCTTGGGACTTCACAGTGGAAGGTAATTTACCTCAGGTAACCTCAGCTTTCATAAAGCAACTTGGACTTACAATCTGTTAACTATTAGCATAGATCAAAGTACATATTATATTTTTACAATGCAAAATATTAATTATTTATAATTTTTACTTAACTAAAGTGCATTTATTCCGTTTTGTGCTCTTAGCCTAAAAGTTTCGATATGATTTTGACCAGAGTTGTGCAAATTCTTATTCAAATAATTACTTTGAAATTTATTTGAATGAAAAATTATTCGAATAAAAAATAGTTTTACTATAGATACTGACTAAATATTTTGTAAATGTATTATATTAGAATGTTTTAAAAAATAATTACTTAAAAAAGCACTTACAAACTATTTTTGGAATTATTTGAATAAAAAATTATTCAAATAGTTATTTGCACAATTTTTTTTTTAATTATTCATATAAAAAATGAATTAAATACATTTTACTCGATTAATGTATTGTCTACATCTAGATGATTTTTTAGATAACTTTTAGATATTTTTTATTCAAATGATTCACAACTCTGCTTTTCCCTATAATTATTGAGAAACAAAAAAATTATAATAATATTCTTATTCTTTTTGAAAGAGAAAATAAGGATTATATTATAATGTTTATATAATATTTTACGTATTTCAGCCACATACTTCAACTGTCTATAGCATAAAGACTATCATTTTAATATTGTTTTAGAGATTGGAGACACATAATATTTCCTTCGTCTCATAAGCCTTTGGGTAATGGATATATTTGGCCTACATCAGATGATATGAAATGTGTAAAATTGTAGTAACAAGAACGTAAGTAAGTATACATTTTATTACTCTTAAGTCAACAAATCACAGAAGCGGACTGAGCTAAAGAGGGGGTCATTTGGGTTAATAAAGTTTTAGATTAGGGGCTGGTCGCTGGTGTATTACATTATGTTTGTATCTCATTACCAGGTTGTATGATAAAAATAAGTCTTTTTTTTTTTTTTAACTATGTTGACAACTATTACATTTGCTCCCTCGACCAAGGTATTTGAAAAAATATAAGTATCGCTATCAAAACTCATTTTTCTTTAAAAACAATATATTAAGTCTTAAAAAATACCTCAGAATAAAAGTTATTTCAAAGTTTATTTTAAGTTCATAAAAAAAATACAGATAAATAAATTAGTAATTTATGGTCATAATATAATATTTACCTCTTACAATACACTTACGACTTGTCATTAATAAAAAACATTGTAACCACATGTAATTTTAAATGGCAATAACAATAATGTATTAACATTTTAGTAATTTATGACACAATATTGTTTTGCATACTTTAACTACTAGGATTATAAAATATTATTAATATATATATAATATAATATTGCTACATTAGTATTTATTTTTAATTATGGTTTTAATAATGTTATAAATCTAATAGTAATAAATTATTTACAATAGTCAAAGGTACAAATCAAAATAAACCAACATATAATTAAATCATCTTAATATTTTAGAGCCACACTGTTTGTTCAATCCAAGATAAATAAGATGATACTCTGGTGTACACACCAGGTGAATTTTCAGTGGCACATTGTTTTCCAAATGAAGTAACACCAACTACGTTAAAAATGCACATATTCTTCTCTGATCTTATCACTAATGGTCCGCCAGAATCGCCCTAAAAAAAACAGTAAGTTATAAGATTGATGTAGGTTGTATTAACTATTATCCTTCCATTTGCTTAGAATATAATGACATTTTTTAGTCTTCTACTTACCAAACAAGTGTCATGTCCTCCAGCTAAGTCTCCAGCACATATCATAGTGTCTATAATACCTTTATTTAAAGTATTTGTTTTACTCTCGGCTTCATATAACTTATTGCAACGTTGATTTTCAATCAAGTCTAAATCCACTTTCAACAAGTGATCGCTTGAAGTGGAACCTACGAATTAAAAAATATATATAGTTTGGGTGTATAATGTTAAAAAAAAAAGTTTTGCATATATTAGCGTTGAATACCAAAATCGGTGCTTCCCCATCCGGTAGCCGTAACTTTATGAGCATTAATCGTATTTTTGTTGTAAAGACAAGCTGGTCGGATGTTTTTATTGAACTGAACATTCTTATCCAAACGCAGGAGTGCGATATCGTTATATTTTGATGTCTTGATATATTGTGGGTGTACTATGATTTCTTCTATGGTGTAATCTACTGGTTTAGCACCGTCATCTGATTTATGTATGTTTAAATCACCTAATCTAACTCGTACAGGATTTCCTCTGTGAAAACAAAATATTGTAAGGGCTTAATTTAAGATTTTTTTAGTTTAAATGCGTTTTTATTTACAATTTATACATTTTTTTTTCCGTATATATTTAGACCACAAGGCATAAACATGAGACACGTACTTCGAAAATCGTTTTTCTCAGTTTGAGAAACTTAGTTTAAATTCTAAGATAACTTAGGGTTTCATTGTTTTTACCTTGTGGTAATATGAAGGTATATATTCCAAAATAATGGTTATTATATTTTATTCATATGCGACATTATTTTGTTTTATATAAATGCAAACAACTTAATTTGAATGAATTATAAATTAGCAATTAATTGATAATAGAACTTACAGAGCACTATGTGTACAATGAGCGGCTGTCATAACATATCTTTCACTTATTAATGTTCCTCCGCAATTCCAAGGATTCCCACTTGCTGTTCGAAAACCAATTGCAGCCTGTAAAGAAGTATTTATAATTAAGCACATTGAAATCATGTTTTTTTGAGTTTGTATATCATACCATGTGAGGAAATTCTCCCAGTTCTGCTTTGGTTCCGCCTACAATTAATCCAACTCCTTTTGAATCACATTTTTCTACAGATATAGGTCTTGGCGATGAATCAATTGACAAAGGCAATGCAGAAATAGTAGTCGTTAAAGTTTTTGAGTATTCTTCACATTCTACAAGTTATTAAAATATTGTATAAAATGTATATATTATTAGCTTTTTTTTAACCTACTAGTTTCGCTGATGCGTTTAGTGTTTGCATTTGGCCTTGTCGGATTGTTATAATTTCCATTGGTATACCTTTTGGTCGTTGTGGTTTCTTGTGTATAATAATTGTTTTCGTTATCAGAATTATTGGGGAAAAATATACTACTGGTTGAATGTTGATTATTATTATTATTAATTGGTCTATTACTTTGGCTTGACCAAGTTGGACGATTATTGGAATTTTGAGAGTTAAAACCATTTGAAGGGCTAAGAGTGTTTACGTAAATGTTTGAATTTGGCCTTTGAGTTCCATAGTTAGGATTATAATTATTGTTTTGATTTGATTCGTAAGGAAAACTATTTGGCCGATTATTGTACATTTGATTTTGATTCGGTTTTTGACTCGAAGTAGTACTAGGGTAGTTATTGAAATTGTTCTTGTTTGATTGGTAAGATTCACCTGAAGGGTAATTATAAGTATTATGGTTATAATTAGGTTTTCCAGATACAGTGGGGTGGGTATTATAATTGTTATTATTATTATTATGTTGATTGTATGGATTAGTTTCATAATTGTTATTGTTATAATAAAAATTGTTATTGTTACTATTATGGTTCTGATTTGGCGTATGTGAAGATACAATTGGATATTTATTTTGATTTTGTTGATTTATATTTTGAAAGGGATTTTGACTTTCATAATAGTTGTAGTTGTTATTTTGAGGTGTTTTGGTTGTTCTTTCGTAGTTATATGATTGCTCAACATTTGAACCGTCAATATTTTGACCATAAATAGTAGTCATATATTTTTTCTTAGTAGGTTTTGTGACTACACCTTGATCTAGGTTTTGATAAGGCCTCTCTTCTAAAAAATGTTCAATGTTATTTGGTCTTAACACATTGTTATTGGGTAATTGTTGTTCTTGTGGTTGAAAATAATTTAAGTTCGGCAAATTAATTTTTTTAGAATGTATAATAGGAGCGTTAAAGAAATCTGCACTGAACCCAAATCTAGATTCCAGCTCTTCTCCTTTGTTCTGGTTGTCGTTCGAATTATGTTTTCCATTATTAGAATCATTTCCAGAACAACAAATTATATTCTGCCCTGAATTACATGTCACTCCTAAATCGGCATTTTCAGCGCAATCATCTCTGAGTTGGCATAACCCTTTGACTCCGTTTTCATTTGTACATTCGCTACCAACTTCTGTGTAAACAAATAATATGTATATGTTAATTAATTTGAGTGAAAATGAGTTTTAGATTTTTATAAATGTACCATTTTTTTGAAGGGCAAGAGTTATGCCCAAGTGAATATTCTAAATGTATTAAACAAAGGAACAATTAATTTTTTTACTAACTAGTTATCAATGTTTATACAAAAAAAATTTAACTCGTAAGAGTGAGTGTACTAAATTTTAGCTGGTTTCTTTCTTGTTAGGTAAAGAATAACGACTCTGCGTAATCAAATGTCAAAATATCCTGCAAGAACTGTAATTATAGGTTACGCTATAATTTTAATTGTTTTATTTTACAAGCTAAAAAGTTTAAATAAGTATATGAAAACAATTTTAATGTGTATAATTATACAAACCTTGAACGGACTGAAAAATATTACTCAATGTATCAAATATGTTTTGCAGTTCATTCCAACACATTCGGCTCGTGCAGACAACTACTAACTGCTTTACAATAGATACATATTTTAAGTATCACGTGGCTCAGAATGCAAAACATCCTAGGCTCCCCAAATATATGATTACAAAAATTATAAACGAGCGATAGTATTATTATTTAGTATTAATCAAAGTGAACGATATGTAATAACAAAATTCTCAAATCTCAATACATACATAATAAATAAAACTCAACAAGTGCCAGTTACTCGATGGTCTAGGAAGGCATTTAATTGCATTCTGAGTTTTATAAGTGTATTATTTTTTTTTTTTTTAGAATTATTTTGGCATTGTTAATATTTAATAAAGTACCTAAAGTCGTTTTCTAAATTTAGATCAACAGCGTAGTCTATCCCGGGGGCCACGTCCTCTGTGAACTCAATAGGTACCATTGATTAGGGCCTGTAAATTCATATATTTGTATTAATTTACTGAATGGTCCGAAAATAACTAGATGAGCTACAAATTTAAATTGTTCTTAAAAGAATCCAAATTCATAATTGTGTTTTATATATTTCTGGTTTTATTTTTAATTTTTTCGATATTTACAGCGTATTTTGCTTTAGTTACATTTGTTCTATCTAAAAGCAATAAAAAAAAAGGTTTTAATCATTTTTAGAAAAAAAGAGAAATATAGTATAACGTACAATATATAAATTAATATTATTAGATAAAAAAGAAAACTTGTCAATTCATTTGTTTGTAAATTGTTTTATTTGTGATTTTTTTTTTTGTATTGATAATATTTTAAGGTTTGTAAATAAATGTTGTTTCTTTAAGTATAATGTTTTTATTATTATTAAAAACCATAAAAATATATATGAAAATGAAAATTGTTTTAAGTGCATGGACTTATTGGACCTAATTTCAATCAATACTAATACTTTTCCATATTTCCGTAATTCATTTTGAAAAAAGTTTATTGTAAATTTGTTTGCTTTAATGTGAAGCTGAGAAGGTTTTGCACATACCATGTGGTTTGTTAAAATAAATATGAGATTTGTAAATTGTCTTGTTCAATTGATAGAAAGTCAACAATACTAAAATGTATAAAAAATCGTCTGTATTTTATTAAATCTATGTTAGACTTAGTTAATAAAAAAAAAAAGCTTTCTTTGATGTTTGTCGAATCGATACTTTTGTACTGAGTAAACCGTAGGCTATTTACAACATGGAGAGCCACTTAAAAAAATCGTGCAGTTAACATGCAGATGCAGACAAGCGACTAAGAGTTATACAAGGATCCCGAATGAAGCATGTACTTCCTTAAAACGAATATTATAATATTTGGACTTCGTGTCACACGTAAGCAGATATCGACAGGTCTTTGTCCTTATTATTAACTCGTTTTACGTATATGGGAGCTTAACCTTCTGTATATAATTTAAGGTACATCAACTATCATTTATTTATAGGTACTTATCGAGTTTGTGATAATATGTCTTTGACAGGTCACAAGTACTAGCTTCTTTACAAACAGTTATATATTTAAATTTTCAAATTACATTTATACTAAATGTACGAGTTTCAAAGTTTATACTTTTCTTTATTTTGATTTCTGAAGGGATTTGGATCTCCAATTTGGCTCTTGAGTAATTTAGTATTTACTATACTCGTAGACATTCGAGAAGTTCGAAAATGTTTTGTATAACGCTTAAGGTCGTAGCTTTTAAATTGAGTATCTCCCGAAAATCGTATTAATTCCGGTTTTTTCTTGGAGCTTTAAAGCCTAAATTTCGAACTGTATAAAATATTTTTCAGAATTTTATATGCTGTACAATATTTTAAAGTTAAAAATAACGACTTTAATATGGTAAAAGTGATTGTTCTTTAACTTTTGACGTTTTTAAACAGTTTATTGGTGTACAATCTTTGTTCTTTAAACTGTATATAACTGCATTACTATATAAAAATTACTTTATAAATAATCTGAAATCTGAAATAAGAAGTCTTGAACAGTTAATCCACGTCATCCTATGTAAATATTATTTTATTAAATACCGTAACCTACGTAATGTTTTAATGTGTTTTAAACATAACAAAACACAATTAGCATAATATAAGTACAGACTAGAGTTGTTGTCTTTATACTAGTATAATATAACCAGTTGGAATGTCGTCATAGAGATACTATAATAATGTAGTTATGAGTTTTTAAATAGCTAATAACTACCCAAATGTCATATGTGTTTAACAATTATCATTAATAAAAATAAAATAATATACTACTACTTATAATAAACCAAATGGCTAGTGTATTCATTTCGTAGATATGCATATATTTTTATAACATCGGATTCTTATGAATATTGAATATACATCTTTCATCTTTGTATTATTAAAATTGAAAAAATATCAACTAGAGAATAGCTTATTTTGCATAACTCTAATTGTACACACGAGGCTGAATTTGTGCATAATTAAATATGAGTATATTTTCAATTTTAATCGATATCACATTTTCTACCAGATTTAAAATACAATGAATTGTTTTAAATGGAATATTTAAATTTTACAATGAAGACAACCGACATTGTGCTACCGATCTTATACTTGCGTTAAATATATAATTTATTTATATTTGTTATATTTAAACGTCGCGTTTATTAAATTATTATTTTGCTTAATGTCAGGACTTTAAAAAAATTGGTTTATTTAGGTATATCTGTAAAAGTTTTAAGGTTACTAGGCACATCACGAATCCTAAATTTATAGGTAAAACAGTGTTTCCCAGAAACCTTGGCATTCAATACAACAGTGATGTTGAGAACTAACATTTATAATTATTTAGTATTAATTTTGCACTAAACTGTAATACATTTATAAATATTCTATAATCGGTTAGATGCGTTGAATTGCTATTAAAAAAAATATGTATGAAGTACCTACAGCAGGAAATTCTCAACCCGGACAAACTAATTATAATTAACAAAACATTGGTCAAAATGTAACATTTAATCAATATTCTTTTACTAGCAAAAATGTTGTAAATCGGTTATAGAATCATTTATTTATTTTCTTAGATGATTAAATGACACGCCTGTGTAGTCGCTTAGTTACCCAAATTCTTTCAGAATACAACTTTGTCACGCTTTTAATTCTCAAAGATAGTAGAATTGAGTCCAAACATTTTTTTTGCCGTAATAAGCAGTGAAAAAATCGTTAAAACTTTTGACCCTGTTGTTGTTTTATATTATTTGACGTATTCTTGCGGAAAGACTTTTGAAGAGTCGCTCATTATATTAACCTAACGTTTAATTTTTAAATAGATACTAATTGTTAGACAACACAGACAAAATGTAAGTAATTACAATTATTAGATGCGATAATTTAATTCAAATTCACTTCAATTGAATACGTCCAACATAACAACTGGTTATTGGAGGTTGTTAACGATTGACAATTTGTACTTATTAGTGCCAATAAATAATTATATTTAAATAAACTACTTATTCTAGTTAACTTTTTAAAACTTAAATGTGTATAATACTTTAATAAATATTTGTCATTAACTAAATTTATTCCATATTATAACTGAATATGCTGGTTTTAAAATGTTGAGTAGTTTTATTTTTTATTAAGCGTTCGAAAAGTTAAACATGTGATTTGTCCAAGATTTATCGTACAAGGGGCGATGTTTCTCAAATATATAAAGTTAACAACTAACTTATATATATCTTCTAATTGTTATTTCATTAGAATAATTTATTGAAATAAACTAATAATTTGGAGTCTTAACGTCGATGTCTATTTTTCTTTAGTTCAAATTTATTTTGTTATGTAATGTAATCATATTATTAGTGTAACGTTATACACTCGATATTCTTGGGCGTATTTTTTAAAAAAAATGGCCGCATAATGCACTTTACTTGCCAAAACATCAATAATGAAATCGAATGAGGATAACTTTTTAGAGAAAATGTCGTATTCGTCTTAGAAATATTTTCTAATAAATTAACTGTTTCTACATTTTTAAAGTTTTGAGCTAATTACTAAATACCTATTCGAATTATAATATTTCGATTTGATAATTGTTTATTTTGCTTTAACACTTTTGTGGATTAATAAATTGTGGCATTAAGAATAATAATAAATACTTCCAGTAATTTATTGTTACTATACTGAAAAAACGTACTCAATAATTTTAGCTTTAACAAGGGATTTTGGAAAAAAAATCTTTCGATAAATCCTCAACACTTAAGTGATAAAGCGTATTTAGTTTAATGTATTATATGAATAATCAAATTTAATTGATGTTAATCCTTGACCTTTAACCGTTATCAGGCTGAATTAAATTGTCCCATTAATTAATTGTAAATTTCTCAAGGTGTTTTATTGCATAATAAATTGTTTATCTATTATTGTATATACCTTATTAATTATTAATATGAAACTGCATTAATTTGTATGTATGTTATATTAATTTTTTAAATATATATATATTTATATATTTATTATACATTTTTAAAATACATTTTTTTGTCTAGCTTTACTTAGTTTATTAATCGATTTAAATTTTTTATCAGGTTTTGTGTGTTATTAAATTTGGAAAAAACATTACATTTTCCATTTTATTAATTAATAGAAAAATAATAACTAAAAATGTATTATTGTACGTACAATTTTTAAGTATTAATTTTGTTAGTTTTTTTCTACACTTGCGAAATTTTTAAAATATTTTTTTTACAAACATTTATCTATTTCCTGCAAACGATAGTACTCGAATGGAAAATTACTTTACAGTGAACCGGAAATACAGATAATAATTTTATACTATAATGTGCTCTAAATAAAGTAAAATTAAATGTTTCAAAACGACCTTTCAGCATTGTTGGCGCTTGGCATTACCAGTGTTTTACGTTAATATATTTAATGGTTTATAATTAAAAACTGTACGCATAAGTCTTGTATATTGTAACCAAAGGAATTTATTGGATACACATTTTTTTTCAGATGATGCACTAAAATTTCACTTACATGGACACAATCTAGTATATTATGCTTATACATTAGAAATTTTACACTCAAGTGTACAAGTCTAAACGACTTACCTTGTCTGAGTGTTACACCACAAGACACAATTGTTAAGGCGATAATTACTCCTCGTGGCCAGTTCTGTATACTACACATATTAACACGATTCACACAAGGACAACGAAAACATTTATATGAATAACACCAGAAGATATACACTATATACCGGTTCGTCGGACAAGACGAGACTGACTGGACAACGCTTATTAGTTATTGATAGCGAAAATGAGCTCTGAAAATCGTGTATTCTGGTTTCCCACTACATATAAATATATAAACGATATGTATAAATAATAAGCGAGAAAGACCATGTTTAAATACCACTTCTTAGGAAATATATTATCTCCGGCTGGGAAAAACCTTGAGGATTCATATAATATTATAATTATTATTATATTTGTTAGAGAAAGCCTGTCAGCTCCCATATGATAATTTATTTGTTTATTTACTCGTTTATGATAATTTTTCAGAATTAATTAGAAATGACCCTTCATTCACATCGATTTTATTTTAAAACAAATTGTCGTTATGTGTAAACAAATATCAATAATATTACTCATTTTAATTTTGATTAAAAAAAAACAAGTAGAATACCTTCTGAATTAGTATTACATTTTTTCTTCTTTTTTAAAAAACATTTGAAGCTAAAAAATACAAAAATCTCTCTTTTTAAATCTTGCAAATAAAATGTTATGATATCGATAACACGACTAACTTACCGTACATAAACTAATTGCAAAAACGGAGCTTTACATTAGAAAAATACATTAATTTTTATGATTTTACTGAATAATATAATTTTTACTACAGGTTTTTTTTTCTTTTTTTTTATTGATATTAGAAATTAGAAAGAACGTTAGTTTTTTTTTATGAGATTTCACCAAAAGTTATTAAATCTCTACAATTACTAAATAATATATAATAACGTTAGTTTTTTGTTGAATGATGAGTCGCTAGTACGTACCTAGTTAAGTACGATTTTAGATCAACAATAATTATTAAGATAACATAATGTATTTGGAATATATTTTTATGAGTGAATTGATTCACTTAGGAATTCCATTGAAAAAAGAATAGTATAAAAAAACTAGACGACTATAAAACAAATACCTATTTAGCTGTAGAATCCACGTGGAAGCTATATATATCAACTTGGGAAATAATTATAGTATTAGTGCCCCACCTATGCAACACTACTACCTGTACTTAGTTAAGAACGTGTAGCATTTTGTAAATTAATATTGATGTATAATTCTTATTTGAAGGTTATTTCTGTTTTGTTTACGCGTTGACTGCTTTTGTTGACGTCTTGCGTATACATTTATTTTTTAATTTTATTGAGATATGCGTCTTACATAATGCGTCAACGTAATACTGATTTTACACAAAAAAAAAAATTATAATAAATTAAGGGTATAGATTCGTAATAATCCCGTTCACGCTTGAACGTAGAAGAAATTCACTACAATTTTCGTGTACAAAAAATATATTACTTTAAAAAATGACAAAAATTAATTTTTATTTAGTGTATTTTTCTTCTTTTTTTTTGTCATCCTGGTTTTGGTCAAGCATTTGTTTTGTACGTTTTTATGACACTGTCCATTCTTCGTATGATGTTCATGAGCGGTCTCATTTGTTGATGGTCATTGTGCTGTGACGTACTAGTCGTCTCCGCCGTGATCTTGTGGTGATGAGTCTGACCTTCAGACTTGGTCGCGCCACGCTTGCATTCAGTCGGCTGCGCAGGTGCTAACAATCTTAGACCTATGTCCAAATCTGGATCTCTGCAGACAACAGCCATACATATGTATATATTGAATATAGGACTCTACAAGACAAAAAAAAACATTGCAGAAAGCTTACTTTTTGTACTGAGCCACGTAAACCGGCGAACTCCTGGCCGGCGTGTACACGCCGAAAGCCAGAATATGATCGTGTGGATGATAGTCGACGGCACCGCTAGTGGCAGTGGCCGTCAAGGGCTGTCGGTTCGTGTAGAATGCCAATTGCTTGCCAGTGTACGCTTCCCAAACGTTCACGGGACCGTCTTCGCCACATGCCAACACCAGGTTGCCGCAGGGACTCAAAACGCAACCGGTTTGCACCTTGTTGTTTACACCGCCCTGTATTTAGTAAAAAAAAAAATATAGAAGGTAATTTTGGAAATTTCCATTATAACGAGCTCAAATGTATCGTTTTATCATTCTCTAGCGTGTGTACATTGGCACCTCTATTTTCTTATGCCTTATTGGCTTGATATAAACTTATAATTGTGCCTATGCAATCGCTGCAATTTAAAGACACTTTAGTGTCAATAATGCACCCTTAGTCCCCATAAGCCGTGATTATTGTTGGGTACTCAGTTACGAATTATGGTCACAGATACCTTAATTTCAGACTGAATTATTTAGCTGAAGTAGCTAAGCTACAATTGACGTAAGAATATAAAAACTGATGTGGTCAATGAGCTTTCCCAATTAGCATCAGTGTCCGTTTCGATAATATTTTATAATACAATATCGGTTACCCGAAACCATTGTACAATGGCGGCTGTTTGCAAGTCCATCATGCGCAAAACGCTGTCTCTGGTCTGTATTAATAGCCGTTTGCCACCTGGATGGAGCTGAATATTGCTGATGGTCACATTCCTTATTTCCGGAACCAGTATGGCCCTTTTCATTTCCAATCTTTAAAACAACAATACCATTAGTCAACGTCCGGGCCGTGTTATTTAGCCGGTGGGTGTGCATTAATTTAAAAATTATTTTTTTAACCACTATTACAATATTATAATAAAGATATTGTGTGACACACCGGCTTTACCTGTTATCCACCAACGTCCATTCGACGATAAACCCTTGGCTGTCAGCCGATAGTATCATGCTACCTCGATGAGCAACACTCGATATAAATCCTTTGTGGAATTCCATTTCTTGGCACAAAGTCCATTTGTTATGAGTAAAAATCCATAGTCGCAAAATGCTGTCGTAGCATCCGGTCAATATGACGTCGTCACTGTATTCCGCGCAGTACACGTATGACGGATGCGGAAGTATCTGTGAATGGATGACATATTGAGATAAAATAAGTGCGCTACAGATTATTTGATTGTACACATGTAAACACTAACTTGGAAGTCAGTTTTGTCGCCATCTTTAAGCATCCAAATGCAGGCAGTATAATCGGAAGACGATGATAGAATATGGCAATTGTCTTTATTCCATCTTAAAGTGTAAACCAAACCTAAGATATTTTACAAATATGATTATAAGCAATTTTACAAACTTTTCTCGTCTTTAGCTGTCTCAATGGAGTATCTCAATTATTTTTCTTACTCATTTCTGTGTATTACAATCAATATAAATATTTAAAAAGAGCATTGAAGCTAAAAGTGTTTCTTTGTTCCATTACATTGTTTAGAATCGAAAATTATTAAATAGATGTATTTTGAACATTAAACATTTTAGACATCACTAGACGAATCATTTACTTTTTAGTATACCGCTAATTCTTAATTCAAGCGAAACCAAACGCATTACTACAATTATTACGAGACTGTAGAAGGCTCGTTTTTTGAATTTATAGGTAATTGAAGTATCTCGATTAATAAAATTTCAATTTTTAAAAATCTGTTATTTTAATGAATTAATGTGTCGTTGTCAGTTATTATAGAAATAAACTGATATTGGACAAACTTCGCCAGTTTAGAAACCTTAGTCTTTGTGGGAAATATAATAAAAGGTTAAGAATCTATGCTATCTTTTGTATAGATCTTCAGAGTACCTAATTTAATATTTTTAAGTAAAATCTTTTGTTAAATTTTTACTACAATACTATAACATAATACTTGTGACAATTACTGTACGACTAAACAAATTTACCTTGATGACCCAACAATTGTTTGAGTAATTTGAACTCGGGAACAGTGTAGATATTTATCACTTTACTGGTGGCCACTGCTAATTTAAGGCCATCGTGACTGAATTTCAAACACATGCAACCCTCCGAACTCGGCTGAAGCTTTGCTATTTCAGAATTTGGCAATTTACATTTTTGCCCGGGAAATCGTTTCCATTTCACATCGTACTCCTGGAAAGTAAAAAGTCGGTTCTTAGTTAGTTCTCAACGCGGTACACAAACTGGCAAATACCTGGAAAGTCTCTGGACTGGAGCTTAGCGTTTCGTCTAAGATTTCCCGCAACGAACCGGAACTACCAACTGAACTTCTTTCCAAACGATTGTCGGATACCGCTGTTGTTTCGCGATTTATTTCATTCAAACTTGCATAAAGAGTGCTCGGGTACTTTTGGAGAGTTCCTTTTTTTAACCAATGTGCGACCTGAGGAATGGGGAAACCCAAACATTTTACTATGCAGTGTACTTCACGCGTTACCTCTATGTACTAAATATAAAACGTTGATCATAATTAGATACCATCGGACGGTTTTTATGAACTGACTTGGGAGCTCGCCCGGGTTTGTATAGTTGCAGTCTTAGCGGTTTACCCGTGTTTTTTGTGCCATTAGATCCGACAGGCTTGACGAACGCCCAAGCTATTCTGTACCAATCATTTGACATTAACGGCGGTCGATTGGACCCAACAAAGTCTACCAGCTCGAAAAAAATCGTCGTTTTCTCTGTTATTACATTAACGTACGGTTCATCGACCGATATTCTCTCGTTCCAGCCAGGCAGTACTGTTCTAAATGTATACATTTTAAATAAGTCAATTATAATGATACTAACTAATAATAATTTTTGCACGTCATCCTCATCATACATTTGTTTTCTTAACTACATTTTATTATAAGTGTAAAACCAAGCAATAGTAAACAATTTCTAAAAAATATCTTTGAAGTGCATGTAAGGAAAATATATAGTATAAGCGATAAAAGAAATTAATAAAAAAAAAACTAAAATTATCAATCTCAAATATCTAACGCAAGTGAAATCGGAAAAAATTACCTACAATTTACCGCTTTATTTTCTAACTGTAAAAATAATTATAAATCTAACTTGTAAAATGTAAAAAATAAATAAGCACATTTTGTTTCCCATTATTTTTCTTACTTGTTTGTTTTAAAATTAAATTCGCTGGTTAATAATGGACTAATGTTGACCATTTGACCGTTTCCGTCCTTATCGTTCTTCTTTAAATACTCCCACGCGGAAGAATCGACAATATGAATAATAATACTAGGGTGTCTTATTCTCGTATCCACTTTCAAAATATCGGTTTTGTGGATATAAATCTCTAAATTTGATCCTATTTTTCCATCTACATAAATATTGTTATTTTTAGGTTATATATACAAGGTATTTTTCGTATAAAATATTTATTATTACTTCTCTGCGGTTCGTTTAACTTCTTTGAATCGTTTGTAGGTTTTATCTCTTTCATTTCAATTACATTTTTTCTTAAATGTTTTGGTTTTCTCCTGAAAATATTAAAAAAAAAAAAGTTAAAATGACGAAATGTGTTGTTTTTTTAGTTGTACATTAACAATAATATTTTTATTATTTATGTATTGACTTTACTTTAAAGGTACTATTCGTATTTTGTTTGAACTGTCTGTATTATCACTTTCACTCAAATCAATAGATACACTTTCTTCTGGCGTTATCGGTCTGCTGTCGGGTAAGCTACTCTTGTCTGATATTGATGAAATGGTAAGTTTACTCTTTAAACTATAACTACTTGATGAAGTTTTACTCGTGATAGAACGAGGATAGGGCACAGGCACGTTTGAAGAAGAAATATCTGCGAATAGAAACACACATTGACACATAACACGTACATTACATCTTGAGTTTACGTGAATAATGTATGTGTCGAATTATTGTTTATGTTAAAAAACGGTTTATTTACTTAAATTTTCTTTCCATTCTTGAACTATTGGCGATGGCGTTTGACTGATAGAAAACGTTTCTGAACCTTCTCTGCATTTAAATGAATACAATTGTTTTTTATACAGCAAAAACAAATAATATTACATCTCGACAGCTTTATTTATACCAACTATCGGCTATATATAATTTAAATTTAAACTGTGTATGCAGATTGAAGATTTTATGGTTTAATATAATTTTTTGGGAATTTTTTCGATGTATATTGTGTATAGTTTAACCGAAAAAATGTTCAAGTATTCAATTTTACATATGTACTGAGTACATCCACAGTGCGATGCAACAAGCTTCGCTCAGAAAATGAACCTGAAATGGTTCTCAAACCATGTAAAATTGAAGAAAAGAATACAACCGAACTAATATAAAACAATTATTTTTGTTTAAAATTTGCTTACTATAAAATGTTAACAGAAAATTGGTCGTACATACCTTCCATTGCTTATTGATTCCATTGAATTTGAATTGTGCTCTAAGAGTAATTTTTTTTTCCTGGGTTTAACTTTCGGCGGTTCCTATCATCATAAAATTGGAAATATATTTGAATACGGTTATCGATTCAGATTTAATTCCAAATTAGGTTAATAACTTTGAAAAAAATTCAAAATTCATAATTTAAATTTTAAATTTTAACTCACGTCAGCGTAACTAAACCACAATGTTTTACAATCTTACCAAGTTATTTTAAAAGTGGAAATTTTACTACAATTATCAATTAGTTTAACAATTTCTTAAAATATTTCAAGGTTATTATATTTTATTTTATTTTTGTATAAATTCCCAAAAAATAAACTGATTATTACAAATATTTAATGAATTTGATTGATACATTTAATCGATTGCATTAAAACCATAATAAAAATACAATGTCTTACTTCTAAAAGGTATTCTCTGGAAGATGATTTCGATAACATACCGCACTGGTTGCTATTCAATTCGATGAGCTCTACATCTGAGTCGTCCATTTTTATTAATTCTCATGTACGTCAATTATTATTTATGTATTAAATTAATCGTATAAGTAAAGTATCAATAACATGTGAGTGTTATTGTATAACATGTAGGTATTTAATAGTAAATTCATGAAATAAAAACAAGATTCGATTTTTTTCTGGCTGTTGTTATATGATTTATTTTATATAGTAAAACAAAAAACATGCAAGAATCATACAACCTACCCAATTTTGCGCATTGGATTAATAGTTTAATAAATAATTTTACATATTTTTTCCTATATTTAGAAAGTAAAACAATATCTATGATAATATAAATAATAAAAATAACGTATATTATCTTACTGTATCCCATTTGCAATATTGTTGGTAGTTTTAACTCTAGTTGCCATAGTAACTATACTCAATACGCTGTTTATATTATCTGATAGTAAAGTTACTAGGTAACATATCAAGGTAGATTTACAATTAAACCGCCATTATTTCAAAAAAACTATTTAATTTTTTGGTATTAACGTAGATACTTATTATTCATTTCTCACATGTTTTAATGTTATGTGTATAGTAGAGTATGCTGTAATTGTATTGTAGATATATGCATGCAGGATGCGGCGGAGCCGACTGATGAGTTTTGAGGGGTTATAAATAACGAACGGTAAAACATAGAGAAAGGCGTTTTGTTTTATTAAAATTAGTAGGAAATCCCATTTTTTTAAAATTATGTCTCCAGTATGGCGACCGTCAGCAGCAATACATTGCTATTGGCGATCTCTGAAGTTTACACATGATCTTCGATGCGTTTCCACACGGTACGGCCGCATTTTCTTCTATGATATCTCCTTCACGTCTTCTAAGGTAGCGATGTTTAAAAACCTTATATTAAGCCCCAGAGAAAAAAATCGCATATGCTCAATTCATGGAAGCGTGCGGCGTGCCGGCCACTCTAAGTCCCCCTCTGAGAGCAATGTATTGCCGCTGACAACCGCCATCTTAGAGATATAATAATTAAAACATAATTTAAATAATGAGATTTCCTACTAATTTTAATAAAGTCACCAGCAAATCCGTGTGAATTTAGACAGACATGTTTTTCGAACGTATTTCCAAAGATAAACCTGATAGGTGTGTGGCTTAGGTTAGAAGTATTATTTTGATTACAATTATAACTTAATAACAGCGTATACAAGTTAATTTGTCGTAACAAAACCGTTAGCAAAAGATTAAAACCGCAACTTGGTCGTTCGAAGTTTTAACACTAAAATCTTTTTGCTCCGACTATACTCACATGCTTGCCTTAGACGAAGGAGAAATAATATTACCAATAAATGTACCCGTGACGTATTGTCGCGGGACGGGTACCACGCGCACAAAATGGGTTATCGCGGGACGGTCACACGAATAAAAAACAAAAAAATTAACTCGTTGGTGATTCGGTGTGGTTTTAAAGAATGTTGTGTGTATTAAATTAAGTTGATACAATTACAGTGGTTAGTTATTAGTATAAGAATACTTTTGGCTTCTTAGCCAAAGCTAAAAGCAAGCAAATAATAATTATAGTGTGATGATATAACGGGTTCGTTCGACGGACGGCGGTAGTGTGAATATTCCTGATTTATATCCGAAAATAGGTAGTGAATACAAACCATAAATTAAGTTTCATTATTCTTTTAAAATAGAAGTAGGTATATAATTTACGCAATAAATTTATAATAGCTATTAAGGATCTTCAAGAAACTTAAACATGAATTCCTAGTTAATATTTATCGCCCAACACGTTATGATTTATTACTTTTTAAATTTTTATTGAGATTCTGGCATTCTACATATGTGCAATATTGTATCTCAACAATTGACTTATGTCCTTAAAACATTTAATTTGAATAGTTATAAGGTATCTTTTGCGAGATTACCGATTGCCTAAGAATTTAAACGAATGTGTGCAAAGTGATAAGAAACTCGACATAGACATTGGTAATTTATGCAATTTGGGAAAAGTGGTAGCAACCCGGTTGTACCACATCCCACGGTGTTCCGCTCTGGATATGATAACACGATCAGTTCTAATCACGATAATATATATTTTTTTAATTAAAAAGACTTAAATTTTACTGATTCTTAATTATTACTCATTAGTTCTTTCCAGTCTCAAACTCTAAAACATTCTGTAATTCTGCATATTTACTTTATATCCAAAATAGACTAAATATTCGTGGTTTTACTACTTAATATTACAAACAAATATATTGAAAAGGTAAATGTAACATAAATGTGTATTTATATAGATTATAAAACTAATTTCATCAACATTGTTAAGCCTAATAAATATATACACCCAATAGCATTTAATGATAAAACTGGGTATAAATTATACCATTGTGCAAAGTAACCCCATTAATGTATCAGTTGTTTTTAGGCTTTAAAGGGTAATCATTTTAATATTGTGTTAAAAGAATAGCTGCTCTGAAATATTAGAAATGTTCATTAAATTGGTATTCTAATGCTGTTATTACTTATTGATAGTACAATTTATTTAGTTATAAATTCTTTTAGTAGGGTAACCTTGTTTACTTGTGTGTATGATTATTATATATTTATCAATTTCAATTATTTATTATTATATTTACAGAGTAATTATGCTTCAATCAATAATGACCAAATTTAAACTTACTAGTCCAAAAATTAACATTCAACCTGTTCGATATCGCTACTGGAAAGATCTACAAGGTGCCCGTCCTGTAGTTCGTCGTTATGGCTACAACGATAATACATTACTTCAGTCTGGTTTATTACCAAGATCGGCTGATGAATCTAAATTGCCCATGCCAATATATAGACCAAAAGATGTTTGGAGTGAGAAACGGGCACTATTTGGGCAAAATGACTACATAGATATATTAGGAGACGGATCTGTACACCCTGTGCGTGTACTCTATAATGTACCATCTTGGTTACGAGGTGTAAAAGGCAATGAATTTCAAGTTTTATTGAGGAAAAGAAAAATGCTGCAACATGGTATATATCCAGTCGCTAGACCGACGAAATGGACTCAAATGCAAAAGAGGATAACATACTTGTACAAATTTTTAAATAGGAAAACAAGAACTGGAATGGAAAAGTAGTTTTATAATTAATATTCCAATTGAAAATTATTTAAGAACTTAAAATACCTATACATTTATATTGTATAATAAGTCACAATTATAATTTAGTAATATAAATTTTAGTTGTTATTCTATATTTTAATGTATTATATTAATATTTTATTTGTAAAGATATTTTGATACATCCTAACTGCACTGTTTGAAGTTTTTAAGGCTGAGGTTTTAGTAAAACTATGTCAGACTGACATAAATTAAGTTTATATCTACTAAACAATATTGGCCATTTATATATTTTTAATTGGCTCATGGTTTTATTTATATTAGCCTCAAAAATGCAGGAAAATATGACAAGTAATTTTGGCTCATTTCTACTTTGAAGTCTGAATTACTGACAAGTCACAATACTTGGGGCTCTTAACTTTTAATTTTAGTTTTTCAAAAATATTATTATAATATTGATTATTTTTCTTGAAATTTAATCTTTTTTATGATGAATGATGATAATCATGTAAAAAATAACCTGTCTCACGTATGGCATCAACTTGTGTTATTCTAACTTTCATAACCTAAGAGTTTTTAAGTTATCACAAGTTACACCATAGTTTAACATACGTGAGTCCTATTAGTATTTCCAAGATGATTATAATTCTGTGATTATCAAGGTGAAATTCACCTTGGTGATTATAAAATCAAAAATTGATAAGGACAATAATGATAACGGAAATCAAATGTCTGAAATTTTCATTTACATTATTTTTTTTAATGAATTATTATTTTAAATAGTTTTCTTTATACGCACGATTACTTTATAATTTATACCATAATTTTATTAATAAAAAAATATGGATGTAGTTGAGCATGAAGTACTCTTAGACAATTACGTATCAAATATAAAAAGGAAGTAAGTGTATGCTCTATTTCTAATTTGGCATTTTTATGATTCAACGTAATCGTTATAGGAAATGGGAAAATAACTACATGATTGCTGAAGAAACATTAAAACTCTTCAGGCATTTTATTGATACGATTCAATGGTCGACGGCAAAGTAATAATAATTTGTCATTTTTAAATAGTGTATATTTTTATTACAAAATAACCTTTTATTTTTACTGTTAAAATTTAAATTATGAACAATTCTGTATTCTGCTGACCAATATTTCTAATAATTAATAACTACTAACTTCACTTTGTTTATTACCCAGAGAATTGTTGAAACAATTACGAAAATATGGATTAATTTTAACTTCAGCTTTACCATTACAATTTATTGTTGGCAACATTGTTAGGCGAATATTAAATATTGTACGAGAAGAATATACTGCAGCTAGAAAAGTAACTAAAATCAATTTTATGCTTAGTAGTGATTACATTATAAATATATGTATGATTTATTTTAATTTTAACAGAGTTCAGAAGAAGAAATAGATGTGCAAGATTCATTACATAAAATTGTAACGTCAGAGGATGATAGAGATGATTATAATAATGAAGTCCCTGAACTCAAGTTATCAATATTTGAGCATTTAGATGAATTTCAAATGGAGATAGAGTCAAGGTAAACAAATAAAATAGAAGTAGTACATACAACTGAGTAACATTTTTTTTAAGGAATAACTTAATAAAAAAATAAAATTTGAATAAGTATAAGTTGTTATAAATTATCATCATCATGTAGCCTAATAAGCCCTAGATGTTCTATACATTGCAATCATGTGATGATTTATGGACAAATGTGCTTTTTGGCTACATCATCAGTCCGTCGCCAATACCCAAATATTAAAATTTCTAAAAATACTTACGTTCTCTTAAGTTACTATAATTTGATCTACGACTGCAGAAATTCACTTTTTTACTTATTTTGTATGCTTTTTAAGTAATGAAGATATTGCAAAACAAGCTCGTGAGCACATTCATTCCAATGAAATCATATTGACAGTGGGTAAATCTTCTGACGTGGAAATGTTTTTAAAAGAAGCCGCTAAAGATCGTACTTTTGAAGTATTTATTACAGACTGTGCTCCAATAAATACTGTAATTATATTTTTATAATGTTATTTCTTTATTTTAAACATTGTGTCTGTACATAGCTAAAAAGATATTGGTCTAATCTTGTGTTATTTTTAAGGGCAAACAATTGGCATTAAGTCTCTCAAAGCATAAAATTCAATCTACCTTAATTCCAGACTCTACAATGTTTGGAATTATGTCGAGAGTGAATAAAGTTATAATTGGAGTTGACTCCGTTATGGCCAATGGTGGACTCAGGACATTTAGTAGTTGTCACGCTGTAGCTTTAGCTGCTCGTCATTACTCTGTGCCCGTAACGTTAAATGTTTCAATTATTTTTTTAATTTTATTTAATGTTTGTAATTTGCATTTACAATTTAGGTAATAGTCTTAGCACCTATGTACAAATTGAGTACACGTTACTTGTGCTCGTACAATCAAGATGCGTTTAATGAATTTGTTTCACCGGCTGGCGTTTTCAACTATTCCGATTCGGATGTTTCAAAAGTTGATGTTTACAATCCAACCTATGATTATGTGCCTCCGGAAAATGTGACATTATTTATCTTTAACAAGTAATTGTTATATTTATTTAACCATTGCTTGTTAAGCCTGTTACAAAGAAAAAAATAAGGTGTCTTGATGACCGTTCCTCCAATGTACAAAACATGAATACTTTTTAGTGGGTTATAGCTACTAAACGGATTTTAATATTTATTACTATAAAATGCAATTACATATTTTAAGTATATTTTGATTTACAAATTTAGATGTTATTTTAATTAAATAGGTCACCAGTCACCTAATACTAAAATATTCCTTACGTTTTTAATCGTTGAACTATTAATTATTTATTTTATATCTGTTCCAGTGGTGGTCAATCTCCTTCCTATGTTTACAGATTACTGTCAGAGATTTATCATCCAGACGATTATGACTTAACAACATAATGTTACACTAATGATATAATAATTGATACTCATTAAAAGTATTTTGCTGTACATTTTTTTTGTATTTATGTTTTAAAATATTATAAAATACGAATGGCTTTTTTAGATATAAAGTCTCAATACAGTTTAAATTATTTTGTTATACACAATTGCTGCAAGACACACCTGTAATGAAAATTTTTAAAAAGTGGCCAGTCTTCGATTTGAACTGTGTTAAATTTTGTTTGACTTTTGGTAACACTTATTTTCATTAACTGGAGGAGAAATGGAAAGGAAACAATAAAAAACACGTTCAATGCAAATGTGTTTCAGACATATTTATTACAATGTCATTTGTCACAAATTAGTTGTCACCTTATGATTAATATTTATACTTGAACGCATATCCATTGAATTATCTGCAACCAAAGCAAATTGTAATTTTAGATAAATTAAAATTGTAATACATTAAAAATAGAAAGCAAATAAAGGGCTGCGGGGAAAAAGATCAATGTTAATTTTTTTTGAAAATGAGGTTTTGGTATCAAATTATTTGTATTGACGTATTATATCTTTTATGTGCTCGAACCACAGAAAAAAACAGATTAGTCTAGAGTAATGACCGTCAGAAGTTTAGGCATCGGCAAAATGTATTACGTTTTGAAATTAAAAACTTGATTTTCACAGAATGAAAAAAAATTGACACTTATCTTTTTTCCCCGTAGCCCTTCAAATGTTTAACTCATCATTTCGTTCATTTTAAATTTCAGAAATACTTAAAAATGTATAAATATAAAGAAAACATTAGAATTTCAAACAAGTACTTAAAAGAGTGGCATTATTTAACTAATAAATAAAATAATTTTTCTAATTTTGGAATTATGAAAAAAAAAAAATGTAATTAATTCTTTTTAGAACTTTCTGAATAAAAAGAATTAATATCGGGAACAAGATATTAATAATTAAGATAAGAAATGAAATTAATATTTAAACTGGGTATAAAGTTTAATAATTTCAAAAAAAACTAGTTACCAATTATTTCAATATATTTTTTTAATATTTGCAGTTAACTCTTCGATGAGTTTGTTGAACTTTTCATAGCTATATTAAATTACTATAGCCATGTTAAAAAAAAATATTATTAACTGTACATTATGTACAATTCCATCTTGATTCATTCTAAGGTACAAGTCTTATTATTTTTTAATTTTTATTTTAAATCTATAGCATTTTACATGGGTACTGATTAAAAAATTTCACATTCTCGATCGGTTAAAAAGATATAGTGATTTAATATGTATGTAGTGTTTTTATCGTTTAAGCTTTTTATAATTGGTGTGTAAAATGCTAACCATAAAATTCATCAAGTTTAGTCTAGGCTTTACCACATAAAGATTGGAATATTGAGTTGGGTATACACTCTTCTTATAGTAGCTATGATAAAATAATGTAATACAGAAAAATAATTTTAAAAACTGCTGCCATATTACTGGCAAATATAACTTCCTAAAAACCATAAAAATATAAATATTTGAATGCGTTAAAACTTTTGTGGATTCAAAGTAATATATATATTCAATTAATATATTTATTACTTAAAGACTATCGGTTGCTATGCTATTAGGTATAATTAAAAAAAAATCTGTTTCGGCAACACTTTAAGAGGTCTACCATCACACTATATTTCACCGTAGTATAATTATTGTAACTCACATTATCGAAGTCTTCTGGCTTCTCTTTCGGACTCGAGGAGTGTGAGTATGTCTCCTTCGCGAACGGGCCCTTTGACATTCCTGATAATTTGACGATTCTGTTCGCCAATGAATTCAACTTTAACTTGAGTACATTGGCCTTGCGATCCAGTACGGCCTAAGACTTTCAAAACTCTAGACAAGACTACTGGTTTATCCATATTTGTTTATAAGTCTGTGGAAAAATTAAGTAATTACATACGTATTCTTGGCATGAAGAACACAAAATAAGATCATCAAACGATTTATACCGATTAAAATTACTGAGATCTCACCTGATTTTGTAAATTGCAACTTGAAAGCTTTAACACCAAGACTTTTGGTTATTATTATAATACGCCGAGTCCTGAGGAAGTGATATTTCCAATTTCTGCAGAATCCAAAGTAAACTATAAAATATTAACCTTAAAAGTTTTTTTAAAAACTGAAAAAATATAAGCACGTTTGCATTGGATTATTGAAGGGAATTTTTGATCAGTGTAGCCATTTAAATAATTGATAAAAAAAAACCTGATTTAATTTTCAATGTTACTAAGCAAATTAATGTACTCATGAGTCATGAGTGATAGCAGGTGTGGATCAAGGTTGAATTATCCTCAAGGCTCAGTTATTACCACAGATATATATAATAAACTAGATTGCGAACGGTCTGCCATTCTGGTAGGATTTATGTGTGTTATCAATGAATATAATATATATTATTATATCAATAATATATATATATATGTGATTGTTATAAACATATATTATTCTCACGTGATAAGGTTCTAATTCCCACCAGGATGGCGGAAAGTGGCTGCTTCAATCTTCTCTATTGGTGGTATATACAGTTAGCAATCTAGTTTATTATATATATATCTGTGGTTATTACTTATTAGATCCATTGACCATTGATAAGAATATAAGATCGATTTGTCTTTGCAAGATGAAGTAAATGATATACAGACTTATATACTGGTTTTATTGGTTATAAAAATTGAACCTAGAGCGAATCCATGTCCCCCGTTAACGCAACTCATACATGTTTGTTTATAAAATAATTAATAAATAGTTTTCATATACGTGTTGTATTTTATAAAAAGACCTAGTCATTATTATACCGATAATACTTGCTTTCGCAAACAAATTGCGTCCATGTCCCGTAAAGCACTAAAGATCCTTGGATTAATTAAACGTGGCACGTCCGAGCTTAAAACGCTTAACTAATTAGTCTTTTATACTGCTGCCCGCTGGTTCGGTTTTTGGGATCCTTTCACTATAATTCAGATTATGCCCAACTATAGAGGATACTGAAGAAGTTGTCCCTCTCAGATCACCCCGTTTCTATTCTCCCTTACACCACACAAATTATGGTGAAAACCCCGGACATCGTAAGATGCGAATCGCTAATACCTAGAGGACCCTACTTAATTTTTTTTTTATAGAATAACAGTTTTTTTTTATTATTACAAATTATTCTAAAATTCTTATATTGTATATTTTTTATTTATTGATTTTTTTTCTACGAATTTGTACACTAACGTGTGTTTGTTTTGTATTTACTACCTATTACTATCCAAGACTGAAACTTTATTATTATAAACTATAACTAACCGTTCGAAATTTATTAGTTTAAGGTCTACTAATATTGTTGCTAATTCAGAAATTTAAAATACATTCATACGTATTTTATACGCAAGTGTCAAGCACTAAACAATACACTTAGAATATAACTGGACATCAATAATCATAGAAATAATTAAGTACATACAAAATGTAAAAAAAAAATGTTGTATAAAGAAAAATAAATTAAATTTTTAATTCTTAGGTAATAGGTATTATATATTTTTATATCAGTACAACACGTGTTGTTTACCCTTTCATTCAGCTTACATTGTAGCAGATAGTTTTGTATGTTTTGAACATATATTTTAAGGATATAATTTAACAAAACAATTTTATCTAGAAATAAATTTATATTTATTAATAATAATATCACTGGTTTTTTACAATAAGTAATTCCAGTTAAAAAGGTTTTTTGTTTGTAATTTTATTGTTTACAAAACATAATATTTAAGCATACAGATTTGATACCAAGTAGTATATAAGCTAAAAAATACAAAGTTAAAAAAACCTAATTTACTGATGTATAAAGGTAATATATATATATATAAATAATTAATAAATAAATAAAACAGGTCAAACATAAAAATGAATAAAGTAATTAACAACATTTAGATGAGATTTAAAATCCTTATACACAATAATTACAATTAACATTTATTATAATTGCTGAATCTAAACATTTGGATAACATTTGTAATTTACAAAGAGAAAATTGTCTATATAATATACAGTGTATCACAATGATTCGTCTGATTACATATATTTTAATTGTAATACTACGAGATCATTGAGGTACACCCTATACATCTATTAAATCATTATTTTTAAAAATTAAATTTGATCATAGATTTCAGGTTTGTACATCTATGTTTAGCGATTAATACAATTATAATAAAACTATATAATTCATATAAATCAAATTACACATACAATTAAAATTAGAATACAAAAAGACAAAAAAAAAAATTTAATCAATAATAAAATGATAATTTAAGTTTGTTTTTATTAATTTGTTCCTCGCAAATACTGTACACTTTTGGAAGTTTATTATATGCAATATTATAAATTAAAATAATGTTTAGGATTTTATTATTTCATTCATAAATAGTAATTTAAAATATACAAAATGTATTTTTTTCTTCTGAAGATGGACTATTGTCTATATTATTTAGATTCATTTGTTTTAGAGTTTCATTATTTTTAAGGTAACCAATAACAGTTAATAAAAGTCATATAACTCATATTACAAATACACTGATAAAATTATAAATGTTGATAATAATATAACTGTAACAATTAATCTTCATTGATTTATTACTGACTTTTTAGAAATCAGAACGGACAAGCGTTTAGTTTAAATAATTAAGAATGATAATTAACAATTTGATTATTTTTTTTTTTTTTACAATTCAGCTTTCATTAGTAGGCTCAGGGTTAATGATTACTTGGATCACATAACCTGGAAGAACTTTGGCTTCGTCTATATGCAACTTATCTCCCAAAAGCTTTCCTCCGAAAAACCACCTTTGATGCAGTGGTTCAATACCTTCCTTAGCCTAAATTAATAAATATATATATATAAATTTAGATAATATGTTTTTACGAATTATGATCCATTTTAAAGACTGTTTTAAATATACTGTAGCTCACTTGTAATTTCTTTTTGGCTTGAGCTATTGTATCTCTTGTCATGAGTGGCATCTTTATGTCTAGGCAATTAGATGATAAACGAAGTTTTAACATAATTTCAGAGCCTTCATCCAAAGATTCTAAGTAAAAAAATAAAAAAATAACTGCTATGCAAATTTACTTGGGATTTACATTATCTTATGACTTTTAATATATTTATCTTTAAAAGGTTTTAGATAAGTTTTAATATTATATAAAACCATTCTAGCACCTATATGAAAAAACGGTTTAACATAATAAATGGAAGCTTTTTTTAAAATAATATCAATGTGATTTTTTATTTTAGCCTAAACACTAAAAATATGTAATTTGAAACTAATGAGTACTCAAAAGCAAATTGGTCTATGCTTAGACATGTCAAAAGCCTCATATAATTTTTCATGTGTAGGATTCATTTTAATTTTTAAAATTATCTCTGTAAAACATCACAAAATCCTTATGCTTTACAGATGAATTAACATTATCTAAAAATGTAGATAAAATAAAATTGTATATCCTAAATTATGTATTCTATATATAAAAAAAATATGTCTTATAGATAGTATAATTCAATTATGATCTTTATTAAATAATTTATATACTAATTTATAGAATTACTTCTTATTCAAGCCTTCATGACCATAATCTTACTCTTATCATATAAGTTTATTATACATACTCGTCTAGATTGTTTATGTTAAGCAAATGTTTTAGTCAGACTAATTAATATTAAATTTACCAGTTTGTTCAATAGGAGAGTCTCTGCCGCTACCCTCTTTTACTATATTTATAGGGTATGATAAACAGTACACTGGTACCTGATATCGATTACCCAACTCATCATAGCATTCAGTTAAAAATCCTTAAACAGATAAATAATATTCAACGTTAAATACAGATAACATCTGTCAAGCAATATTGCAGTAGAGAGGCCTTAAAGTTGAGAAGACAGTAAATAACTGTACATACAGTTTAAGAAAAATATTTGTTATTTTAATTAAATAAAAGTAGGCAATGTCTCACTGTCTTTCATGAGCATGCATTTTGCTTCACCACTGCAATATTGTGTATAAAATAAAAAACATAAAATTATGTCAGAACATTTTTAACATAATTAATTGTCAGTATAATATAAGGTAGACGCTAAGTTTGAATTATACCATTAGGAACTGAAATATTAGCACCATCAAGTATAGCTTGTGCCAATTGAAAATCAGTTGTTTCTGCAGCCGCTGTAGCTGCTCTTAAGGCATCCCATATTTCCTTACGACCTTCAAATGCAGGTGCAGTATCCCAAAATTCATCTCGCTTACTACGCAATTGACCTTCAGTCAAAGGCACATCTGATTTCCAACGTATAGTCTCGTGACACAATGGATGGTTTTTTCTATTGGTACCTATTAAAAAATGTGTTTTTATTATATGCATGTTTTATTATTATTATACTACTATAAATATGTTCTTTGCTTTATCCCATACAAATTCTCTCCCTAGAAAACTCTATCAGTCATCGATTATTCACTCCACACATCTCCATGTTTTTATAAACAACAACCATTAACTTTTTACTTCGTCTGAATAACTATGTTAAAACATTCTAAAAAGAAGTAGAAAAAATCATATTTGTTCTTAAATAATGTGTTTCAAATATAAATAAAAATACAATAATAAAAAAAAAGCATAAGTCTTAAATGAAAACAGTCCTTTGTTACAACAAATTGTTAGAATTGAAATAGAACTATTGTACTAAAATTTGTAAGTATTTTTTTTATATTGATTTTGAGTAAGAAAGGCAAAAAAATAAATTTGAATACAAGCTATGTAAGAATTACCCTAACCATTGGATACTTTCCAATTGTATTTTAATTTTTTTTAATGTTTTTAAAATGTTAAAACTTTTAAGAGCAAAAAAAAAGCACAGCTTAAGAGAGCTTATTTTTATACCAAAAGTTAACAATCAGCTTTCCAGGTAGGGATTCAGTATATTTTTAACTATACTAATTATAGTTAATTTAGAGTAATTATAATTAATCTAGAAAAAACTGTTAAGCAAACTTATGGTTAAATATATAGTAAAGATATAAAATCTACTTGAACCCTAAACCATAAAAATTATACACTTCTTGCGTACACGTGTTACGACAACAATGTTGTCATCTTCAGCGCTAACAACAGACTGAGACCGATTACGGGCAAACATCTCCCTCTATACATATACACAAGGTCATCATACCGGTTGTCGTAACACGTGTATGCAAGAAGTGTATAATTTTTATGGTTTAGGGTTCAAGTAGATTTTATATCTTTACTATAATTATAATTACTTTCTTAATGTAGCTAAAAAAATGTTTAACTTCGACAAAAAAGGGTTTAGATAGTTAGTTAAGACTTGAGATCCTAAATGTGTCATACTAAGGAGAGTTATTAATAATATTTAGCAAATTGTCACATAGTCAGTATCCTGTGATTGATGTATTTGATTGTAACTTAGTTTACATGCAGTTTTACTTTAAAAAATGTCAATGCATTGGTCTGTTACTATAAACATGTCCTTGTACATATAGTAACCCTACACATTGAACAGTAATGATGGTTATGATTCAATAGGTCTCAATAAAAAAAAATATTTCTATATTGGTCAAAAGCGAGCTGAACTTATGTTTTTTAATTAGAATTAAATAGTATAATATAACAACGACATAATTTTAAGTCTACACAATTATAAAATAATGATGATCACAACAATTTACAATAAATATTATTATTAGAATATCAAATTTAATAGGACAACCAACATTCATAAGAATGAGATGGTAAAAGTAATAGCTAGACAGAGAGAATGTATATGTTTAGATATGATAAATAGCTAATGATATGGAACTAAGAAAACTTAAGAGAAGAAATGTCGTAGTAATATTAATTTATTTGCAATTAAAAAGGCAATAGATATAATACAGACAATATGCGATAAAACAAAAAAACAAAAGTACTGTAATGAGAAAAATAAGACAAGTGAATAAAAACTAACTATAAAGTATCAGAATTAAGATGGAGAGAGGGAGAACGAGAGAAATGAGGCAAGTTGTAAAGGCAATGGGAGGAAAATACATTGCAGATCCAGGTAAAATCATAAAAGTCTAAAGATCACAGAATCGCAGGTCAAAAAAGCTAGTGCCATTTTCCAAAGAATGCTGGAAGTTACCACCATTTTTTACTACACACATAATACAATTTATCTACAGAGATTGGGAAGGTTTGTACATAGAAATGAATAGATGAAACAAGTAGAACTGTATCATATTATTGTCAACGAGTCAAAGGAGCATGCTGAAATAACTAACTCATTAATTAATTTCATTTAATTATTAGTATTAATTATTATTAGTAGCAGACATCAAATGTCAGAGAATTTCCTAGTATGTAATTATACCAGTCATTGGTAAACAGAGATAAGATTTTTTAAATTATCACTATTTCTTGTGATTTGTTTTAATAGGTAACGTAAGGACGAGTACAAATACTGAAACCAACATAATAATATTAAAACTAGTTAGTTATAAAGATTTATAATACATGCATTTGTAAAACTTTCTTGCAGTTATTTAAAGGAATTAATAATAAAAAATGTGATTTTCTGAGATTTATACACAAGATAACATAACATAACGGAACAAAATATTTCATTTAATTAAGTCATTAATAAGCATTGTCATATTAGTAATAAGTATTGGTTATGCGTATTTTACCCGAACTCGGACGAGATCCATTGTCTGTAGTTGCGTTCCTTCCCCTTCGATTTCTCTGCAAACCTAAACAGCCTCCCATATTGTATGGACAAGCCTCAAATTCATGGCAGGATTACATTTCTATATCTTATGACTGCGGTTTTAAACGTAGTAAAATGTATTATTTTGAAATTATTAACAAGTTTTATTTGCATCAAATTACAAAAGTTTAAATTGTACGTAATAAGTCATAAATGTGTAATATTTTATATCGTAAAACAATAAATTTGTAGAAAAGTAATGAAAAACAAATAATTATCAAATCTGATAAAAAAAAAGGAAAACAATTCTCGTGGAAGTAAAAAATTACGTTCATTTTGTCCAAGCTTGGACATTTTGTGAGAAAAACATTATCATGCACAAGGAGGGTTTATCAATATATAGTTCCAGTTTCCTGGCGTGAGAGCGCTGTTCGTCTTGAACCAAGGATTTTTTCATACACGCATTGGAATTTCCAGTTGGGAAATATATAATTATAAATGTAGGTCTATGACCACGATTTAAAATGATAACCCTCACTTTTTACTATATTATCCATAGAATTTTCAAATAACAAATTCCTAGCGCGTATTCCTTAAAACCATACGCCAACTGATCATGATCCACTAACGCATGCGCAGTTATGACTGATCACTTCAAATTTAATTTGATTAGAAATATGTTATATTAAACAGTCCGACATCATCATTATTATAACCATCGTAGATATTTTATTATTTATGTCCGGCATACGGGACACAAGCACACAACAAACAGAACGGAAACTATTCAATTTTTACATAGGCTGTTATGAGACGAGATATAATCATGTCCGACATCTTGAATATGATCGAGAAATGGGCAGTGCTGATAAGTGTAGGGAAATTCTCATTTTTCAATAATTCTGGCTAAACTGTTCATCGGAAATTGCGACGACATCGTTGTCGGCGTACGACATTTAATATATGAACAGTGTAGCCATAAGTCACAGAAAAATTAAGAACGAGGAAATATCCGAGTTCTGGCGTCACTGCCCACTTCTCAATATATCTGACCGTTTTTTGATAAGCTCTAGCTTCCCTTCTGTTTATTCTGTGATACGACAATAATTTGTATCCCTAATCACTAATTCCATTGAATATATCAAATGATATTAGATATAAAAATGGATAAACTATTTGTTTTTTTCGTAGATTTAAATTTTAATTGATTTGAACTTAGGCCACTAGTACACCGAACACCGACGATATTTGAACATTCGATTTTATAAAATACCCGTGTAGTTTAAATTAAAAGTTACACAATGTCGAAAGTGTTGGGTGGGATAGTAGATATTGTGAAAAAAGAAAATAATATTGAATTTACATGTGATCAAATTAGCAAAGGTAAAAAAAAATAATAGCTCTTTATACTATTCCACAGCGTGCTTAATAGATATACTAAGTATCCTTTAAAAATATAACTGTAGGTATTCAGTATTAGTTTTTTTATTTACTATTGTGTTTCATGTAATCTTATAAATCTATTAAAACATGGTTAGATATATAATGTGTGTAGAGCACTTGTCCAACAAGTTTTATTTAAAACGTAATGACATTATTTATTTGTTGTAGTAATAAAAATGTGTACTGATTATTTAAAAGAAAATATAATGGCAACATAAGTAGTATGTGATTGCAAACTTGAGTAAATTTGTATTTAAATGAAAAATAATTATTTAAAATAATGAGGTTTGAAATACAAATGAGAACATTAGGCAATATTTTATTTTACTGTTTCAAATAACCTGTTATTAAATAATTTCTCGAATAAAAATGTATTTGATTTTATTATTAACTTCAGTTTATTTAAATATTTTTCTTTTATTTGAAATGTTCTTTTATTTTGTATATAAGTATAAAATTATTTAGTCAAAATTTAAGTTAAATTACATTTTTTTTATTATTGTTTTTTAAATTTTTTCAAATAAAAATATATTTCAAATTACCATTGCACATTTGTTTATATTTATTGGATATTTGAGAACAGCGTGTGGACCAGTTCATAAGGCGTCAGTGTGTTTGACTTTCACTGTCCCCAGTTTGGTGTTCGGATACTTGTTTAAATAAAACGTTTTAGTTATTTAAGTTTTATTCAAGAAATGTATAGTAAATATTAATTTAATCATTATTTAATAACTATATGTATATTATTATAAAACTGAATGAACTCAATAATTTAATTCTACTTTTTTTTGGTTTCAGAAATATCGTGTAAATCATTGACATTTCTTCAATTTGTAGAAAGTTTAGAAGAAGTTTTAACTTCTGTAGATAAAAATGTTCGTTTAAATGGAATTAAGGCATTAGTCACTGTTATTGAAAAGATACCTGTTGACTTTTTTATGCCTGAAGAACTTGATTATATAAGTACATTTTTATGTGAACGTTTCATCGATCATCATTCATTTGTACCATCTGTTTTAATTGGTATTGAATGTACTGTATGTATATACATTTTTTAAAATAATAATTATAACATGTGTTTATCATATTAGTTTTAAAGAACTTTTTTATTTTTAGATACAAATGAAACATGTATCGAAAGAGATGATTATTCGATATTTCAATGTCATCATGCCTCATTTTCATTGTCAGTCACAGCTTCATAAAGATCGAAATACTTTCTATCGTATATTGCATCAAGTGTTTTTGAATCATTTGGATGGTAAATACTAAATAAAGTTTTAATAAGCTAATATAATAATTAATTAATTGAGTATTAACATTTTTATAGATGTACGCATAATGGGACCAGATTTTTTGTATTGTGTTATTTCATCAATGGATGGTGAAAGAGATCCAACAAATTTAGCATTATTATTTAGGATCCTGCCACAATTTTTCTGCAATTACCCGTTGGGTCATTTGGCTGAAGAAGCCTTTGATGTTATAGCTTGCTATTTTCCCATAGACTTTCGAGAAGTATATAATATATATATATATATATAGATATAAATTATTACTTATTTGATAGTTAAATAAATGTGTACTATAGTATTTCCTAGATAAAAAAAAAAATTTATCTACTGACAATAAAAAAAAGGTCATTGAAAACTACTTAAAAAAACATAATTTGTTAGTGTAATAAAAGGGATGTAATTGTTTTGAAAAAAAAAGTTGTGACAAAGGTTTTTATAATTTTTTAACCTTGTTACAAATATGGCCGAAAATATATAGGAGAATAAAATTTCATTAATAAAACTTTTTTATACTAACAAAAACTTCTAAAAATTAAACTTCTCAGGCTTCAACTGAAAATTAGTGTTTTTACTCAATTGATAACAAATATTTATTAAATTTTACGCAACATCTTGTAATATAATTTTTTTATTTAAGACTGACGAGAGTAAAGTGAATAGAAATGATTTAGCAACAAACTTGGCACGGTGTCTTTCATGTACTGAAGATTTTGCCGATTTTTGTATTCCCCTAGCTTTGCAAAAGTTAGAAGCCAGCTTAAAAGTTGCCAAATTAGACTCTTTGTATCTCTTGGTAAATATTATGATTAGAAAATAAATACAAACTTGCTTGAATATATTAATTTTTTAAATGCTTTTATTTTTAGAAATTATGTTGTGAAAATTTTAGTTCTACAAAAATAATTGGACATATTGAAGAAATATGGCGTATCTTAAAAATCATTATATTATCAGACAATGATGATACATCAACTGAAGTTAGAGAAGCGGCAATTAGTGTTCTCACTGCATTATTATATTCCACAGCTATTATTAAAGGGGATGACTCTAATGAACAATTGTCTAATTTTTTAGATCTGATTTTAAAAAGTACTGTCCAAAAATTTTAATGTATTAAATATGAATAGTTAAACTTGAATTCAACTATTTATAGGTTCAGACAGATTTTTGTTGGATGCACAAACAAGCTTTTTTATGCCCTCAATTAAATTGCTTTGTAGTGTAGGCATGACTTCAAAGTATGCCTGTGCTAGAATAGCTAAAAAGGTATTAACAATTTTGTTTAAATTTTTTGTTTTAGTTAATAAATTAAAGTAAAATCATATAAGGGACTAGTGAAATATTATGTATCATGATGTAAATACATTTTTTATTTGTTATAGATATATTTAATATTTTTGGACAAAAGTGACCTATCGCAGACAGAAATCCCTCATATCATAGAGGCCCTAGGTCTAATTACAAATATGTGTCTACAAATGGATGTTGAGTTGAGTTGTAAGTTTATCATATTTTTATTAAGGAATAAAATTTAAAAAAAATGTGAAATATATTTTTTGTTTTAGCTATACCTAGTTTGGAAAATAGATGGGAAGAAATATGTTGTATGTTTTTATTTTATGCACAAAATGATGCCTCAAATATAAAAATTACTGCTCTTAAAGCACTTAGATTATCTACTAAATTTCTATCTATGTCGCAACGTAGAAATTATTATAGCGTTATTAGCGAGTTGATTAAATCAGATGTGTCGAGTGATGTGAGAAATGAAACATTAAGCTGTTTAAAGGAAACAGCAAAGTATTTTACCGATGAAGTTATGACAACTATAATTGATTCTAATATTAGTATTTTAGATAGTAAGTATTTATTGTTTTGGGTTTAAATATATTCTTTTTAATAACACATTTTACAATATTAAATTAATTTTCAGAATCTGATGATATTGAAACAAAATCAAAGTATTTAAACACACTATGTTGTTTGGGTAGTGAACACTCTTTTTTTACTCTAATCAGTGAAACATTGTGTAAAAATATATGCAACAAACAAGAATATACACAGTTGGCTTTGAAATATATGAGGTAAAAATTATTAAAATATTGAATGTTGCTACATTGAAAACTCCAAAAATTTACCTTGCAGTTAAAAAAACAATTTTTTTTTATTAGGCAACTTTGTGATAATATTGACTGCACTAATTTATTATTACACTTTTCTAAAGAGGAAGGTCTCTTTAATTATTTATTAATGTTTTGGATCAATGGAATTATTAACTGTAGTAAAAGTGAAGTGTATTATAATGAAATTATACTAGAAAATCTTTCTTATGTCATTAACCATATTGTGCAAACCTTAAATAGGTAAGAATTATATAAATAAGAATTACAATACAATTAACAATTGCATTATTTTTAATTAATGAACTATACACAAAGATAGCTCTAATTATATTTTAGTTTCCAAAATATCTAAATACTGAAATTAACAAATTTCACTGTGTTTTTCAGTAATCAGTATCAAATATTTCAGCGGTACATTGAATACTTTAATGACATTAAGAACAGTCAATTTATATATAAAGAACTTTCTAGTATAGACCAAGAAAAATATTCATACTTGGTATTGTTATTTATTTTGTTGCATCTTTTAACTTCAATGTATATTTGTAAGAAGTAGATACTTTTATAGATATGTTTATATTATTATATTTAATTATTATTTTTGTACAGATTATTCTACTTGAAAGCATACTGAATTCGTTGAACCCAAACATTGAAATTCAAAATGTCACAATTATAGTTAGAAACTGTATTGAAATATCGACACATACTAAAGTGTCACTGAGTAGCCTTTTTGCATCTAGATTAGCGGCTACATTAATAAATAAATATTTTAATGGTATTTACTATATACTAAATTGTTGTCTAAAATAAAAACTATTTAATTCGGTATCATTTTTTATTTTTAGGGGACGAGTATGATGTACATTTACACGAGTATAATTTAATACTAGAAAATACTTTAAAATCATCTAATTTATGTAAGGAAAAAGCGATTAACCAAATATCATGGATTACTAAAGCTCTCGTACTTAAGGGACATAGTAAAATGTTTCTATGGCTAGATTGGGTAAATATAGCATTATTTATACATACTCGTTTTAGTATTTTATTTCTTATTTTTAGCTTATCGACCTATTAGAAAATCCTGAGTATGGAAAAATTGCTTCCACAGGATTTCAAATGTTGGCAACTTCTGACAGTCAATATTTAAATATAAAATGTTTTTGTTCAGTCAGGTAACCTAGACACTACTTATCAATAATCGTTATGAAAATTAATATTTTCATTTTGCTTACCAATTTTTCGTATAAACAATACTACCTAATTTTTTTTTATGTCAGGTAAAGTAGTAGTATATTACAGTTGTAAAGACGAAAACTATAATGTATCAGTTTTGTCACAAAAAGTATTACAAAGGTATAACTTTTTGTAATACGTATTAGTTTTTATCATTTAAGGCAAAATGTATTAACATTTGATTTAAGTGTTGAAATATACTAGTTTTCCTAAAGCAAATAAGGACCTTATTAATTTTCATAGCGGCTTTATATTCATACTATGTTATAAGGTACAATGTATAAAATATTGTTTCAGACTTTTGTATAGACAAAGAGTATTTTGTCATACTATTGAACCGTTGATATTAAAATATAATACCTTACCTGAGCCAATCAAAGAAAATTACCTCTTGAGTATTTTATATCAGATGGAAGGACTTTCTTATGTGACACTTTCACCTTACTTCTCAAAAGTATTGTATTACATTGATATTTATATTTAATAGAAAATTACTACGCTTATATATTTTTAACCAATTCAAATTAAATAGTATTGATTTTTGATGAGCTTATTAGTTTATCCTGCAAGGGGTTTTTCTTTATGGAGACCCAATATTAATAGGGGGGGGGGCACCGATTTTGTTGAAACCTAATAGAGTAATATAAATTGTAATGAGCCTGCTCAACTAGTTGGCTAAACTAGACTGAACAGTCGCCGATAGGGCTAAATGGGCGGTCATACTTTTAAATGATATAACTTTTAAGTATGCAACTATAACTATGTATTTACAGGGTAAAACTAACTACACAATATATATATATAATACATTTCTACCTGGATCCCTGAGATTGTCAGCTGGTCCTGGAGAAGCGGACACACAATAAAAGATGAAAGTTGTAAGGCGTGGCGAATAAAGCAGAATATATTAGGGGTAATTAGTAGTCGAACGCAGTTCGATCGTCTACTAATTTACCATCTGATGATGGTAAGGTCTCAACTGATTGATGAGGTGAGCGTGGAGGGCATTGTCCTGTGTGTTCGCTGTCTCCCCTACCTATTGTCTTATTGACAATTGTTTAGGACGAGTGGTAACGGGTGGCCGAACGTACCCCTTACAAAATTGAATGTAAAGACTCAAAAAGAAGAAGAAAAGTACATAATTTTTGCCATTGTGTCGCTTTGTCAATATTATGTAAGGAAAGACATACAATTTGCTTTTGCTAATATTTTTTTAAAAAATGTAAATAATTCAACATATTTAATTTGACTTATTATGAAATCGGTTTATATTTTAATATGTTAACATTATAAATAAAATTATTTTAGCTAACTATAATTTAACAATTATGTTCTTTCAGATACTACCTGTTTTTCTACAGCTATTGTGTCCTGAACAAAGCCATGTTTTACATTCATTACAAACATTTTGTCATCTTTTGGAATCAAAAACTCCTATTTTAGAAGACCATTTACAATCTTTCATACCAAAATTACTTAACCTATCACAAAACTCAAAACTAATGTCTGTACGGATTGTAGCTTTACAGTGCCTTTACCATTGCTGTGATTATCCACTGATCAAACTTTTACCATTAAAACGACAAGTAATAATTATAAAATTTATGAATACAATAATAATATTATTAATCTGACGATGTATGTATTGGCACAATTATAATATTTCATTGGGAAGGGGAAGGAATGATAGAGATGAGATCTTCCATATCAATCAGGTCTGTAATTATACAACAGGCTAATTTCCCAATAATAGTTTTTTATTTTACATGTTTAATTGTCTTAACAATAATTTTTGCTGGAAATTGACATAGGGCCTTTAAAACCCTTATTATAGAATTAAAATGAGTAGATACATTATGTAACATTGTATCCATAATACATTTTTGGCTAACATTTTTTCACAATATATTTTCTGTTATTTATGTACTAAAAAATAACCAGTTATATGTCAATTGTACAATTTTGTTTTGTGTACATTATACAAATTGTAAAAGCATTTTTTATGTAATTATTTGTTTATAGGTGGTTCAAGACTTGGGGAATTGTTTAGACGACAAGAAAAGATTAGTTCGCAAGGAAGTAGTCAGGACAAAGTCTAGATGGATGAAAATAGACTTGTTGAAAGACGATGATTGATTTCATAGAATTTATTAAGCACAATATTTATTGTACTAGATTTTTAACATTTTGTTTTTATAACTATTTAATCAATGTTTTACATTTTATAAAAATCAATCTAAGTGAACATGAAATAAGAAAGTACACTCACTTTCAAAATAAAATTGTGATATACAAGTAAGAAAAGTTTGTTTAAATATTTTAACATTTTTTCGGTGCAAGTAGTATCTTGTTTTATAAAGGAAGTAGAAAATTATATATTCGGTGCATCTATCTTCCATTATTCTATTTTTTATCTATTTGATCAAAAAACTGAAAGTAAAAGATAAATAAGTTTTAGTAAAAAAAAAATTAGGTTTGTATTATTCTACTTTATGAAAATGTGCTAGTGAGATTACTGTTACTGTCACTGACTTGTTTTCATAAAGCAAACTTGAGTATATTTTTTACCTGTAAGGATATCCATGAGCTTTCGACTTGAATATTGACAATATCACACTAAATAAGAACACAACTAAAACTAAACCAACAACGGCCATAATTTTACGAGTTTTTGAGTCAGTCTTCTTAGAATAAGAATCTGTCATGATTACAGCACCAAAAACTAGTATAGTATCTGTGGTTACTGTTAAGGAAATATAACTTTTAGCCTTTAGGTTTTACTATTTAAAGTTATGAGAAAATTGTATGTTATATATTAAGGGGATTTTAAATGGGCATGGGGTCTGTTTTTAACACTTTAACTGCCATGGGTAGTGCCGGCGATCCCAGTTTAGTTATTTATCTTATGCAGTTATTTTTCTTGGCAGTTAAAGTGTTAAGGAGCTTTGTATAAAAAATATTTTAGAAAAAAAAGGTTTTAATAAATTTCTACCATGTCAATTAATTTACTGGTTAATTTGTATAAGCTTCAAGGTATTATTTTTAATTTTAATCATTTTTTTATGAGTAAAAGCCATTTTGGTTTATTTTAGAACAAAATTTCGACTACATAAGGTAGGCCGATTCCAATTCTGTAAAGATATTCAAGTTCTTTGGCTACTTAACTATATTTGTAGGAAGCCGATTTTTATTTAAAAATTTCAGTTTCTAGTAATTATTTAACTAAATTTACTATTTTTCAATATTAAAAACCTATTTTTTTTACATAAAAAAAGCAAAAAGTTAAAAATCTATTTCTTACATAGCCATTAACCTAGTAAAATTACCTAGAAATTTTAACACTAAAAAAATAGTTTTCAAAACTACTTTATTGTAACCAATGATTTTGCTAACTGTGAGTGTGTAGCATTCAGTTTATTGAAAACAATTTTATTTTATTTTTAAAATAGGTTTTATTATGGGAATTAAATATTTTATTTTTTGAAAATGTAAAAAATTATTTAAAATATTTTCATAAAGAATTATTTTTTAACAGTGTAGAAAATTAAAATAAATTTTAGTTCATCTATTTAAGGTTTTTATGTGAAAATACCAGAAGCAAATCACTAAATCAAATAGTTTTTCTCTATCTTTACTACATTTTAGAAAACTGATCTAAGAAATTCATTTTATATGGTAATCTACATTAGACAGCAAAGCTAACCAATGAAACAACATAAAAACAATGAATTCACAAAGTCGTTAAAAAAATAAGTCAGAATTAATTAGGTTTTTTTTTAAAAAAGGTAGTTTTTAATTCTTTCTCCTGATAAGCCTGTAGCTGGCTAAAAAATTTTAATCCAGCAACTAAATTACTAAAATGGTTAATTTTTGTTTTTAGTAATTGTTTAAAAAGGATACTCAAAATAATAATAATGTAAGTTTCCACGATAAACTGTCCTTGTGAAGAATTATGAATATATGTAATTACTCCTTGTTGGGTACGATGCATAAGAGGAGGTCCTCTTATATGATTCCACATTTGTCCAGATGTCATGGTTAAACAGAATATCTCAATAAAAAAAAGTAGTACAATTATTATATTATTATGCACAGTATAACTTATACCAAAATATCATATAACAACCAAACATTATAATACAACTTACCACAGCGCCGATTCCCCATAAATTTTTGTTGAAAAACATTTCCATGTTATTTCTTCTAATATACAAAAATGATGAACAAATTGCAAATAAGATTGACAAAGCAAATGTACTTGAATAATTTGGTGGACGGAAAATTCGTATCTAATACAGAAAAAAATATATATTCTTTTAACATCCTTGTCAATCCTCAAATGTTGTCGACTATAACTTGAAATATTTGTTTAACTTGCATTGTACCAATAATTAAAAATCATAAGTGTAGGCAAAGTGTTACATCATGGTCGCGTAAATCCAAATTACTTACCTGTACGTCAGTTCTTTCTTGAATCCATTTAGCAATCATTTCCGACGCAAATCCAACTCTTTGTATATCCATGGTATCTAAAGGCTTTGGTTTACCTTTAGGTGGAAAATGCATAAAAACTGGGGCAGTGTTGATACGCATCTATAGTAATCAAATTGAATTCTATTAGCATATAATTTAAAGCTAGTAGTATGCTACTAGTATATAGTATGTTTATTCAAAAAATACAAACCATTTGAAAAATATCAGAACCCTCGTCAAAATCAACAATTCCAAAGTATAAAGGACCATCAAATCTATGAGTATAACGATATGAATTTGCAACAATAATAAATTCGTCACTAGCATGACTAAAACAAAAACATTTAAATTATTAAATTGCATTACTATAACATATCAAAGACAGTTTAGTAGGCCATGTAAGGGCCATTACTGCCGAATGTCAAACCGGTAATTGAGTGCTCTAACATACTGCCACTCCTATACAGCTTTTAATCCATGTAGGGCTATCACTATCTCTTTTAAGAGAGGTTTCCTGATGTATCCGGGACGGATCATCAGAGTAAAGATTATAATTTATACACATTTTTATAAATTACCCGCAAATAGAACATTGTCTATGTGAAGCCATGGCAGTAAACATCATAATAACCGAATAATTTCTTGGTGGCTGTTTTACAAATTCTTTAAACTTTGGTCCATTAAACCTGAGTACAAATTTCTTAGTATACATTTCATTGAGTTGTTGTACTTTTTGTTCAAGGGTCTAAAACATATAATAAAATATAATACATTTTAATTGAAAAATTAGATCTGAGCATAATTACAACATGTATGTAAAAGACCACATTTAGTACAATTATAAGCCAAGCGGAATAACTATTATTTAAAGTTACTAAATATCAGATAATTGAAGAATAGGAATACATTTTTTTTTTTATAAATAAAGTGAAATGTTAGTTAAATTTAAAAATTGAAACATTGAAGCTAAATAACTACTAGTAAGAATTACTAGAATAACAATTTTTTTATTTTAGAGTATTATTTAATAAAAGAATTTAGTTAAAAATCTCAAAATAATTACTACTCCATTTGTCAATTTTTGGCATTAATAAGAACAAATTGGTTATTTAAATTTAAAAAATATTACCAGCTGCAAAAAAACAAATAATAATTTTTTTTCTAACTTTTACAATATTAAAATAAAAATGACGTTTTTAATCTCTCACAGGATTAAAAAAATATATTTTATATATAATTATGGTTTCAATTTTTTGTTGTTATAAAACAAATTTACTTTAGTAGTCAACCAGCTATCTCACACATAGTGTATTCAAGTAATTCTGCAATCATAATTCCAAAAATTCAAGTAGCTATAAATTATGATTCGTAATTTGCGTAAAGACGCTCTATAATTTGTTTAATACAAAAACAGTCTTCATTAAAGTAAATTAATACTTTTTGTTAAATAAATTATTTTGTAGTTACGTTAGTCGTTATTCAAATTGTGGTATCAAGTTACCTTTGGTCGTTCATCTCTTGCGCTTCCAACAAAAACATTGAAAATTACAATTGAACAAAAAAGTATTGTTTGTAACTGCATCTTGAGAAAACTTATTTAAGTTTGTTATGTGAACAACGACTTCATACTATATTAATAACAAAGAAAATTAAAATATTAATAATGTCATTTATTAAATAGGTAGGTATTCGGCATTCGGTATTAACTATTATCATTAATCCATGTTCCATGGATTGAAAATAGTAATGACGTTTCCTTTATGATAAAAACTGTTTTTGCCGATTGGCGATTGCCGGTTAGTTTGATGGTAAATAACGTTTTAACAGTTTAGCCACGGTCCTTATAAAAAATGGTGTAATACAATTTATTACAGTATAATAGTAATAATTATGATTAAATTATTTATTATTACATTGATTCATCGACATAAAAATATAATAAATAATGTTAAACTTCAATTACAATTTTAATTTAAAATTATGATTAAAATTTAAAATACAGATTTGGAATTCGTTTAAAATACTGAATTTTATTTAAACCATGTACAACTATGTATTTTCTTTATAGCCGGATTCCTTGACGATAATAGATAACAACTATTAATAATAATTTGTTTATTATTATATTTATTTTGTGGAAAATGCAAAATAATAAAAATTGTAGACCATTTAGTAATTATTGAAACGTGAATCATTGATGATTTCTATGGGTTTATTATTCACGAAATGTTTCAATTGATGTTTTCTTCATCTTATTCAAAGAAAAATTAAATTAAGTTCCATTTTAGATGTTTATCATTTCGTTTGACAAAATCCGCCGTCTTTCAACATCTTAATTACGTTTATTCTAAAAAAAGTATATGGTATTTTATCGATATGTTTACATATTACTGTTCTTAATTTAACCTATTTGACCTTATGTTTGTTATGAAGTAATGTATTGAATATTGATTAAATTCTCATTAAATTATCTATCAAAAGAGTGTATATTATGTTAACTTTAGAACTCGTATTGTAACAATATATCGAAAAATGATAATCAATAAGTTTGATTATTTGTACAGGAAATTACTATTAACTAAATATTTCGTAAATGGTTGGGGTGATCCTGAAAAATTAAAAAGGTTAGTCAATTAGTTTTAATTAATAACTTATTATTATGGAATAAGGTGGTATTAAGTTATTTAGCTTTATTAATAATAAATACTGTTAATTAGTATAATCTAAATATAGAAAGAGTTTTTTTTTTAATAAAGAGTATAGAAAAATGAGAATAATTTGTCTACTTTGTATAAATAGATAAAATAGAAAATAATAGTTTAGAAAATATATACCATAGAAGGTTTTTCTTTTAATTATACAGTAGCACCTATTAAAACTGGTGACATGCACGTATTCTAAGAAATATATTTGTTTGGATCACACTAAACATTTATTAAATACGCTTTTTTTTGTTATTTGTTATTATTATTTTTCTTTTTAGCATTTTTGAGTTCAGGAAATATATAGTTAATCGTGATTCGTGCAACAAACTTGTGCCTACAGATTATCCAGTTAAAATTGTCAAAGTAGTAGTAAAATTAAAACTTTGAATAATCAAATCAGTATTTAATATGTGTATATAACTTTTTTTAGAAAAAAGAAGACTCAGATTCTATCACCTTTGAGGGAGTTTTTGAATCGCCATTTTTTTGTTATCTCCCAACAGTCGTTCCTAGAGAAAGCCATTTAGCTCATTTTCAACTTTTACTCCCAAAAAAATGGCGTTCGATAAATGCAAAACCAATATGTTTACATATGGCTGGTACAGGAGATCAGGTAACTTAATTTTTAAACTAAATGTACAGTTTTATTAAAACTATTTAATTAAAGGGGTTGAAAACAGGTGGTTTTTAAGAAATTTTATACAGGCAATATTGAAGAAAAAAAGGGTTTTTAATAAATGTTGAATGTGTCAATTTATTTTCAGGTTAATTTGTAAAATTTTTAACTTATATAATTTTTTCGATGAGTAATAACAATTTTGTTCCTAAAAGAAATCTAATTTAGACCTAAAAGCCTGACAAAATTACGCCTACTTCTAAGTCCTTAGAAGGACTTTTAAGTGGTTTTAAATAATATAGAGCCAACAATTTTATTCTTAATAACTAATTAAATTACACAATTTATAATTGATTTTAGTATTACTGGCGAAGACGAGCATTTTTGGCGAATCCATTATTAAAAGAAGCAGGCATAGGATCAATAATTTTAGAAAATCCATTTTATGGAAAGAGAAAACCAAGTAATCAAGTGTAAGTATATTATATTAACTAAATATAACATAAAATAAAAATGTATAATTAAATTAATCAAAATTATGAAATAATTTTAATTCTAGGAGGTCTACATTATGTAATGTTTCTGACATTTTCGTAATGGGTGGATGTCTTATATTGGAATCTCTTGTATTATTTAATTGGTGTGAACGAGAAGGTTTTGGTCCTCTAGGAGTAACTGGATTATCTATGGGTGGACATGTAAGTAGCTAGTATATTATTATTGTAGTTTAACAGGCCTTTAAGGCCTTTAACGCTGCTATCAAGAGATAATGGTGTCTTGACAAATTCTGCTGTCCGGGACAGGGGTCATCAGTCTGTCGACAATTATTTTTGTTTTAAATATCTATCTGTTGCATTACAAACAAATTTAAGTAAGTTCATATTTAATTACGGAGCCTTGTACCTATGTACAAAGGTCGATTACACCTACCAAAAGGATGAAAATTAAAAAATGTATTTATACTGTTGAGTCATTTCATTTATGGTATCGTCTGGCCTTATGTTTTTTATATTTAAATTTTTATTGTTTGTCTTAGGCAAATAATGATTTTACAAGCAAAAATAAAGAATGTTGGTTGACCAGTTTAAAAGTTTATAACTCTTATACAAAATAACTAGGAAATACCTTGTTTTGTTTTGGGGTTTAATTTTAGGAGAAAATATCATACTTTATAAAAATCGAATTTGAGCTTTTAATTTTAAGAACTTTAAACTTTAGTACAAAAAGAAAAAATTAAAATATGACAAATCACTTAATCGAAAATAAGTAAAACCAAAATTTATGATTACTTAAAGTTAGATCTAAAAGTTGGGTTCTTCCATGTATTATCAACACAATTTCTTTTAATTTCTGACTGTATCTTTTTTTTTTATTTCAAACTTTTTAGGTCATTTGTGTAAAGCAACCGGGGGTGTTTGAACAAAAAAAAAATTTTTTGGTCATCCGGTTCAAAAACAATAGGCACTTTGCTAAAATAAACGGTATAGTAATAAATCATAACTCTTCTTCAGAATAACTTAAAAATATTTAGTTCCCACGATTTGTCTAGTGAAAATTTTTTGCATTAAGAATAAATACTACTCTTCTTGAAAAACAAATTTTAGCTATTAATTTTGGTAATTTCCATCATCAAAAAATTCTAAATTGATTTTTATATTTTTAGTCAATTAATCATAATTGTTGTTTGAATTGAAATTATTAGTTAATGATTTACTAGATAAAAAGTTGAAAACTACTCTTAATCTCTTAATTAATCTAATTATCATAAACTTATTACCAACTAATTAATTAAAAATGAACATTACAGTTTTTATGAAAAAATATTTATAATAATAAACCATAATAATAATAATAAACCATGTTTTTTTTTAAATTTTTCTATTATTAAACATAATATTCTTATTCTTATTTTAGATGGCATCCTTAGCTGCAGCAAGTTGGCCTAAACCAGTAGTACTTGTACCTTGTTTGTCAGGGACAACCGCATCTGGTGTATTTACAGAGGTATATTTTTTTTAACGGCTAAAATATTATAAAAATATTCTTCATGCTTACCATTATACATATTTTACCCTAACTTTTAATTTGTGCGGTTTTTTAAATTTTTTTGATGACATACATATGGTGTAAGTGAAATATGGTCTATAAACATTTTATAACAATCATAAATTAAAAAAAAAAAGATGTTTAACAAAAAATTTAGTTTTAATGTCATATTTATATGTTTACATATTTATAGTTACAAATTGTATTATACTTCAATGAACTATAAGGATTGTTAATAAATAATCTTCTTATTTAATTAAAATTTGTTAAAGTGTTATACAGCAATAAATTGATAGAAATAATGTACAATATTCATTTAAGAATACATCCGATGATGTTGTTAAAGTATTTTATTTATACTTTCAGGGCGCAATGAGTTGTGCAATTGATTGGAATTTACTTGAACAGCAATATAAATCAAATGCAACCTATAAGAATGAAATTGTGAATGTTAATGATTTGAAAATTAAAGTTAATCATTTGAATGTAAGTTTATAATATGTAAAAAAAATCATGACTTGGTAAAATAAATACTACATAATATTTAGTTAATGTAAAATATTAACTATTTAGAGAGATCAACATCTTACATATTTTAGATGTATTTTTTAATTAATTTTTTTTATACATGACCAATGTAAATAATTATTGCTAGACTATAAAACGCTTTTTAATAACTTTTTTAGTTCCTGTTATAAGCTTGCAATACTTGTAATTTTAATTACTGTTGCTTATTATTGTAGAGAGAATTTAATGCTGGAAAACAATTTATAAAAAATCTGAATTCCAGCTCATCTTCTGACATCCAATCTAAATTAATGTTTGATACTGTGAAAAATAAAAAAGCCGCATTAAAATTATACTCCTCTCAACAATTAGAAAATTTGAAGACAACAAAATCATTTAACTCTTTTGATAATTTAGATGATCCAACAATTGAAGAACATAATAAAATGCAAATTAAATCTGATGCTAAAAAAATGAGACATATGATGAGATTTTTTAATGAACAATCTAAAAATGAAGGTGGTTTAAAATTAAATTAATGTGTATTTTTAAATTCTTACCACGTATCATATAAATTATTATTGTCGTAGATTTAAATTTAGAAGCACTGAGTTTCATGAAGGGTATAATGGATGAATGTACTCATTTAAGAAATTTTAACATACCAGTCGATATGGATTTAGTAATAGCAGTTTGTGCAAAACGAGATGGTTATGTTCCTCAAAAAGGTGTAGCAAGATTAGAAGATGTTTGGCCAGGAGCTGAAGTTAGGTATGTTGACACTGGTCATGTAGCTGCTTTTTTACTACATCGAAATACATTCAAGTAAGTTGTAATGACAATTAAAAGTACTAATAAGAAATATTTTACCATAAAAATGTATAACTGAAAAAAAAATATTATGTGATAAATAGATAAATTTTTTTATTGAACTTATTCAAATTACGTCGTAAATTGTAAAGTATACTTTATTAATGATATTAAAAACATTGGTAAAATATAATAGTTATGTTTTTCTTATCCCATTTAACTGGTGTAAACTTTATGATAATTTATAACAATTTATAAAGTAATTATTGTTTTAGGAATGCAATAATTGAAGCTTTCCATCGAGCCCAACATAAATATTTTGATAAATAACCACAACAATATAAATTAAGAACATAATGAACAAGAAGTTGTTGTGAATTTCTCTAAGTACTTTTAATATGCTTTATTATTAAAATAATTCACTATCTGTATATGATTGTATTTTTACCTGTAATGTAAAGTGTTAACCATTTTTTTAGTATTATTTGACCTTCAATAATTATGACACTTGGGCATAGTTAATTTTTTTATTACAAAAATAATTTAATTATTATTTTGTATATTTTACTCGTGCCATTGAGTTAAGTTATGACTTATTATACTAATTAGCCTTGACTATGCTGAAACTTAAATTTTATTTGTTTTGTCACTTATACGTGCCATTTTGTTTAAATAATATACTTGCTGTAATAAAATTGAGCAAATATGTTTTAAGCAAAAATCTTATTTTAAATAGAAAACTACCAAAAAGAATATGAACATTTTTATCTCTAAAAGTGACACTATCGATAGTTTAAAAATTATTTTTAATTTACCAGAATAGGTTTACAAAATCTAAATATTAACTTCTATCTACGTAACACTTATTCTTTTACATGTCTTAGACAACTATTTTTCAAAACGATCATTTTTGTTCATTACAGATGTAGGTAAATCCGTACATTTATGTATACACTCTACTGGGTACAATCTGAAGATTGGTTTTGAGCTTTAAACTAATTTTTTTTTTAATCATTTCTTTTTCACCTCCAAGCGGTCGTTTATGTAGTGATAACACCGCGAATTTGCAAGTACAGGAATTGACTGAACTCAATATTGAGTTTAGTGCAGGAATTACGTTGGTGATGTAAACACCGCAGCGTGACCGTCAATGAGATTTTGTAAGGAATGACTGCTTGAAGGTTAATTATAAACTTTTTTGGTGGTAGATCATTTCGTGTATTAGAAATCATATCTTAAAGTTACTTCATAAAATCAAAAGTGAAAAAAGTTCACCCCATCTTGAAATTCTAGTAAAACCTTAAACCTTGTTGCTAGTGCACTATTTAGTAATTACCTAATTGCATTGATACTGAATTATTATTCAAGCATCTAATATACTAGCGACGTATATACGTATAAAAATTATTTTCAGAACACTTCACCTAGTATTTAGTAGCTACTGTTATTATATAGTTTTTTCAGACGTTCACTAAAAAACCCGTAAAATAGACAGTTTTAAAAGACCATGAAGAGATTAAATATAACAAATGGACTTTCAACCCAAGTCCTAATTTCGAATAGCGTCGTGGCCCTGTAACTCCTATTAACCGATTAACGTCATTCGTCGTTTTCTAATAGTGGTGACTGGTGAGAATTATTTGCTAATAATATGGCGTTTTTTATTTTATAGAAATGTAGTAAATTTCGCTCTTTTATACTTAAATTATTTTTGAATTAAAAATACTAATTATAGAATTACGTCGACATGGTGAACGAACGACAATTGGTAGATAACCCTAACAAGTAGCAACACTCTTATTGTAAACGTGTTCGTTAATCGTTCGACACTGATGCAATGTCAAACCGTGCTGTTGACGTATGCATTGCTGTTAGCGCATGATGCGTCCTATCATGCATAGGGTATAGGTGCATTCTTGTATTTAAGAGCTCTTTATGACATGCATCAATTAATAATTGTCATAGCCTGAGAGTTAAAAATTACGAATTCGTAAGTGTTAAGTCAACATTTTCAGTTTACTGTAAAATGTAAATTTTATACATATATATTGTACATATTATTACATACAACTTATAATAGCGTAACACTGATATCATTCTCGTGGTTCGTACATACATCTAACCTGGTAGACGGTTTCCGTTAATCTCATTTGTACGTTTTCACGGTAATCACAGCTCGCACTTCGCAGTACGGTCTGCGGTACGCGTACGCTCTACAATATTATCTAGGTATATGTTATTGTTACAAACCATAGAGTAATAATATACAAACTCTTTGATTTCGTGCTCACGTCGTGCGCGTTAATATCAGTTATCATAGAAGTCACTTGAAAGTTGAACAGTCTGAACTGCACCGTCGTTTTTGCCAATTGTGGATTGTGTTTCGTTGTCTAAGGTGATACGTGCCGTAACGAGTTGTTGTTATTTAGTTATGGCTATTTTTTTTTTTTGTAGTTAATAGGTAGAAGTTCCCGTACAAATTAATTGATATCATTTTTTATCGGATGGACTTCTTTTTTTGTTTAGTTTTATTGTTTGGTGTAGCGTTTTTGCTATCGTCAGTTTTTCGGAACGATAGGTTCAAACGTTTTAGTAGGAAGCATTAGTCTTCTTTTTTCGGCAATAACAGTGGTCTTTTTGTTTTTTATAAAGTTTAATTTGTTTTCGAGCAGTTTTATTGATAGTTTTTTTTATTAAATAAAACATCGAGTGTTCTTAATACTAGTCGTCGCCTACAACAGGCTACACCTTAAATATCCCCACGGAATGTACCTAGAATTGGTCCAAACCCGAAGAAGATAACACTTACTCAAATCCAATCACAATGTCCTCTATATTAATAGTGGACACTCTTTCTTTTACTATACTTTTTATTATCTTTATTCCATTTCTTATATTTTTCCTAGGCATTGTTTTGCTTGCATACATTGGCAAAACTCTCGGCATACGGAGAATTTACGTTGAGTTTCTCGTTAAAGTATTTGAGGTAAGAAATTTTCTGTATTAATTATACCTACCATTGATTTTATAATATATTAAATCTGGCGAGGGCTATCAGGTATTCAAGCGTGGTAAATGTAGGAAGGTGTTCTCTTATTGTACCTATATTTACTGTTCAGTTAGCTGCATTTACCATTAACAATGAGTTTGCTTATCTTTATGCCATTATAAAATCAATGATTACATACATAAGTAGTATGGGGCTGAAAGGTGACATTGATGTTAGGATATGTAGGTCTATGGGTTCTACAATGTGTGGAATACACATAGAGTTATGTCATCATGTACATATATTTTATATATTATTATTACTGTTAATTATAATCTAAAAACATGTAGTTAGGTACAGACGAGTTAAATATTTTTTTCATTTCCTCTAGTTTCATTAATAAAGAAAGTATACATTTCCTTACTAATAGTTATAACTTATAGGTAAAAGTCAATTTGAATATAATTCCTGACCTACACAATAAAAAATGTGCTTTAGATGTGTACTATAATTGTAACTGTGTCTGCATGTTTCTTAAAAACTATAATTAAGATAAATTAATTTTTTTTAATCCAGATTACCTGTCGATAATTTTTTTTTTTTAAGAATTTTAGTTTATATTTTATGTTGTAGGTTTAAATAAATAATGAAACCAAATATTATTTAAAATATAAAAGTTGGTTTTAGATTCTATAAACCCATTTTAGTTATTGTGGAGTTCAATTTTATTATAAAATAAAACTATAGTTATTGTAAAAGTGAACTACTATTATTCGGATTAAATAAATTTAAATTATCTCTGATAAAGTAGGTATATTAAAAAAAAAATGTGTGCGAGTTCAAAGTACAGCGTATATTTGGAAAGCCAATAATACCTACTTCAAGGTTTTTACAAGTAGGCTACTTAAATAAAAACTAATAATAATAACTCAAAGGTTAGTTAAATGGTTTTGTTTTAACATAATTCAACAGAATTGATTATGTATAATGAATCAATGATAAATTTATGTGCTTCTAAAGTATAACTATTAATTAACATTATGTATATCTTTATCAAATTAAAAGTGTTGAATTAATATTTATGCTTGGAAGATAACTGCTGATATTTAATTTATAAAAAAACTATTCATATTCGTCATAAATAACTATAATACCTAATGATTTTTAAAAAGTAACACCATTAAGTTAGATATACTTTAAACAAAACTAGAACTAGTTGAATTTACCTAGTTAGTTTGTAGATAATTAAGTTGAATTAAAATTCATTGATAAAAATAACCATTAACTGTATTAACTTGTATTAAATGTCTATAAAAATATGTAATGATAATTCAATAAATCATATTGGTACAGTAGGTGCAATTAAAATAATGATTTACATCATAATTAATAAATGAACATTAGTATACCAAATTTTTCATTTAATTTTTAAATAAGTCAAAATTTAAAAAAAAAATTTAATTGTTGAAACCAATTATCATCAAATTTTTAAAACTAAAGTAGACTTTTTTTATTGTTAGCCCGTCGTTGGTCGTGTGGTGAGCTTTTCTCACTATAAGACTTTATTTTCTTGTTTCATACCTATACCTTGTCTATAACATGTAGTCTATGTATAGAATTATACACACACAAAAAATAGTTAACTGTTTATTGTCTGCAACTGTTTAACTGGTAGTAATTGGCAGTTCGTACACACAATGTGAGAGAGTTCTCTATCTGCGACTAAGCAAGTTAGTTTTTTCCCCTTTTTTGTTTTACAATGGATTTCACACAGATATACATTTTTAAATAATATATACTTATATATGTTTATGTATTTATTATTAATTAATAATGTGAATATATTATACATATTTAAGTAATTAATACAATTTAAGACAGCATATAAAAAAGAGTGTGAGAATTTCTCACCTCACAACCACTGACATAGAAAAAAAGGATGCGTGTAATGACGAGTTAACAGAAAAAAGGTAGAATTTGACCTTGGCGGTGGTATGCAGTGCCGTGATAACAAAATAACCTTTATATATTAAAAAATGCAAAATATGATATTGGCGTTTCTAATGTAGCTACATCTTTTATTTTAAATTATTGTTATTATTATGTCTTGTATTTATTAATGAATGTTTTGTATATATTTAATTATTTGTTTGTGTATTCTGTTGTATGTTTTCCCATAAGGCGTTATGAATATTATTATTGTGACAATGCATATTAATTTTCTACATAATGTGAAAAACAATTGGTATATTCTTTTGTTAGAGTTTTATTTGTGTCAGTTGAACATGTGTGATAGAGGACATTACCTGGGTCGCACATATTACTATTCATAAATATAAACTTTTGGCCTTTTACAGGATCATAAAAAGCCTACTGTACGCCTCTATTACATATCGTTTGGAAAAGGGTAATTAGGAGTGAAAAAGGGGGACCCTTTTTTACATTAGAGAACTTTTCTTATACATCTGTTCTTTGTATTCATATAGATATTTTATTATAGGTGTAGTCATATAGTTTTTATTAACTTAATTTTAACTTTTAATTACATTACTATAGATGAAAGGAGAAAACAAACACATGGATCAAGAAGTCAAGTTATTTATTAGTAAATTACAAGTTCATTAGGAACAACTAACATGTTGTTATTTGTAAATGAATTTCATACTGATTGTTTTTAAGCCATTCTTAAAGTTGAGGTTTTCATACTTTTAATTTCAACTTGAAACTTGTATGGCTCACTATATTGGCTTTACATTATAGTTCGTTCTTTAATATTAGTATTGATGAGCTGTATTTCATTTTCATGTTAAACTGGTGAGAACAGCCATTGATTATGTTTTACACTAAAATCGCAATAACCCACAAGTATAATTAAAATTTTAAAATTTGGTGTTTTTATAGCTATTAAATATTTAACAGACAAATTAGACTAATAAAATTAATAGTATTAAATAAAAACTTGACAATGCATATAAGTAATAGACATCAGCTGTGCTAAAATATATTTGTAAGTCATTTTTATAAAATTAATATCAAGAATAAATTTAATTTATATTATTGAATAGGTATGACTTCTTTTGCTGTATAAAATTAATTAGGTATATACTAATATTGTATTTATTGAAAAAAACTATAGTTAATTAAAATTAATTTATAGTATGGCAGAGAAAATCTTGAGAAACAATCAAAAAAAAAGAAAAAAATTATTGAGGAAACTGACGGTGAAGAAACTGATGATGTTGATGAACCTTGTCTGGAAAACTCTAATGACGAGAGTGTATTAAATAAACATATTACTGATGCTAACCCAGATGTTGTTGATGCAAATGGATCAATTACCAGAAACAGCTCGTCCCATAGTTTATCTAATGGTGTTGATAAAAAAGTTCAAAATGGGGCACCTCCACTGATAAGTAGACAAGATTTAATATTAGTTCCAGATCCTGATCAAAATTACAATGGAAATAACAATGTAAAAATTGAGGGGGTAAGTCTAAATAGAATAAATTTATTAGATTTATTCGAAACTTGATATCCTAGATAACTAATGTAATTTCAAAATTCTTTCTAGTTTAACAAAAATTAATTTAATCAAACGTAGCTTTTTACTAAGGCGCAAAATGTAATAATTTTCAAACTAACTTGTATAAGTTTGGTATCATTTTTTTAAGTTATCCATTTTACTGATGCAAAATGGCTATGAAATTATGTTTCACCCCTTTGTGGAGTGGTCAGAAGTTGACACATAAAAAAAAATAAAAATATTGGTTGAATAAATTTGTAAAATTTCTTGTTATTTAAAATCTTACTATAGCTTTTTAAAATTTATTTTTAAAAATCAAAGTCCAATGTATCCTGTATGTCACTTTTTTTTTATTATAACTGAATTGCTGTAATTTGTGTATTAATTAATGAACAATAATAGATTCCCTCTATTTAGGGTAAACAAATATTGCAAAGAACAAGATCGTTCAACACTCTTAAGCGAGAATTTGAACTGGCAGATGTACTTGACTATGTAAAAACTGGTGTGGAAGCTATTATTGAAGATCAGGTTACTTCTAGATTTGAAGCGGAAGAACTTAAAGTAAGTTTTAGAAATTATAAGTCATTTTCTTTTGTTTTAAAATGTTGTATAACTTACTGAACCCTTTTTTTTTTGTAAAGCAACCTGTTTCTTAAGTATAATATAAGTTTTGATACTCGTTTGTATCAATGTTATAATACTTCAGGACTATCGTAAAATTTTGTTTAATGTAACATTTATTAACAATTCAACTAACATTTATTAAATTACTCCTAGAGAGTGATTGCATATTTTTTGTTTATCCATGTTTTGATAATTATTTTTTAGTCGTGGAATTTATTAACAAGAACAAATAGACATTACGAGTTCATAAACTGGAAAATAACAGTTATTTGGATGATTGGATTTGTTATACGATACACATTCTTGTTGCCGTTACGTGTATTAATTTGCTTTTTTGGGGTAAGTTTTTGATTTGTTACTAAATAGTTAATGAATGAATTAATAGTTAAAAATGAATTATTCTATGACATTATACAGTCATACAGTCATAGTAATTAATTTTGTTGTATAAAACTATTTTTTTTTTTTAGCAGTTAAAAAAATTACATTAATTACTGCGGAATATAATTTGTTCAGCATTATACTCATTATAGTTAGGTATTACATCAACAGGTGATTTGGCTTAGTGTAGCTATAAGTATTATATGGTTGGTTACAAATGATCAATTATTGCAAGAGAGTTGGACAAATGGAGTTGTTCGATATGTTTTTGTTTTATTTCAATATATTTTGACCATAGTCATTAATGTCCATAATCCACAATGGATTCCTAAGAAAAATGGAATATGTGTAGCCAATCATACATCACCGATTGATATTGCAATTCTTTTTGCTCACAACTATTATATATTGGTAATTTAAGTGTGATGAATGATTGTATTATTAGACTAATATCAATCATACATGCTAGATTACACCATGTAATTTAAAATAACTTAGCACAGATGAGACACTTCTCCTTTTTTGGGAATTATCGTAAATTTACAGTTATACTGCATTAAATAACATTACTAAAATATATTAAAAATTAATTTTTTTTTAATAATAAAATATTAACAATTAATAAAATAAAGAATTAATTTTTATGTTTAATAAAACATAAACTGTAACTTATACAAATAAAGATAAGTTTAAGTGTAAGTTCAACTTGACTTGAAGTATTGTTTACAAAAATGATTTAGAATGCTCTTATGTTAAAAATCTCCTCCGTTTTAAAAATATAAAAGATTTTAAAATGTATTAACATTATTGTATGATTAATATTTTTTGCAAATAGGTAATGTGGCTGTGGATATGTACGTTTATTGTCGGTTTTATACCTGATAGTCTGGGTAAACGTTGGCTCAATCACAATGTGTCAATTATGTGTTTTCAAGTTTTATCGGCTGCACTATCTTCAGTTATAACTTACCATAACCGTGAAAACCTTCCTAAGCGAGGCATATGCGTTGCCAATCATACATCGCCTATTGACGTGTTGGTGTTAGCATGTGACAACACATATGCTTTGGTATGTCACAAAATTGCACTATCATAAATATAGCATGATTACAAAGAGTTTATCTAAACAATTATTACCATTTATTCAGTACTTTTATTAACAAAATTAATTCTTACTTATTATTTAAAAACTGGAATTTTATTTAATAAATCATTATTTTCTAATAATGATACCATATCTTATTTTCTTCACTCATCACCTATTACTAAAAATGTTTGCTCATACAATTTACTTTCAATCAGTATTTAATTCTATATCCTTATTTATCACCTCTTCCATTTGACTTTGTTTTAAATATCCAATTTTTTCTTTCACACTATTCTCTACCCACTCCCTCTTACAACTTTATCGTACAGGTATACTATGAAAAAATTGTTATTGTAATAAAAAAAGTATATTTGTTTGTTATTTAAATAATTGGATTAACTAATAATTAAATGTTAAATAATAAAGTTAAGTTAATTAAACAGGCATGGTTTGTTGTTGCTAAAAACCTTAAAAGGTTAATGTTGCACATTTTCCAAAGTTTTTTTTTGTAAGCACTACTATTAATAATATAATAGCAAACATGTCTGTTTATTTAGCATGTATATAATATAATAATATAGTAATCATTTATCATTTCTATATTCATAATTAGATTGGTCAACGACATGGAGGATTTTTAGGAATCCTTCAAAGAGCATTAGCTAGAGCTTCACCTCATTTATGGTTTGAACGATCAGAAGTAAAGGACAGAGAAATTGTTGCAAGAAGGTAAAGTAATTTTTTGTTTAAATAAAATCATTCAAAAATTTTCAAACTGAATTTTTTTTTTTGAATGTAGACTTAGAGAACACGTTTCAAATCCAATTAATCCTCCTATACTTGTGTTTCCCGAAGGAACCTGTATTAACAACACATCTGTGATGCAGTTCAAAAAAGGAAGTTTTGAAGTAGGAGGTGTTATTTATCCTGTGGCTATTAAGGTATAACAAATGTTTACGTAACAAGAAAGCAAATTTAGATTACTATTAGATCCTAAGACACAAGCTCAGCATCTATCTTCGATTGATGCAGCATAACGCAGCGTAATCCACACCACAAGACCTGTGCTTTTTTGAGAGCAGTGTTGGGCAAAGTTTAAATTGAATAAATATTTTTTATTTATGAATAATATTATTTTGTAACTCGATAATTTATAGCTATTTATTTACTACAATATTTTAAAAGAGCGATAGAAATTTAAAGTTATTTAAAATAATTAGACATTCAAAAAAATTAAGTATTATTAAATTAATAAAATTAAAAAATAATTTGTATTAATTGATTTATTCTGGTACAAATCATTTGAATAATGCTGAACTTTGCTCTGGTACCTTCCCGCGCTGTTTCACTGTATCAACCTTATGGGCTCCTAGCTTAACACTTTAATGTATATGTTTGTAAAATTAATGATGCTTAAGTATTATTATTCTAGTGTTGCCGTATACAAACAGTTTTTAAATAATACATTCACAAAATAATATTTGTATCGACAACATTCTGGAAATCTATAATCATAAATTAAACATAAATAGTCTTATTTACAAATGTCTTACTTTTATTTGTTTATTATTATTTTTAGTATGACCCAAGATTTGGTGATGCATTTTGGAACAGTAGTAAATATTCAATGTTACAATATTTATATTTAATGATGACATCGTGGGCCATTGTTTGTGATGTATGGTATTTACCTCCAATGTACCAAAATGAAAATGAATCTGGTGCAGATTTTGCTAATAGAGTAAAAAGAGTAATTGCTGATCAAGGAGGACTTGTTGATTTAGTATGGTAAGGATATAAACACATTTCAGCAAAATAGTTTATTTAAACAGAATACTTGTTGAAATAATTTTCTTATTTTAGCAAATTTAATAATATACCAAATGTATGTGCGTTTATAATTTAAAATGTATGTCTAACATAATTTTTAAACTCTAAATTTGTTCAGGGATGGGCAGTTAAAGCGTTCGAAACCAAAAAAGGAATGGAAAGAAAGGCAACAAGAAGAATTTAGCAAAAGACTTAAAGTCGAATAGCAGAAAATACATTGTGTGTTGTTACATATATTGGTCAGAAGCTAATAACATATTTATGGGACTTGCGTCAATGACAAAAATTCTATGACCAATTCAAGAACAAACCTAGTCGTATATTTAAATCACAAAAATTGGTTTTATATTTATTTTAGATTATAGATTAATTTATGTAATCGAGTAGTTATTATCAATAATTGTATAATAATATTTGTATTACCCAATCAAGTTTTTGATTTTGGAAATAACTGTTAATTGTGGATTCTGTCTGTGATCTATAAAAGCCTCTCAAAAAGACTTGGTAATATTATTTTAAATTTGGTGAATATCGTTGAAAATTGTGAATTGTTTGTATAGTTTCTGTTAACTTTTGTCAGGTTAAGATACTTTTGTTTGCCTATGGATTTGATTTACATATTTTAATGATAATTTACTTTAATATCCATTTTTTTTTCAGCTTATTTATTTTTACTTAAAATGTTCAACAAATTTATTTTGATTTTCTTGTTCATGTACAATACTCATACCAGTGGAAAAAAAAAAAATATATATATATATATACATACGCGCACACACATAAATATGTATATATTTTTTTTTGTTATATTGCATTTGTTTTAGATGTGTATTATGTATGTCATTGTTTTTTTTGTTGAGTAACTGTATGCTGTTACATTTCAAATTGTTTCTACAATAAATAGGCTTTATCTTTGTTACTTATTGGAAAAATATTATAAGTAAATTTTGAGCTTTATAGTTATCATTTATAAGTGTTATTGAATTCTTTACAATACCACTGATTTATATGAAAAAAAATATCAAAACAAGACTTATTTGGTTATGTCTGAGATAAGTACAGAATTTATGCATTTACTATAATTTTCTAATTTATCCAAGTATAACAATTTTACAAAATTCCCTTATATTTGTTATGCATGTTTTCATATAAAAAGTGAATACTCAGAGTTGGTAGTTTATTCATGATTTATATTATGGGTTTTTGTTGTATTCAGAAAATTATTTAATATTTTAGTTCACAATATAGTTGTCAATTACACATACATATTTTCAATGTATTTTCTAATTTTTTACTAAATTGTTTTTTTTTTAAATAAAAATGTATTTATAACTATATACATATGTTATGTAGTATTTTATTTAAATAATGCACTGCAATGATAGTAAAGTTTTAGGAAAATGTATAGGAGCACTTAATTTATTGCTGTCAGTTTAAAATTGTTTCAGCTATTATATAATTGTATAGTTTTATATGGTAGGTAGTGAATGTCAATTTCTAAGTGTATTTTAGTTTAAAAAGTAAACATTTTTTTTTTTAAATGTATTATTATTTTGTTTTGGCCCCCTCCCTTTAAATCCCAAACACATTTAGTGATACTTGAGTATTTCAGTCCAATAATTCTGTAAACATTTAACAAAAAAAAAATTATATTAATTGGGGGGGGTTTTCACTTTGACACAAAAGGCCTGTTATCCTGTAGTTATTCTCTTAGATGAGGGATGATGTTTAAATGAACAAAAATAAAATAGTACATCAAAATTTAAATTAAAAGTGTATTTTTTCTTTTTCTTTTTTTTACTTCTAAAGGAACATTCGAAATCTCTGATGTTCTTTTAGATAATTTAAAACAACTTGTTGTGTCCTTCACATTGGTTGTAGAATTATTTTTATCCAAATAATCTTTTCCTATATTTTCAAAGCCATTCTTATCAATTGTAATGCACCTGCAATGTTTTTTAATATTTATAAATAATTCGACATTTGTATAGCCTAATTTTAAAATTATACTTGTTTACATACTCTGAAGAAAATACTTGAATTATATTATTGATTTGTGAATAGTTTTTAAAAAATTCATTTTCATCAAATCTTTCAGTTTGAATATTTTCTACAAAAATTTGATAATAATAATATAAAATTCTTAATTGCTAAAATGAATTACAAATTAGTGGTTCAAATACTACCAAATTAATAATACATACAGATAAAAAAATCACAGATTATATTTTAAAATGTAATCCTTAATAAACAAGTAGGGTGTCATCCTTGTAATTGAAAGCTCAGTGTTACAGTGATTAATTTAATTTCAATTGGCTTTCACTGACACTATTACTGACAATAAGACAAACCGACAACCATTAAAAATATAACAAAGGTAATTACTACATATAAAGAAGTAACATAGTAAATTACTCTATGGTATACAGTTATAAATAAATATACTTACTGCAGGATATTTGGCCTCCTTCTAGAATGTACTCTTTGATTTCTTCGTCTTTTTTTTTTATAAGTGATATTAAGTTGTCTTGATTGTTATTGAGGCTTTTTATTGTCATTAGTAGAGCCATAGTTATATTTTTGTAAAACTGTTAAATACATAAATAAAGAACAGATATAGATTTATATTTTCCATTTAATATGATAGGTTGCATAAACTGGACACAGACTACAAACCTTCACTTGAAATTTATTGATAATAATAAAATTAATACTATTATTTTATTATAACCAATCAATAAAACTTTTGTTATGTTTGACAGTACTTAGGGAAAAATATATTTTTATTATTACCGGGCTGTAATAACTATTAAAACGTCTTAGTACTTAGTTTCAACTAAACTATCTCTTTTAAAAAACAAAAAAGCTCTGTAAAAAAAAAACTAGTAAAAATCTAATCCCAATTGATACTTTATATCACTCCACCATTCATGTTCAAATATTCTTAAGCAAAACTAAAACTTACATGTTCACTGTTTTTTAACTCCACATCAAATTCTAGATTAATACAAAATCCATCTGATAAATTAATACTTAAACCAACATTTAAATTAGATTCTTTTTCAACAAAACTCCAATCCAAAGAACTCTTTTTCTCTATATTGGCAAGATATTCACAGATAGTTTTAGGTTCTGTTTCGATGATTTCATCCTACAAATAAAATAAAATATCAATAATGGTAAGCAAAAACTCATAAATATTATGTTTAACACTCATGCACTTCAGTATAGTCATTTCTATATTTAATTATATATATTTTTTATATTATTGCTTAAACACATTTCATATTGTGAATAACTTACAGTGTACAATGATGAAAACAACGATTCTTGCGAGGATTTTTCCCAGTATTTTACTAAATTTGTAAATTTGAAATAATAAAAATTGTTTTCTAGTGTAAAACTATAAAATATAGTTGTATTATTAATTTTTTGATTAGTTGATGACCACATAGTCATAATAATTTTAGATACACATAAAAATAAAATGGAATGTGCGCGTAATTTGGATTTAAAATAAGTACTCAATAGGCGTAAGCCCGAATAAGTTCTATTAATGATTGATTAATATTGATTATGATTAATTATAATGGAACCACCAATTATCAACTATCATTTACAATTATATAACTATCAAGTTTAATCAATATTACTTTTTATTATTATACTAATATTAATTAACTTCAAGAAGTGTTTTATTATTTAACAACGACTCCTAGTCCTGCCGATACCGGTAGTCGTTTAGTTTACTGTACCATTAATTAAATTATTTAAAATTATATAATTACTATTATTTAATCAATGCTATATATGACACAAAAAATGGTTAAAAATTGAAACGGTATCGGACCGCAAATTGATAATATTAAGATCTTTTCCAAGTTATCGTGCCTAAAGAGATAGGTAAGTCCATAGATAATAAAAGAATACAAATCTTTTATTATCTATGGGCAAGTCGGTAAATTACGATAACGATTATTATATAATATGGCCGTGTATTTTTCTACGAGAGTACACATGCAGTTTTGTTTGAAAGTTGATAAACATGAGTTGCCAACTTACCTACATAATTTAAGATTATCTAAAATCATTATTACCAGTAATTTTTTTATCATATAGCCCGTTATCAAGATGGTAATTTAATAGTTCCGCAGATTATTTATCTGGGATAGAATAGATAAATTTATAATTAATATTTTATATAACGTAAGTCATAACAATAAGATACTTTTTTTCTTAACGCTGTTATATGTAAATGATTAATCACAGTAGTATTTAACTTATGTAATTTGTATAATTATTTTTGTAGTTAATTTTTTACTTGCCTACTGTAACTTAAAATTTTAAATTAAAAATGCCTCCACGGGAAAGGCATTTATGGAGAATAGTGTTTAATAACTTTGTAAAATCTTTAATGCCTAAAGCCGCAGAAAAACCTATTGGTTCTGATGCACAAGGAAATAAATATTATGAAATACCAGCTGATCCTCAAGGTGGTCGTCGTTTACCGAGGAGGTGGTTTGTTCCTGTAGACGAGGAAACTGGTGTACCAACGCCAGAATGGTCACAGTGGTTAAGAGGACGACGACTAGAACCACCAACTAAAGAAGAAATAGCTTGTAATGAAGCAATTGCTGAAATGAAAAAAGTTAATGCACAGATGATTGCTGATAAATTTAGTATCCCGGTATCTGAAGGTAACTCTATAAAAGATAAAGTAAATGCAAAAGGATTTCCTGACATGTCAGACAAATTTGAAAGACAACCAGGTCAATATACAAATAATCAAAAATAGTCTTTGGACATTTTAACTTAACTAATAGTTTTGTTTATGAATTATACCTATGATTTTACTTGTAAATATGTATAATAAAAACATATTTGTTAATAACGGTTTTTTTATTGTTAACTGTTGTTTTTATTTAAGTATTTGTATACATGATATAAAACCAAGGCTAAAAGCTTAAATTTGTTCTTAAAAATGTTAGCATTTAAAACCCATATATTGTTTTGAATCATCTTAAGACTGAAGCTGGGTCCAAAATAAAAATTAACAAAGCATTTGTAGTTAAAAAACCATGTCTGAATAATCGAGTTAAAAACCTTTTGTTAGCATTATAATGTAATACCTACCGTCGTTCTACAATATTTGATTTTGTTTATTTCTTTTGACCATTAAAAAAAAAATGTTTATATTTATCAAAATTTCAAACATTTTCATCTATGAAGGTCCATGCATTAGCAATATTCGTATTTTTCAAGTGAGTATCAACATTTTTTTTTTAAACAATTTTTATTGAACCTAAAAATTGAAATTTTGATAGAAAACAGACACGAACTACCTCTAGAATGGCTTTAAATATCTAAAAAAATTATCAATACATTTTTTTTATCCAAATAATATATAGTCAAGAGAAGAACAAAAAAAAAATAGGATTTTTGAATCACTATAATATGTATAAATATGTAATATATATATAAAATTAACAATAATCAAAGTAATGTTACAAGTAAATGTATGTATAATATAACAATCAAGTATTAGTACACCAGAGACTAGGCGTCTTTCCAGAAAGGACTACTTACACATTAAATGCATGACTCGTCTATAAAGTGTTTAGTCATATACCCTTCAACTGGCCATTGGTATTGTTAAAAATACCTCCTCGAAAATTGTTTAATATTGACGTAGAATGCAATATTAAAAAATATCTTATTGAATTTGTTTTTACGTTAAGATTAAAATTTGCATAGCATTGTTACAATTATTATCAACTAATGGGTGTATTACAAAAACAATTTTCAGATTCTAGAGTAGAGTAACTATGATTTTGTTATCAAATGAATATCTTAAAAATGGAAAACATTTGTTATTGTGTAAAAATTATCACTGATAAAAGCATAAAATTACATAATGTATTTATATCAGTTGTAGATTTTTATTTCCCAGAAAAATTATTCACAAATCCAATACACTGTGTAATGATTCAAAGAACACCAATACATACAAATACAATAACAAAATATATAATTTGTATTGGTACATATAACTTAAACCTATAAACTCAATATAACATATATGTATGTAAAAGTCAGAATCAGGTGACAAGAAAAAATAAAACTTAAATATACATTTATTATTAAGAAAATTGTTTATATATATACAGAATGTGTTATAAATCTAGCATTGTATAATATGAAATCATTATGGTTAATTAGTTTTCATTATAGTAATAACTATTAAGGTAAATTTAATATGAAATGTACAAACTAGCATAAGATGTAATAATTTGATACTTCTGAAAATATTTTAACCAGAAAAATCACTATGGTCGAATAAGGCTTGATCATAAAGTTCTGCTTTTACCAAGCGGCCACCAAAGAAACGGCCATTTAACGAGTCACAAGCTCTTTCAGCCTCTGAAATAATAAAAAAAAAGTATTGAATTATGTGTTGGTATTAAATTTAGTAAATAAAACATGATTAATCATTATCACACTCATGCCTTCCATCTTTCTTTAAACTCATCTCCCTATTCTATCTTCCACCTTAATGAAACCATTTGTAACTTGCAATCACATTCTCTTAGACTGTCCTACTCTAAGCTCTAATAGAAAAAGTTTGCTCTCGTCTCTCCTAAAGTGGCTTTGGCTATTCCTCCATTGGTCCTTCTCTTCTTTTAAACTTCTGTTGTTATTCTGTTTTCTTCCTGCTTTTATTATTTGGTTGTATTCTTTTGCATGTGCTTAATATTAAATTATTATTTAGCCAATAATTTTAATGTTTTTTAAACTAATAATACATAACAATACTTAATTTTAAAGCTAAACTGGTGAGAACTGTCTTGAGAAACTAATAATGAGTCAAATAAATACACCTCAATCACAATAATTGATATTGTTATGTTTGATTAATTTGACAAGCAATTATTAAAAAAGTTTTAAGCCATTTACTTGCATATATTTATATAAAATACAATTTACCTGACATCTGTGTAAACTCAACAAATATTTTTACAATTGTGTCAGAATCGTCATCTTCAATGTCAGACTGTTTTTCTTTATAAATAATAACTCGTTCAACAATTCCATATCTAAAAAATAATATTAAATAGTCAGTACCAAAACAACAATTTTAAGTTGATTTTTAGTTAATGATTTTTATTACATATAAGTCAAAAGGTTTACATGAAACTGATTATTTCTACAAATATTAGCAGATAAATAGTAACTACTATTATTTGTTAAAATAGGCTTTAGTAATTATAATTTGGAATAAAAAAAGGTAAAAGACCAATTTCAGGTAGACTTAGTGTCAAATTTGAATATGTTTTCAGATTCCTTATTGCATCAATAAATTGTTACACAACAGATTTGTCTAAATACTTAAAAACTTTTAGCTAAGAATTATAGTATATAGAAATTCATTTCTTAAATCAAAAGATAATAGCCCTCGTGGGATTGCTTCCTCTTTAAAAAAAATAATTAAATTCTGATAATACAATGTCTTTTCTATTTTCATGAAGTAATTTTGCAACACCCGATTTTCTATCAGATAAAAAACTGTCCATTCATATAACACAAAAATCAATTTGATTAATAGAGTAGCTATAAATTGTTACATCTTTAAAAAATTATTTTTATAAATGAGTATTTTTGTTTATATTAAGTTAATGACTTACTTGCTGCATTCATCTTGAATTTCTTCTTGAAGACTATCATCCACATCTTCTACACCAACCATATTTCTTAATATAACCACTCGACTCTATAAATTTATATGTATAAATGATAATGTTTTAAATGCTTAATTTTCAATTTTATTATATTATCATTTTTACCTCAGTTTTTCTCATTAATTTTTGCATTACAAGATGTCTAGCACTTTGACCTTTAATTGACATATTTTCTTGTTGTTGCAATGTTTGTGGTTCCGTCTCCTCGAGTAATTTTTTTTGTAACTCTTCTTGTTTCTTTTGTTGATCAGCTCGCTTTTGTGCATCGGCCGTTATAGTTGGAACTATAGGAGCAGCCAATTGAGTTGGATTTACCATTGTGGGTGGAGGTATTGTTTGTTGCATAACTGGGCTTAATGCAGTATTTACTAAAAATAATAAACATTTATAATTAATGTTTAAATAACATAATAAATAATAATAAGATAATACCTGGTATAATTGGAACAGGAGCTCTTATTTGTTGGGGAATGGCAATGCCTGGTGGTGGTATAGCTACAGTAGGTAGAGCAGTAGAAGTTATTCCTAATGTGGTAGGCATTTGTTGTAATCCAGGTAAAACAGTAGTTTGGGCACCCAATTGAGAACTTAATTTACTTAAACCTAATACTGCATTGGAAGCAACTGCATCCATTGCTTGTATTTTAGCTGTAGCCGCTGCCGCTGCCACTGCTGCGGCTGTAGGCATATGGCTTGCAGATGAAGGGCCCTAAATATGACATAATAAATGTTTTATGAAAAATAAATAATATTTTACGTAGTATTTTTAATTTACATGAAGAGCATTAGGAGGTGTAATGGCACGCCCAACTCTTAAATATTGACCTCCAAGGTCAAAAAGATTCATTGACGATATTGCTTCAATAGCTGATTGACGTCCTTCATACTCAATAAAACCATACCCTCGATGTCTGTTGGGTGTACTTCCTTGAGCAAGTTTACACGTTCTAATTGGGCCAAATGCTTCAAATACACTTTTGATATCTTCTTCTGTTAAATCAGGATGTATAGATGCTACATAGATTCTATTATATTGTTTTGCTTCTTCTTGGATCTCATCAATTACAGATTGAGCTTGTGGCATATTACTAGGACGTCCCACCTTACAAAAAAAAAAAAAATGGCAATTGTCATTTTAAGGTATTTTTGGCAACAAAAAAAAAAACTGAGTAACATTATTTCTGAATTATACGCACAATATGCTGGTAAACTCGTATTAGTTGTGTAAAAAATTAGTAAATGTAGTAACTAAATTATATATTTATTACTTATATAATGTATAATATATATTGTACACAATCAAGTTTGAAAATGAACTGTGTTATTTTGGTAAAACAGTAACAAGTGATTTTTTATTATTTAATTTGAAGTTTCTACTTACAACTTTGATATTGCGGCCACCAAGCATTACTCCATTCATCTGTTCTAGAGCAAGCTGTGCTGCTTCAGGTATTTCATATTCAACAAACGCAAAACCCTTATGTTTTTGCGTAATAGGATCCCATGACATATTTATGGATTTAATACAACCAAATGGTGAAAATGCTTGCTTTATCGAATCTTCTTTAAGCTCAAAACTTATACTACCAACATAGACTCTATAACAAAAAGTTAAAAAGTATATTTAGTAGAACTCTATAAGACTAATAATTAAAAAGTAAATATAAAATTACATTTTTTTAAAAATTTCAACTTAATTTTTAAATTTGACTAAAATCAGTTTTTACAATAACTATTACAATAACACTCTACTTGTGATTTTAATGAACATTTTATCAATTACATAATTGGGTAATGCTTTATTTCATAAAATGAACCAATCAGATCTTATCAGCAAATTGATCAAATATTAGGGAAACACAATATCCGTTAAACAGACAATAGTCTCAACCATTTTCAAATTTTCTAGTTATCCATCATTTTGATTCATATTTCATTGGATTACTGCTAAAGCAGCCCATTTAAAGTCATTGCTGTCTTCTCCTCCTAAAAGGATTCCTAACAAACTTTACTACTCCAGGAAGGGTTATTAGTCTATTAACGCAGAGTAATAGTGTGTCACCTATTTTATTAGACACTCCTTGCTTAGTAAATGAGTCCTCCTGTGACCGAGCGTCTTACCGGTAACAGTAAGAGCTGCATATTGTAGGCAGCCCACTCACTTATTTTAATTTTTTTTTCTTTTTGTTATAACATTAAATACAAAATTAGTTTGCCAGAAGTATTACAAAATGTGTTAACACAACTACTAAATTTGCTTACTAATTATTAAAAATTATACATAATACTAAACATTTTTGATTAATAAATGGTGATTCTTTATCATATCTGAAAGATCCAAGTATACTTGATCGAAAGTAAAAATCTGGTTAGGTTAATTGGTTATGGTCTATAACTAGTGATGGGAAATAAATCCGAATTTTCTTAAAATCCGTAAAATCCGGTTTTCGGTTTTCAAAGTTCAATGAAAAAAATCCGGATTTTACGAAGAATCCGGATTTCACAAAGACTCTGGATTTCACGAAGAATCCGGATTTTATAAAGAATCCGGGTTTTATGACAAATCCGGATTTCAAAATTTGAACTTAAGAAACCGTAACCTGGGTTTAAATAAAAAGCCAAATTACCGATTTTAAAATTTATAAAGCCATTTTGTAATTACTAATTCAGCAGTACAAGATGACCAAATTGTTCAAATTAGTTGACTTTTAATCTTCTATGAAATGCTATTATCGGACCCCTTCAACTAAATTACCCTAAGTTATATGTTTCTAATGAACTTTAAGTTTCATATATGTAATCTAGCTTAAATACAAAGTAAGTATGCTGTATTTAGTTCACTATTTGTGATATATTGAAAACAATTACCTATTTAAAAATTGTAAGCTATATTTGAGTAGTTTTTACATGCTTTTCTTTAACTTGCTAACACGTACGTACGTCCGTACGTCTGTACGGATATTTTTCAAATCTTGAAAAATTAATTTAACCCACTTCCCGATGTCGTAGAAGGCTGAAACATGGCACAGACAGTCATTTCGGATGACACTATAATATAGTGTTATCATATTGGGACTCGGGCATCCAGGTCGCCCTACACAGGGACATATGTGGGGGTCATTTCACTAACATTTCATGTTTTTTTCAAATCTTCTAAAACTAATTTAACCCACTTCCTGATATCATATAGACTGAAATTTAACCTAGAGACTCATTTTGGATGACAATACAATGTTCCGTCAAAATATTGGGACCTAGACATCCAGGTCGCAAATGCCGGGGGGTCAAATATGGCGGCCATTTCACTAAAATTAAATTTTTTTTTTTAAATCTTCTAAAATGAATTTAGTAATCTATTCACCAATTATTAAGTACCTTTAATAGGTCTAAAAAGTAAAAAATAAAATAAATAAATAAATAAAACTTTGTTTTTAAAAACATGCTTTTCTAAAAAATAGTAAAAAGTGAACTAAAAAGTAAAAAATAATTTTATTACAAGAACAATTTACCACTCAACTGTAGCACATATTATTTAAAATGTCAATTACTTTAAAAACAACCGAAAATTAACAACAATGTTATATAATGTAATTGGTTCTACTGTTTAACTATTTATATCAAAAAGTATTATTAGTATTATTATTATTTATTTAGATTTAAGACATATACAATTCCAGATTGACTTATTATTTTTCCTAATTTATGTGTATATATATATATATATATATATATATATATTATATTGTGTTGTGTATTTTTCATATTATTACAACTTATTGCTCTAATATATTATAAAAGTGTCATTGAGACTTGTAAATCGTGTTTATACATAATGTTCTTATAACTATAAAAACAGATACCTAATTTACCAATTCAATAATTAAAATTTTTTTTGTACACTACATAAACGCGTTGTACATAATACTAAATATTTAACAAGTATAATTTATTTATTATTGTAAAAAAATTGAAATCCAATCTACGAATTTATAATGAAAACTCCGAAATCCGGATTTATAATGAAAACTTCGAAATCCGGATTTATAACGAGAACTTCGAAATCTGGATTTATAACGAAAACTTTGAAATCCGGTTTTCGAAGTTCGAATACTACAACTCCGGATTTCGAATTTCGAAGTTTAAAACTCCGGTTTTTTGAACTTCGCAAAATCCGGATTTTCCCATCACTATCTATAACAGTGGTTCTTAATATTTTTAAAGCTGCATTATCCCCTGATTAGCAAAATAATTTTTAACTCCCTCCCTCCCCCATGTAAAAATGGGTTAATTGTAAAATTAAAAAAAAATTGATGTAAAAATAAAAATGTTATGCTTGAAAGTTTCTGTATTGAAAAATTAACAAGTTCACAGTACCAAAGCACCTCTTCATCCCCTCCCGATAAGGTTAGTGCTCACTGTCGCTGGTTCAATACTCAGTTACAGGCGCTACATATGCTGGGCGAGCAATCATACGGTGAAAAGGAGCCGGCATCTCCCTCTCCGGCGACTGACTGACAACCCGTCCCGGAGAGCGAATTCGTCAAGTAACCATCTCATGATGGCAGCGTTGGGCCTTCATGGCCCATTAAGCTCTACATGATGATGATGAGAAAAAACCTAGATGACTTGTAAAGTAAAACTATAAAAACACTTCTTAACTAACCTGCACATTAGTATTAAAGCTTGATGACGGTGAAAAGATTTAGCTTGCTGTTGTTGATGTGCTAAAGTCTGTTTCATTAAAACCATTTTAATACTTTGTTCCATAGCATATTTTTTTGCTTTAGCTACAGCTTCAGTTTGTTCACTACTCAACTTAATTAATGGAGCAGCAAGAGCTCCTAATATTCCAAGCCTTGAACCTGGCCCTAAAATAAATACATAGTTAAATTTTAATAGTAAAATATTAAAATTTTATTATACAGCTATATTTATATTTTTTTAAATAATCCACATTTTTTTACAACCCTTTTTGAGTTGATAAAAAATTCTTGGGACTTCGGTAAAATGTTAGTGCAGTGGCTTCGCATTGCCTTCTGCATCAGAGGGTGGCTATTATTTTCCCCCGCTCAGTGGGAAAACAATCAGTGATTAAATTTACATAACACGGCTAGAGTGTAAAAGCACTACTATATTATGCACTCAGCCACATATTTGTTTTAATATTTACATTTATATGAACATACTACAATGTGCCCATAATACCGATGCACATATATTTTTATGTTTTTTTCTATCAATAACTCAGGCTTCCCTTGTCTGAGGGGATTTAGGTACTTAAACCACAGAATAGATTAAGTCTATCTTTTATAATTAAAATGTAAGTATCAATATATTACTATTAAACATTGTTAATATATTTTAATATTTATCTAGCTTTAGTCTATTCTGTGCTCAAAGCACTGACCCACAAATGTTGATATATTATAAAATAATTGATAATGAAAATTACTGAATCATGTTTTGTACCTGATATCAAAGTTCCAACTTGATTGAAATCATACGGAGCAGTAGTAAAAGCAGGAGATCCATTTACTGAAATAAAATATCATGATGTTAATAAAATAAAGTTGTTTGTAACACTGTTTCACCATGTATTTCTATTAAAAACTTAAAGAAAAAAAGACAATGTATGATAATGATAATTTAATAAAATAGGGCCAAATATCATCTGAAAATAAAATTTTAAGATTATGAAAACATGTAGCTTATGTAACTATATTTTTTTTTAAATACATTTATTATATTATAAACATAATATTTTCAAGATTAATATTATCATTTTACTAATAAAAAAATTAATTACACATTGTTACATAAATAACATGTTTTCACACTTATAACAAGCAGCATCTTACAACAAGTATTGTATGCATACTTTAATTACATACATATTTAATTTACATGATATAATTCACTAGACTTTTTCATATTAAGTAATAAATTACTTTAATTAATATTAAATTGTATTAAATGTAAGTACTTAAAAATGCTGCTTGTTATTATATTAATAAAATTACATCATAGAGATATGAGCAAACATTGTGTTTCCATTTGAGAGACAACTGCGGTGGGTAGTAGGCCTGACTTGTTCAGGTTCTGCACTTGCTAGTAGAGGGATATTGGTCTGGAGACAACACAGAAGAGCATGACGAAAACAAAAACAAACCAAAATAAAATACAAAGTATTTAAGTGTTTTAAATCTCCTAATTTAGTTGTCTAATATACTTACAACTCTTTTAAACAACCACAGGCCTACACAATGGACCAACAATTTGAAAGTTAACTCCAAACTGAAATCAATTGATCCAAAAAAAAAAACAAATTTTGAATATGTTTATGAAAATACACCTACATCTATTAAATAATTAATATTATTTTTGAAAAGTATTAATAAATAAGTTGCTAAATTTATTGGAAATTTAGAAGAGTTAAAATTATTAAAAATTATAAAACACATTTATAATTATATTTTAATAATTAATCGTTCAATATCAAGCAATTCAATATATATAAATATATACTTAATTACTTGGTAAAAAATATTATATGCTACACAAATATATTTATATAAATACATCTATATATAATGACGTATATATAAATAAAATATCTATCAATAACTTTTATAACCTTAAGTAAAAAAAAAACATTAACATGTATTTTATTTTTTGAAGAGTAACATGAAGTTGAAAAATCATCTCCGCAGAACAATATTGAAACAAATTCATCAAAAAGGTAATGATTGTGAATCTGCAAGCATAATCATACCAAACATAATTGAGTCAAAAATGAATCTCTAGTAGAATTCTCTATGATAGTGGTATGAATCAAGGTAATTATTTAAAGAGAATATTTACAAGGATTATTAAAAAAGAAAAATTGTACACACCCTTCCCTAACAAATAGGTTATTTAATCTTTTGAAGTGTAGAAAGTGTATAGACTATGACTATCAGTAAACCGCCTGAAACATCTCAAAAAAAAAAATCACAAAGATTAGTTAACACCTAGTATGTTTTGGAAATATTTTGTCATACCATTTTAAAAACATTAAAAGCTTTGAATTTCAGAAATTGTTCATTAGCAAAGTTAAAGATGTTTACCAAATTTAGATATTAACTCACTAAAAATAGATGTAAAATCAACGATTTCATATAACTCTTATTTAAGACATAATATGGTACATATGGGCTATTAATTAAGAAAGGAATCATATACATATAATATAATACTCTTACTACTAGTCTTCAATTTTAATCAAATATTTAAAGTAATAAATTCACTGCACAGTCACCAATAATTAATTTTCATAATAACAGTATAGCATGATATATTATAATTTTTGACTAAAATGTTTGCTGTTTTCTATAATAAATTCCTAAATAATCATAAAATGTTAAATGTAGAATAAAATTTACTCTATTGTTGAGTATGTTGAATTATTTCAGGATATTTACTCTACTAAAAAAAATAATTATATTTAAGAGTTCTATTAAAAACAACATAACTAGCGCATATTTTATATTTACTACAAAAATTGTTATTCTACACTCTACAACTTTTAAACTTTATTAATAAATTAAACTACGCCAATAAGTAAAATTAACATAAATTAAAATAATGTCCGAACAGTATATATATACTGTTATAAGATTTTATAGTTATATTATTCCTTAGTGCAAGCTGTAACTAGTTAGTTGGTTTAGCTGGCTAGCAATACCAAATTGTAATGATAATTTTTTTCTATCTAAGATTAAAAATAGAAAACTTGAACCAAACATAACTTTAACATCTAAATGTAAGAACACAAATTGTTGTAACTAAATTCCATTTTTTAATTTTAATTTAAATCATATTTATATACATCTTAAATCATAATAAAAAAAATATTTATAAATATTAATGATCAATAGTTTTTCCAAATTGTAGTAAAATTGTTATAACTTATAATACTCGGAAAAGAGTTTGCATTATAAAAAGCAAACATACTATACCTTCATGTTTTGTAATCTTTGCCGGCGGTTCACTTTCTGTACCATTAGTAATAATTGTAGTAGACATAGTGGCAGTCTGGTAGTTGTTAGAAGCAGCTGATGGCAGTACATCGGCAAAGGATTGTTGCTACAATTTCAATATATATGATTATAAATACTGTATGATATGCTACATAATATCTTTGATCATTAAAATAAGAAAAACAAATTAGTAAGCACTATTCCTAATACATAAAATAAGAACTTATATGTTTTCAATTGATTTTATTGTGACAACAGTCAATAATGGCAGTAGATAGAAATTTACATATAAATGTGAAGGTATAAATTTACTTTATCAGATAAACTTTTTTGCCTCTTTAAAAGGCTTACTTATAATATTTTATTTATTATTTATTATATAACCGTGACCAAGTGTTGAACCAGTGACAGTGAGCGCCAAACACACTGACGCCTTATTCACTTGGCCACTCCTCCACCTAAATAACACTGTAATTTGTAATAATAGAAAACGTAAAATAAAGGGTGCAAAGTAAAGTATATTTGTATTAAGGATAACCCTAAAAGAATAGGAATAACACAAAACATGTTAAACCCAATTATAAATAATTAAATTGCTTTATATACTTAAATAGGAAATAGGTCAATAATATAAAAAATACATTAAGTTACTCACCAATCCAACTCCTCCATTCATCATATTTAAACCAGGATATTTTAACGTAATGTAATAAAACAAAAATTAAATCAATAAGTATTTATACTGATACTTAACAGTGTGAACTATTTATTTTTCTATTATCAAAATAAAACGTTGACACAGAACCAGACAATCAATAGTCTGTACAAAAATTAAACTTAGTTTGAAGTATGAACCACTAAATGCAAAATCACGGAATTTCGAAAGTGAATTCTACTTTAGTATCGTAGTCGCCGAATTAATGACACAAATGACAAAACAAGTCAAGAATAATTTCTTAGGTATATTCGTATCATTGAATCATTCTCATACTTTACGTAATTATTCGTAAACCGAGACCGTATAACATTTGATTTAGTTTGATTTGGAACAATCAACAATAAAAACAGCCAATCGAATATCTACCAACAACAAATTCTCGCAAGTCATGGAAGAAAAGTATTTGATAATAAACAGCGGCAAAAAAATTGAATTATTTTAACTATATTATAATCCTCGCCACAAAACAATTAACTTACTATTGTAAATTTGTTGTAAATGACTTTCCAAAAACAATAATTATCAATTATTTTGTATAAAGGTATATTTCTATAACTGTTTCTTTTTTCTACAGAACACACTATCTTATAATTAGGGCGTAACTTAAAAAATATGGTATTTGTAATTTGATATTTTGGTATCTTTGAATTCTTATTTATATTCTCTACCTGATGATGTAAGCTTCACCTTGAGAGCTAACTAGAACTAATTTCAAATGCAAAGTTATAGGTTTATTTCAGTGTGTGAGTGTGATGTAATAGCCGTATACTGAAATGCAACTGTACTGTTTTAATTGAAAAGAAACCATATGATTTACTGTAGTAGTGCAGTCTTTAAACTTGTTCAGTGGTCAGTGGCAGTCTATATTCCATAAATCGAAGTATGGTTTTATTGTATTATGACCAAACATTTGGGTCAAGAGTAGTTATTTATTTTAAAATGTCATCTTTTGATACATCCGTATTGTATGAAAATCGTGCTCAACTATATCGTTAGATATTTATAGCATTTTAAAGGGTAGTCTGGTAAACCTTGCCCGTAAAAGTTTTTACCTCAGTTTATAAATGGTTGGTGACTATAGCACAAATGCAAGTCGTTGGGCTCCATTTCTCTTCCCTACTCGCTTAGCATAATAATATAATAAACAAAAAGGAACAGCTGATCATTGATTATAGACCATATTACTTTTGATAATATATGCATATATAATGATAATGCGTTCATTGCGTTGTTGTTATATTTTTTAATATTATCAAATCAAATAATATTAACATTAATTTACAGTTAACAAACAATAAAAAAAGGATATTTTTCTGAAGTTAACGCATTAGTTGTGTAGTTTTCATAATGTATATATAATACAAGTACATACTACTAAGTATCAATCTTATTGCTGTGTCAATTTTAATTGATTCTTAATGTTTCTTATTTATAGACATTGCCGTTTAGTTTGTTGATATACTTCAATATATTACTCCATGGCTCTTACAAATAAATTACTTTTGAGTCAAATTGCTGGATATACAATAGCAACAATTCTTTCATTATGCATCATCATACCAATGAGCCTTCACCAGGATGAATTTAAGTAAATAAGTTATTAATAAAACTATTACTCTTTTAAAAAGTCTTAATAAAATTTGTATTAAAAAATGACTGGTCAATAACCATTTTTCAATAAATACTTTTTTAGTTATAAGCATTTAAAGTTTAAGGGAGGAAAGAAGTGTGGGTGAGTGGTACCTATGGATATAAAAACCATTACAGTCTACCTCAAAGTCCTTTAAATGCTTATAACTCAATATGTATTTATCTAAAATTGGTTATCAACCAGGCATTATTTTTATTACATAGGTAAATAAAATATGTATATAGCTATTTGACTTACAATTATCCTTTAAGATAACATTCTTTTATTAAATTTTAAATATTATTTTTCATCAATAACCTTCTATTGGTGGCTTGTTCTAGATCACTTTCAAATTAATTATGACTTAGGTAAACTTTTCATGCCAGTCACAACAATATTATGTGGCTAGGGTAAATTTTTATCCCGCTCGACTGATAGATTACATAAAATATGAATTTATTAAAAACTTTCAACATAAATTATTTCATAATTTAACTAAAAACATACTATTTGTATAACCCTGTATATATGTATATAAATATAACAACTATGTTGTAACAGCAATTAAGAATAACATTTATAATGAATTTTATTTAACTATTTCAGAGGACACTGCTTGTTGTTTTCTTCAGGCCAATGGTTGGAAAAGAATGGGCAATTTCTAGTCAACTGGGCATCCCAAGCTTATTGTAATTACTCCATTTTTGTTGGAGTTTTATTATTAGTTATATCATCAATACAGACATATAGAATGTCAATTTTTGCATACAAGGGAACTGATAGGTAAAAAAAAACATTTTGTTAAATAATGTTGTTTTTATATTTTATTGCATTATTATTATTATTTACCTATTTATGTTGCCTTTATTTAATTACATAATTTTAGTCATAAGTTATGTATATAATAAATACTAAATTATCATTTTTTAGAAAAGGAAACAGAATGTTAATTTTATGAAGTGAAAACATTTTTTTAGGTATATTTTCTTATTATTTTTCATGCATATTGACTTAACAAATGGCTTAATTCTAAAAATATTGTATAGGTTTACAAAATAACAAGATTTAGCAAGACCATATTGATCAAAATTATATATTTATGAATATTGTCGTTTAGTCTATTCCGTGCATTACTTGTAGTACATAACACTTTTACTTTCTATTAATTAAATTTTTTTTTTGCAGTTCATTTTTGTTGACTTTTGTGGATGCCATAACATGTGCACTAATGTGTCTTTTCACAATTAACGCTGCTCTTATGATAACATTTGGATTTATGACTTGGTGCAATGACATGATAGAAAGATTCCCTTCGTAAGTTGTTTTAATGAGTAATTATGTGTTGATGCCTCTGTTTTGAAAAAAAGTAATATGTTTCATTTTATGTCTTAAAAAGTAGCATATTTTCATCTATTATGCTGAAGAATATTTTGTTTTATGTACAGTCACAAAAGCTAATAGTTTGTGTTACAAAAAAAGTATAGTTATACTATCTATTAAATGTGAGAAGGAACAAAACATTAACATGTAACTTTTAAAGCAAAAGTAACTCGCTACTTTTTGTAATACACCTTGAAATATAGTTGTTTTCACAGAATAATATACCATAATATTTTTATATTATGGTATTGACATTGTTGAATAAAGGTATGCATAAAATAAAATAATTAATAAAAATATTTGTTTGATATTGAATATGCTGCCTACCACAACAATGACATTCTATAGAACATTTACTTATTCTAGAAATCAACTATGTTAAAAGCCGCCGATTAACATGTAATGATTGAAACTGTTGGGTGACACTGAACCGGTGACTGTCGTAATGCTCAATAACTTCATAATAAACCGATCAACATAACTCTTTATAGATTGTGTTGCCTACAATAATGATAAAACACATTACACTTTGTAATTCAGATAAAAGTTTCCATATTTATTTATTTTTTAAATTTAATTATTTATTAGTAGCTAAAAACTTTTAAGGGGAAACTTGGTTTAAAAGTCTCCCCTGATGGGCCGTCACAGGTTAAGTGCCTAATGAAATAACATATTTTATTACCAAAAAAGTTTAATATTCTATACGACCTTGATTCAACACTTTACCAGTAACATAAACTTGTAATGTTACATATGTTCCAAAGTATTATTTTCAAAATATTTAAATATTATCAATACATGTTTTAGATTTTTGATATTCTTTTAGATGTGAAATGGCTGCTGGCAATCCAATTGATATTCAAGATGGCATAGATACTTCTGGGTTTTACTTTCAGTTAGGTGTTGCTCAGGTATAATTATTCTCTTAATAATATATATGTAAAAGAAATAATTAAAAGGAAATATAAATAAAGGTTTAGAGTTAAATAAAACTGATAATTTACTATAATGAATGTTTAAAAAAAATAAAACAATAGCACTGAATGAACCTTGGCGCACAAACCCACTACTATTTATCTTTCTTTCTTGGACAACTTAACATATTAAAATTATTGATCAACCTATAATAGTTAGCTTAATAATATATACATAATGTAAATCAATACTTCTATTGACTTCTGATGCTGAGAAAAATTGAATCTTATGTTAAACAGTTGAGTTTTTACTTAATTTCGTCTTTTTATGGTTATATTTTTATAATTTTTAAATTTTATTTTCCCGCTCTGCATGAAAAAAATGTGCTAAAAAACGTATGAAATTATTGGGGTTTTCTTATTATAACAATACACGTTTAGTTAAAATGTAAAATTAAATATCAAGATCCTTTTTTTTGAGTATGTATATGAATGTGCCAAAACTAACTTATAAAACTTGTTTGCTGATATTATATAGTATAATTATATTATATTATATAAATAACACATATTTTAGTTTGGAGTGTGGGCATCGTGGTCATGTTGGGTTGGCTTGACAGTTTGTTCATTATGCAAACTATGTTACTATCATCAAATGAGTAACATGAAAGCTTCAATGTTGAGAGAAAGACAAAAACTTATTGATGAAGGAATGGCTGCACCTACCAGAGTAACACCATATGCCACCCAATCAGATATAACACCAGATGATATTAATAATCCTAAAATTGAACCTCAACTTGAAAAATAAGCTGATAAAATATTTAAAATATATCATGTCTGTTATTAAATATTTCATGTATTTATTTTAACTTTTATTTAGAATTTTAATATTTATATACTGACATAGTTTTTATGTATATTATTTAGTATTGTACACTTATTTTTGTATAATTTAAATTTATAACTTACCTTTTTGTAAAAACGAATAAATGTAATTATTGATAGTATAAATTCCAGATTATTGTTTTTTCACATTTTTTATTTAAAGAAAATGCAAACTTGTTAAGTACAAACACACACACACACATGCAGTTAACATACATTTTTCAAATCAAGTAGTGTGATAATAGGTATCTGAAAACAGATTTAAATTTTTCAGGTAGACTCCGACATTTAATAATGTATTTATACAATGAACTTTAATAATTGACGTTGTAGATGCACCTTAATAAAATTAAAAGCAATACAATTTTCATGTAGAACAATTGATAAATAAGGTGAATTATAGAAACTTCATACAGTACACCTGATATAGAAATACTAGTATATTTTAAAACATATGTTCATAACTGTTCATTTATAATAATTATCCTACATGCAATTAATAACAAAATTTTAATTAGAAATAGACTTTAACCGGTTTTCAATAGTAACAAAATAATCATTTCCAACTAGCTTAGACAAATGGGCCCGCTGCATTGGTGTCAAAGTCATTTTCTCTATGATTTTTGAAATGTAGTCTTCAAGTTCAATATATTCAACTTCCAAAGAGTATTCAATACATTTCTAAATAAACATGAACAATTAATACAAAAAAAAGATTAAACATTTCTGTATATTTTTTAAATAAGTTAGCAAACCCTAAAAACCTTTTTTTAATTTTTTACTCCTATTCACATGTCATAATTGGAAAATAGTATTTTTCTTTTTTTACTTTAAAATATCTAATAACATCAAATTACATTAGAGTGTGTCAAAAAATGTTTGGCATTAACTCTATTCTATAGTTGCGCATCGAAATAAGAAACCTTACAAATTTTAGCCTTTCAACTGAACCCTAAGTACTTGTATTTTTGCATTTAAATAAAATGATAAATTTTAATTATTCACTAAAAATTCCTAACATGAAAACTATTTAAAATTTTAGAAATTTAAAATAAGATTCTAAAAGTTCCTTATCCACCTAAAGTGACAGTGCTTTTTATGTACTTATGCATAAATTGCTGAAATATATCACTAGTAATTTTAGAACATGATTTTATAATACTTGTCAAATAATTCAATGAAGTAACTGTATCATGAAACAAGTAATAAACTTAATTAACTTACAAGTAATTCATTGAATTGATTTTTTTCAATGCAATAATTTATAAAATTAGTTATTGTTTCACTACTTGGAATTCCAATTATTTCATTTTGATTTTTGTGTAATTTTGTTAAAATTGTTGCAGCTTCATCAATACAATCTCCATACAAACAAATATCTATTAAATTTCCTAACATAATGCCAGTCCACCTAAAAAAATATATATAGTAAATATAATATATATATATATTTATTCAATTATGCTAACATTTTATCATTATTATAATAACCTTATTAAGATATTTACATTAGAATAACTGTCCATACTCCGTTTGCCGAGAGAATAAGAGTGCGCAGAAACCATAACGCGTTAATCCTGTCTGCACAGGTGCATGCAATAATAATGCATTTTCGTTTCTGTGTAGTCTAATTCTCTCGGTGAATGAAATACAAATAGTTAATTGATTCTAAAAATAATAAGATAAACTTACGGCATTTTTATTTTTCCAACTTGTTGCCTATCATCAATTTCAGTATAAATGCTGGCTCCTAATTTACCAATTTTAATTTTCACTGATTCGTCAAAGCTCGGAAATAAGTTTTGGGCCATACCAGTAGTTAATTCTGTAATAATTGGCTCACGATCAGCTTGGTCAAACATTAAAATGTCAGACCATATTTTTGGATAAAGTTCAACTGCTGCAGATGCATTTATAGCTTTTACAATCATCTATAATCAAGAAAGTATTTAAAAAATGTATATAAAGTTAAAATAAAAAATTTAATTGGTAAGCTATTTTATAATACCATTTTCAATGGTATTAAACTCTTCAACCCAATTAATAAAAATAATTTTGTATTTATTAAACTTTTTTATATTTGCTAAATACTTCATTAAATCTCTAACTCTTATACAGAGCTTCGCCAAAGTCGACAGTTATAAAATGCATTGCTTAGGACTACTGTAATTCTTTGCTTTGCTAAAGATGTTATACACGCAGAGCTAAGAACTCTTGATTATTAAAAAATAACAAATAAAAAGTAGGTTAAAAAAAAGGCAGCAAATTAAAGCTTAACTGTCTAAAATGTTTCAGTAGCCTATGAACATCTTAATTTCTAAAGTTGAGTCTATATAATATTTTAAATGGTTAGTTTGTAAACCGAGACAAGTTATCAAACTGTTAACACATAGATAACATAACCTAATCGAAATCAGTATGCTCCTGTATTCCTGTGGTATTAAAACAAACTTACAAAAGCTCAACTATGTTTATAAGATTTATATCCAACACATTTAATATTATTTTATAATTAACATTTTACCTCGCTGATATTTGGTTCTGGTATATAGATATGTGGTACAAAATCGTTATAATACTTCATTAGCAATTCAACTGATTCATTTTGGCACAATATTGCAAAAAAATGTCGGCTAATAAAAAAAAATATGTATATTTATATTGTACAAATAAATAAAAAAATATTTGTTCATATAAAATGTAGTTACTAATAAATAGATTCTTTATATGAATCGCCAATCAAATTGTAGTTGTCACTTGTTATCAAAATTGAATGAACTCTTTGAGCAACATTAAAATCATGTAAATGATAGCGACAGTTTTCCATGGCTGCCATAAAAAAATTGGTATCAGCAATATCTCTAATGGTTAGCGATTTTCCTTCTAACACATTTAATATATCTTTTAATACTGCACTTTTATTTTTTCCTAGAAAATAAAACACATTTTGTTATTATTGATATTACAAAAACAAAAATGTTTTATTGGTATATGATACTATTATATCCAAGTTTAAATCTGCAACTACACAATATTGTAAAAATTAAAAAAAATGTATTGGGTTTTTATTTTTCTCCAAGCAATATTATGGATTTATAACATCGTTTTTAAAATAGTACAGATATTGCAGTTTATAACACCTATACCCTGTTTGCCGAGAGACCATGCCACGACCCAACAAAAATTGGCCGTTCTGCGCATCCCCGCGCGGCACCCAGTGTGACTAGCATTCCTTCCGGAGTCCGCCTTGTCTGTCAGCTTAGTCTTCTGTCTACATGCGCAAACCCGGCATGCTCTCTCAGCAAACAGGGTATTCTTAATAATTAAAATTTTTTTATTTTCACAAATTCATGTTGTAGCAGTATTAAACTGGGTTGTCTTATGATTTTACATACTGTCAGAACAAAATATTTTAAGTAGATAATAGTAAGACGCCAAACTAGGCTCAATATTAAATCTTTTCCCTTCAGCAATAGTACTCAATGCATATTTTTTTATTGCTGGATTTGTCGCTATAGTTGACAAAACATGAAGTGTTGAGTTCAGAGTCCCCAAATTCATAGGTAGTCCTAATTCATTCATTTTGATCAAAATTTCCTAAGTTCAAACATATTAAATTCATATTCAATAGTTTACTTTAACACAATTTACATTTTTCATTTAACTTATAAAAATATATATAGTTATTTTTTTTTACCTGTATATGCAACCATTTATGGTCAGCTCCTTCTTTTATGTACAACGCTGTCTTAATAATTGAGTTATAGGCATCAACTGTCAAAACTAATTGTTTTTCACATGCTTGCTTATACAGTTTATATGCTTCTTCAAACTATTAAAATTACAGAGTAGATAATTTTACAGCAAAAAATAATACTTCTAAATAAGAATCATGGACAAAAACTTTGGGGAAAAACAGTCTGAGGACAAATTCTGATCTAAAAAAAGTTGAACAAAAAGGATGTATGCTATATTATAATTTAGTTTGTGTACCTGATTAAATTTAGTCATTCCTAATATCATAGTTGAGTAATTTTCAGCACTTGGACTATTAATTTGAGCAAATAACTTATTTGCAAATCCATTTGTTCTAAATAATTTTTAAAAATAATTAACCATCATAGTATATTTTTGTAAGACCTTATAAAAGTTTATACTTCCAAGTGTTTCTAAATGCTTCTCGTTCATGACCTGCTTGTGTGTACCACTTTTCTTCAATCCAATCTTCTTCTATGTCATCTTGACTATTAAAAAAACATACCAATTCAAGTAGAGCTTGTTGTGTTTCTAAATTTAAATCTAAAAACATTCATCAGTTAGTAATTTAAATTAATATTTTTTTAACTAATTAATTAATTGTTTAAACATTTATTTATTTAATTTAACATAACATTTAAAACTTGTACTATAAACATATTTAAACCTGTATCTTGTTTCTTTAATATGTTGTAAATAGTGATAGCATCAGATACAGCTCCACTTTTGATTACTCTCTGTAAATCTGTCTCATTTACTTCTTGACTTTCATCATAAACAACTTTAGGATAAAATTTCTAGAAAAGAAAAATCAAATCAAATTTTTATAGTGCTAAGTATAAGTGTGTTAAATGTTCAAAGAAAAAATTTAGATTAAAGCAACTATCTGTAACCCATCAAAAGAGACAGCTAGAAATTATGTACTATGTACTTATGTAAATTATTATGTATGTAGATTTCATTATATCTATTCCCTATTTTTTGAACAAACCATTTTGATCAGTTTAAACTCAACTAAATTTGATCTTTAAAGATTACATTAACAAGAAATATCTGACCTCTATAGGTGGAAATGCTAACTTATGGTTAAATAAATCAGCATGTTGGCTTCGAATCCAATGTGCTGCTTTTCTACCAGATTCTTGACTCAAAGCATAGGCTCGCTTTTGAAAATTTGAAACTGGAATAAGGTAAGGATCATCATGATATTTATAGTGTGCTGCAGTCGGGTCACGTTGTATGGTACTAGAAATAGCCTAAAAATGTTTAATTTAGATAATTTATTTTAAAGAATAAAATAAAATAAGTAAGATTTTGTCAGATCTAACTTTTAAAATGTCAGTAGAACATCTATTGATTCTATTTGGAATATTAATAATATTTTTGTCACTTGACAATTTTCTAGATGAAGAGGACAACAATCGTAGTAGCAGCACTATTTCATTGCATTTCCTTAAAATTCCAACTCTGAAAAATTATAAAACACACATTTTAACTATTGTTTATATTATATTAAGTAATAAGTATAAAATAATTAAGAATACATTTACAATGGTAAAAATTATATTTTTTATAGTTAGTTATTGTTTTAAATTTTTATATCGAGCGATACAAAATAAGATTAATACTTTATTCAATAACATACAATACCTACATGGTAATTTTAAGCACATTTTTTAAAAAACAAATTAAAGTATGGCTCGAAAACTAATTACATTAATACTAATAAATACTTTTTAATTAATAAGAGCTGTGTATTCAATATAAGTGTTTCGCTGCTCATTTCCAATTTTTTCTCAACCAGTTTAGGATATTTTACAAACCCAAGTACTTTTTAGTAGCTCATTCTGCATTTTACTTTTGCCATAATATTTAATAGGTATTGTAAAAAAAATTGTTGTATACTATATAATTTTAAACATTAGATGTTGGTCCTTAACTTTAATACATAAATCCATCCCTAAACACTTTCTATAATGTTACTATATAATTATACAAAAATATTCAATACCTGCAATTATTCATCATTATTTTTTTTCGGTAGAAAGTAAATTCAAAAAGTGACACTTAATACCTTTTATGTTCTTAAACAAAGTTCAGTTCATCATAAACCGGCAAATTAATCAAAAAATACTTAGTAACATAATTACAAAATTTGTGTTTTTCAAATAAAAGACTCATACGAGTTTTTAAAGAGAAAAATAACCTTAAATGTAGAGAATAGAAATTCTAATTATTCAACGAGAAATTTTTTGAATCGTGATTCACGTAGTATCCTATTAACCAAAAATAATACATTTATTATTTTATATTATTATTATCAATATTATCAATTATCAATTATCCGGTTATTTCATAGATAAACTTCAACCGTGGTCAGAGCTTCGCGGCTGACGCATGGCAGTGGACACCGCGATAAAGATAAAATATATTATTAATGATTAATCGTGGAGGACACGCCACAGCACGACTGTGCTGATAGATTGGTTGCAATATCGAGCTATGATAAAGCGGCACAAGAGTTCTTGTCTAAAATTGTGGAAACGCCAGTGACTAATAGCGCTCCTCGAGGATAAATTACAGAATAGATTATCTTTCACTGATTATCCTGTGGATAAATCTCCTAGATTTATAAGCATACTAGATAGCGTCGACTAAGTTGTGTGGCAGTGCGCCAATTTCTAAGAAGGCAATGTTTACTTTATTATGTATTATAGGTCAAAACGCCAAATACAAAAAAAAACCTTTCCAAGCAACCCCCTCCAATTTTTTTTGAAAATTATACGCTGCATGTCTGTTCTTAATTGTTTTTCGATTAATCTCTAAAATAATGGGGCAACCATATTTCGTGCTGATAATCATTAATCAGACTGTTATCATAAACGCGACTGAAAATAACAAGGATCATCAGTGAAAGATGATAAGTTCCATGATTTATCCACAAGGAGCGCTACCAGTCACTGCCTTTTTTATAGTTTTAGATAAGAACTCTTGTAGCCGACGATTGAACATTGTTGAGGTGTAGGCGGACGTCAACCATTCTATCTAGAGTCGTGGTACTATCACTAAAAGTTTCTATATATTTTGATAATAATGAATGTATATCTTTATAATACCTATATTCAATATTATACTACTATAATAATATTATGTACATATACCTATGTTAAATTATAAGTATGTGATGTTTGTTATGACTTATGTGTATCGACATAAAAGTGTAGACTATTATTTTGTGTAAGAAATGTCTCAAAAATATTTAGATGGATTCGTATTACAATGAATTGTTATATTTTAAATTGTTTGTTGTTACTAATTTTAACATTTTGTGGAAATATAACGAAATTGATTGCTTCTGATGAAGCAATAGTTTGTAATGAAAATCATGATGTCAATAAACAGTAAGGAAACTGGAAAGTTATATTTATACCAACAATTTTGTTATTTTAATAATTATTTTGTTTTTACCAAGGTTCTTATTTATAAGTACGTTGGATGGAAAATTCACAGCCTTAAATATTGCTAATGGAGGTACAGAAGTCTGGGAATTATCAACAGAGCCAGGAGCTTTGTTGTCTTCAAGTATTGATCAAATAGAGGTAATAAAATTTAAATTAGGAAAAGGATGATGAAATTAATTAGATATATTGTTTTAAATAATATTACCTAGATGAAAATAATACAATGATAATTCATAAATTATAAGGGTTTCTCATTCATATTACAACTGAATTGGTCATTTGAGAAACACCTTAAGTCACAAAATATAAAATATACAGGACAAGGAAAAAATTTCTTCCTACTAATAGGGTTTCTCTTGTGAATATAAATCTTTATTTATAATGGAAAAAAACTCCACGACAAGGAATATTTCTCCATAAGTGTTTCTACAATTTAAGGATTGAAAAAAAAAATGTTTGCTAAAAATAGTGACATGAGTTTTTCAAATAACTGATTTAATTATGAAAACAAATATTAACATACTTATTTTGTTGCTAAATAAAATTGATTAGCATAATGAATTTTCAAGTATTGTTCTTGTTAAATTTTTTAAATAGTTATTTATGACACTGTGCACTGCGTAAATGGTATAAGAAAAATCAATTTTGTTCTACAGTTATCTAATCATGGACATTGGATACGGATGATTCCATCTTTAAGTGGTAGTTTATATAAATTTGATGGAGAAAACCTTGATCGTGTACCATTTACAGTTGATTCTTTGTTAAAATCATCTTTTCGTTATAATGATGATGTTATCATATCAGGTATATTTTTTAATTAATTTAAATTATTTATTGTATTTTTATTCTACAAATTTAAATTGAAATAATAGTTTAATAATAATTTCAAAATGGTTTGAAGGGGGAAAGTTAAGTCAAACATACGGCATCGATATGAGTAGCGGCCAGGTATTATATACATGTGATATGGCCAATTGCAACAATGTCACAAGTGATGCATCTACTGATATTGATAGGAATGTTTTAGTTTTACAAAGGCAAACTCAAACTGTTCGAGCGGCAGAACCACGCAGTGGAGTAGAAAGGTAATATATGTTTTATAAATTTAACTTATTACATTTAAATTCTGGACGCTCTGTCTACGTAGGGCTTGATTTTGTTTGTATTATTTTTTACATATTTATAAAATTATATATTATATAAATATTAATAAAGTTTAATAAATAAGTTAATAAAGTGCTGTAATTCTGACACGCTTTGCAAAGTGCGTTTTCTTGGAGAAACATCAAAGGAGTTTGAGGTCAGATGTGGATTGAAACAAGGGGACGCGCTATCTCCCGCTCTCTTCAATCTAGCACTTGAAAAAGTCGTAAGAGATATACAGGAAGACCAAGAAATGGAAGTACTGGGGCGCTCAACTCTCTTAGCATATGCGGATGACATTGTGTTATTTGGAGAATCGAAAACGGAATTAGAAGGGACAGTACGAAAGCTCATACTGACAAGTAAAAAGATGGGCCTTAAAATAAATGAAAATAAAACTAAGTATATGCTAATGAGTAGACGACCTACTCCGTTACAAAATGTGAGCATTGATCATTTCTCTTTTGAGCAAGTCGAAAATTTTAAGTACTTAGGCGCTAATATAAATCGTAAAAATAATATGCGTAACGACATTAAGTCCAGGATAAGTGCAGCAAACCGACGATACCATGCAATGAGAAAAATGTTCACATCGAAACTGCTATCTAGAGACACAAAGAAAAAACTATACATTGCCTACTTGCGCCCCATTGTCATGTACGGATGTGAGACATGGTCCACGACGCAGGGTGATGAGAATAACCTATTGACTTTCGAAAGGAAAATACTTAGAAAAATATATGGGCCTATATTAAACCCCAATACTGGTGTATACGAGCGAAGAAAAAACGCTGACTTAAACAGTCTGTTTAATACAGCCAATTTAAAAGATTTTCTAAGGTCGAAAAGGTTAGAGTGGGCTGGCCATGTTTGGCGTGCAGAGGGTGGACTGATAAGACAGGTACTCATCAACAAACCAAATAAAAAACGACCTGTAGGAAGGCCAAGACAACGGTGGTTGGACCGAGTTAAGGACGACCTAAAGAGATTACGCAATGGAGCAAGTATTGAGGATGCAGAGGATCGAGAAGTTTGGAGAGCTTTGGTAGAAGCTGCGAAGCGCCTAAATGGCGCGTAAAGCAAAAAAAAAAAAATATATAAATATTAATATATTTTTAAATGTTCTAGATGGAATTTTAGCGTTGGCCAACATGATCTTAAAGTTTTATCTGATTCAAATAAGTATTGTCATACTACTCATCCTACGGTTAAACTTGATTTTAAAATAAATATTCCCAAAGGAGTTATAACAGCTGTAGCATATGATCACCCAGAGGAAGTAATCTGGTCTCACCAAGTACATGTTTTTTTCTATAATAATTAATTTTTATTTTAAGAAAAATCTAAGAAATGATGATAATATTGTACCTTATTAAAAAAAAAATTAAATCATTGTTTTAATTTTAGTTTAAAGCACCGATTGTCAATGTTTGGAAATTTGAACATGGAAAAATTGAAACAATAGACTTATTTAAATCTGAATATGATATTAACGCACTAGGTCCATTAGTTTATCTTGGAATGCACATGAAACAGGTATATTTAAAAAAAAATGTTTATATAATGTAGTATTCAGATGCATCATTATTTTTTAATTATAGCTTTATATTCAAGAGAGTGACAGAGCATTTGGTATTGGAGCAGCTTCTGTATATGCTCAATCAGATCTTATTGAAGAAAATTATGAAAACAAATACAGAATCCCTTGGGAGCCAATACCAGCTTCGAGTATGTTAAAAAAAAATTACAAAAATAAAAAAATGTATTGCTGTAATTTTTCCGTTGTACTCTGGGCCTCACCCAGTCTGTAAACAGTGGATTTTATGTTACCACAACCATTTTATGCACCGCGTGCAGCTGTATTGTGAATAATAACTACAACGCGCTAGTGTACATTTAAAAATTTTTGCATCCCTTAATTTTTTTTGTCTATGCGTTCATTGAAGAATCCTTTTTAAAATATTTGAAAAAGTACGGCAAATGATTTATTAACTACTATCGCAAAAAATTGTTTAGTGCGCGACGGTCACTTGCCACTTTTTGTATTGCGGACTAAAATGCAACTACGCACATTTCTTGTATTAATACATTACTTTAGTGATATTATAACAATTTCACTAAGAATATCACAGCATTTTCAATATTCAATAATAATAAAACAATTGGCAACATTAGTTTGTGATATACCATTAAGAATGAGGCACTTATTTCTTCTTAGAATATAGTGATTTTGTAGTTTTTCTTTTTGGAGATACTCTAGATTATGTTGTTTTAAAATATTAGGCAACATTCAAATTTTTATTTTTTTTTATTACTTAAATATCTTTTGATATTGGGTAGTCATTTTTTAATTTAGTATATTGCAAAAATATATATTTATTAGCAGAAAAAAATATTTTTTATGCAATATTAGGTTTATAACTTCTTAATTATTTATTTTACGTCAATGTTGCTATGTATTATTTAATAATAGAAGGTTATATATAATTTCCCAAAGTTCTTAAAGAAACTTAGTAGAAGATGTCTACATTGGATAATGTACATATTATTTATATCATTATCCAAAAATGTGAATTATTCATATTACATAGGTCAATTGATTTCAATTGATTCTTCAGCTGTTCAAACAATTGATGACATTACTAAAACAACTGCAATATCTGTTTTGTACGCTTCAGAATACATTAATGGTAAGTATAACATAGTACAGTTATAATTATTATTACTATATTGTAATATTATTAAATTTGATGTAGGTAATGGGTTCTATTTATATGGTCCTAAGCAAACCAAAATGATTACAAATGGGGACAAAAAAAAAGTTTCAAATGAAGAAAACAAAACAGATGCAAAAAACATTGATAAATATGAAGGAGAACTTGAAATGCCAGTTGAAATAATTATCGTTTCATTGTGGTACTGGTGGAAAGAAGTATTGTTTATAAGTATTTTGACTGCCATTTTGATAAATATCTTGATTCCAGCACGGTTATTCAAAATAATTAATTTTCTCCGTAATAAACCAGTAAGTCTAATTATAATGTAGTTAAATTTATTTTTGTGAATATCTGTTAATGGTTGATACCCGCCTGGGTAGACTTTTTTGTAACTAAAAGAATGATGTAACCCACATTGATGGGTTTTGACAAATGTTATGATTTGTGATTTATTCATTTAAATTTGATTACACCTTTTAATTAAAATTCGATTTTGATGCATATTTTCGAATTCTATTTAATTTTTAAAAAAAGGCATAACTATAATTTAGTTTTTTAATGATGAAGTTTCCAATTTCTTTTACTAATATTACATGAGTAGTAATTTTTTTATTATTATTTAGGTAAATATACCAGTTTTAATAGTATGTCAAATATTTAAAAATTATTTAATAACATAACATACCAAATGAATGAACTGAAACATTTTATAAATTGCGGGTAATTGTTACATTGCTGGTAGTTATCTTGTTTGAGGGTATACCACAATACCCTTTAATCACGTAAAGCTTAATTCCTGTCACTTAATAATAAAAGGTAAACTGTAATAACATAGAAAAAGCAAATAAGGTACTAAAATAACATAGTTTGTTAAACAGTAATAATTCCATATTTTTTTAGAATTTAGCTTAATCCGAATACAAAAAATTAAATAGTAAAAAGAGGTATATTCATAGCTGTTATTCTATAACAACAAACACTTTATGTTAGATAAAACAGCTGAAAATTGTTAAATAATATTTTTAAAAAAAATGCATTTTTATTTATTTATCTTGATAACTAGACTAATATTTATTATTTAGGGCACTTCAATGAGCATTTATGGCTGTATATTATATACATTATACAACCATAAAATATTATGTTGTTTTAGCTGTTAATTATTAATACAGTGATTTAACAATTATTTTAGAAGAATGATGAAATTGAAGAAATTGTAAAATGCATTAAAAGCTCTAATGATTGCAAAGATTCTGGTGTAGATGTGACACCAAGTATAGCTATTGAAAAGCCGTCACATCCGACATTAGAGTTTAAATCACGTTATTTACATGACTTTGAACCAATCAATTGTTTGGGAAAAGGCGGTTTTGGTATTGTATTTGAAGCTCGTAACAAAATTGATGATTGTCATTATGCTATTAAAAGAATACCACTGCCTTCCCAGTAAGAATAATTAATTATTTTTAACTAAAATATACAAACAATTATGTTTATTATTTATTATTGTTATTATAATTAATTGTATGGGTATTAATGTTTTATAATATTTTTTCATTGTTTTAAGAGAAGAATCACGAAATCGGGTTTTGCGTGAAGTCAAAGCATTAGCAAAATTAGATCATCAACATATTGTTAGGTACTTTAATACTTGGTTAGAAGAACCTCCAAGCGGTTGGCAAGAAAAGCATGATAATGATTGGATTAAAAAATCCAATAGGTATGTATATTTATAAAGTTTTAAACAATAATTGTAAACTTCATGATAGCAGCACAGTGCATGGGTGTCATATTATGTGTATATTTTGGGAAATTGAGTTTTGTGTAACAATAGATGCCTAACAGCCATTTACATAGCATAAAAATGATAAGTACCATTTTTGAGGACAGCATTAAGTGAAGGCTGGATATTGAGTAGGATGAGTGATTTAATTAATTTAGTCATATTTAGACTTAGAAGTATTAATATATAAAATAATAAGTTGGCAGCTAAATTTTCATACATACAAATGCTGGTGTCTGCATCCTAAATCCTTTAATGATAATATTGTTTGCATGTGCTAGCTGAGATTTCCAAATATATGTTATATTTTTCCAAAATATGTCGTATACACATAGAGTATATAATTTTTTATGATTAAGGGTTTTAAATATTATTTTATTATATTTTGCAATTTGAAAAGCCTAACAATTACATTTTCTTTGTAGTAATATAGATATAAGTGTGGAAAGTACAACTGAAGAAAAGTCGCAAAAGAAGTATTTGAATCCAGGCAAACAGCACGTACGTGCTAAAAGCCTGTCAACTATGATCACTTTTCCTGAGAGTAGTGGCGAACTATCTGAAATATTAAATAACCCTCGTGCATTGCTCAATTATAATGACAATAGCGATTCTTCATTTATAATTTTTGATGGTATAACAACTAACAGTAACAGCAAAAAAGACTGTGTATTAGATATTAGCTCTGGAAATTTTACAAAAGGCAGTAAACGACGTCGATATAAATCAGAATGTGATACAACTAGCAATGTTCATAGTGAACGCAGAACAGCTAGACATTATTTATACATACAAATGCAGCTTTGTCATCAGAATAGTTTAAGAGAATGGCTAAAAGATAATACTACAAACAGAAATATGAACTATACTTTAGATATTTTTCGGCAAATTGTGCAAGCTGTCGAGTATGTTCATTTACAAGGGTTGATTCATAGAGATTTAAAAGTAAGTGTAATTTATTGGAAATAAATTAAAAAGAAGTTATATATCATTGATTTTAACGATTAATATTAATAATTAACACCTGGTAAGAAAAGCAGTTTGTTAGAACCTCTCATTAAACCAAAACAGACTTTGATAGGCGCAACATGGTACTTTTCTTGCCAAAAATATTAAATGATGTATTAGTATTTGTAGTAGTAGGAGAAACGCATTAGTACTGATCAGATTTAAGTATAATTGGTTCACTGGTGTATCTTTGCATAAAAAAAAACTCCATACATCAATTTGCTTATTTCAAATCTCGCACAATGAACAGGTGTTGATTGTTGTCTGCTGACAGACCCCCTCTTTTAGTTTCCCCCTATAGGTTAAATAAAATAGGTTTCTATATTTGATAAATAAAATAACATTATATTATAAACAGTAAAGTGAAATTTTATATTATAGCCTTCAAATATATTTTTCTCGTTGGATGGACAAATAAAAATTGGTGATTTTGGTTTGGTTACTGAAATGTTTGAATCAGATGAAGGAATGGCGACGTGTGAGAATAAAAAAAAATTTTTTAATGAACAACACACAGACCGAGTAGGAACTCAATTATATATGAGCCCAGAACAGGTGAATTAATTAATACTTTAAAACTGTTACTTAGCATTTGATAGTCATACATTTTACTAAAATTAATTTGGTTCTTTAATAATTTATTGCAGGTTCAAGGTATGCCATATAACTATAAAGTGGACATATACTCACTGGGTGTAATTTTCTTTGAATTACTTAGTCCTTTTACTACCGAAATGGAAAGATATCAAACACTATTAAAGCTTAGAAATAATGTATTTCCCCAAGAGTTTTCTAAAAAGTTTAAAAATGAAGTAAGCCAAATTAATTTTTAAAAATATACATTACCTTTTTAATTTATGATTCTGTATAACTTTTGTTTGTGTATGTTACTGTCTAGTATGATCTTTTGTGTTTAATGTTGTCTCCAAAACCTCAATTACGACCAACAACATTTGGTATAAGAGCTAGACCACCTTTAAGAACTACTTCAGATTTATCTTTAGATCCTACATTGGACGATAATAGTTGCCATTTTGAACTTCGAATAAAGAAACGACACCTTTCTACCAATTCAAATACACCAAAAAACTATTGATACATAATTTTTTATGTCGTTTGATTTAAATGTATTGTTAATACTTGTAAACTTATATAATAATTAATGTATTAATTAATAACAGTATCTTTTTTAGTATTATAGTTTAAACATTAAAATATATGGTAATTCTACCATTATTTAGAATAATAGATAAAAAGTACAGGTGTAAGTAGAGTTAATTTAAAATCTACATTTCTTAATAAATGTTTGTGATAACTGATAACTTAAAAAGACTCGTAACTATAGTTATTATATTTTTAATATATTTTTTTTTGAAAATGTTTGTATATTTACTTAAATTATTTAATCTCAGTTTTTTCCTTTGCTCTGTTATACTCATTATTTATTTTGTTAATTAATATAATATATAATACTTTATAAATTGTATAAATTATAATTTCCTATAAATTTATCATTTTTATCAACGATAATATTTATTCCATATTTTTCCTCCCAAATATTTGGGATTTTAAACTAGCTAACCAGTAACTTATTGATTTGCATTCTGTATTTAGAATTAAAATGGGTTCTGTCGAATCAAATTAAAAGATGAAAACTATTCTGTGACAAACTATGATATGGATCAAATTTGCATGATAACCGATACTCAAAAATCAGTTAGGCTCAAAAAGCGTTATCAGATATTAAAGTTTATTAGTACTTAACTAGTTGACACAGGCATACGCTACATGGACTATAATATATTCAGATTTCAGACTATCTTGATTTTCGAGTAGTAAGTTAAAGGGTTAACTGTTAAGGTAGGTATGGACAAAATATCCCGCACTTTATTCAATGATAATACAATTTATAAATTTATTAACAGCTGATACTTTATCACGTGACGTGTTTTTCTTTAACCTTATCACAAATTCCAAGTGCACTTGAAAAAATTAATAAAAAAAAATTACGGTTCTGTTCAGTTCGTATAAATTTTCTACGGATTTTCTTATTTAACGTTGTCAATTTAGTGTTTTTCCCGTTGATCTTCTTTGTAAATACCACTACTAAATCCTACAAAAAGTATTACCACGAAATCAGAACAATCGGTAAGACACTAAGACGCCCATTGTACCACTATTATAAAACAGTTATAAATTCAGTATTACCTTTTGTCAATATAAACTATTTGTACTGATTGGCTGGTGTCCAAAAAACCTATTTCCAGCTTATCCAGGGCTATAATTATAGATTGGGCTGGATCAAATTCAAATTTTCTGAGCACACAATGACTATGTTGAATTAATTTATCTTTTTATACTTGTTTTATTTTCTCATTATTCTGTTCCTAACTTATTATTTTTATAACTGGTTCATTCAAGGTAAGAATTATACCATTAATGAATGTACAAATTTATACTCAATATTTATCAATAATATATGTAAAAACATTTTTTGATTAAACTAAATAATTTTGCTAAAATTGAAAAGAATAATACTCGTGTTTATACTTTGGCATAAAAAATGATGTAACGAGTTAGTTTGACGTTATTTGTGACAGCTAAGATTAGTTTAAAACAAAATCCTATAATCTTTCTTATAATCAGGGTTCGGAATAAAGTTTTTGCTATTTCTTAATAAATTTAATTGATTTTAAACTGTGATTTTTTTTGCTTATTTTATACTTTTTGATGACTGTCCACTATCAATAACCCATATTTCTATGATAATTTCTTCAAAACAAATGTCAACTGTATTCTATTACCTATTACCCAACTTACATTGGTTTGTATTTTTGTTGTCTAATTTTCATATACGTCATTGCTGGCCATAGGGTAGTTAAGTATTCCAGCACTGTATTAACGTTTCATTATGGAAAAACAAACTATAATTGATTCCATGTATATCAGTGGCTTCAATAAACAATATTATCTGTGTTTGACGTAATAATGTTTTCAGAATAAAAGTCAGCAGTTTTTCCTTTTTATATTAATATTTTTTTAAAAACTTTTTATAAGAATAAATTATAAAATAATTGTTTTACTACATGTCTCTCTTACCTACTCTATTAATAGCTCATTATTTAATAATAATTAACTACAACAGGTCACAGAACAGTTTAAATAAGAAGAATATCACTCTTAAGTTTACTCAACTGAACAAATTAATTTAATACATTTGTCTGTATCGCGGTATAAAATATATTTGTTTGTATGTGAGTCTAAAAGAGTCAATCACTTAATTATTATTTTCTAAATGAGCATCAATTGATTAATAGTACTCACACTTAAGTTAGCACACAATAAACACTGCATTGATTTATTCAAGGAAGATAAAATAAATGACAATGTATACTTGAGTAGATATATTTTGTCAACAAATTGTGATTGGCCCTTTTAAACTCAAAGTACAGATATGTAATTATATTAATGATATACATATATTATATATATATATATATATATATATATATATATATATATATATATATATATATAGGTGCTATCTTGGAGAACTCTAAAGGTATATTCAAAATATAAAATTTGGAAGTCAGCATTGTTCAAATAGCCTAAATTTATATATATTTTTTTTTAGAGAGATTTGTTTAATACAATTAATTTAATAAGCCCAATTAAAAATTACAGAGCTTTGGGTATGCCCACTGAAATTATGACACTGCTTTAAAATCAAATTTTAGTTGTTTAGCAATATATTTGTTTATTTATTAAGGCTGCTTATTTGATGTATATACATAAAAATGTGTATACGATTGTCCGAATGAATTGTCTTGTTTAAACCCCATGTGAATTTGTGCAGCTTGAGTAAGTTAATGATTTTTCACAATTATCAAATTTGTGTATTTGTTACATAAGTTCACATAACTGGTCGAGAGCTCTAATATTTATAATTTATATATTTTTATTTTTATTAATATAACATAACAATGTATAAATATCTATTTTTTTAGTTATTAAATAAAATGAGTACAGAAGAATCACAACAGTTTTGTCTAAGATGGCACAATTACCAAAGTTCATTAATGTCAACTTTACCACAACTATTAAATCACGATGATCTGACCGATGTAACATTATGTGCGGGCCTAAGAACACTGAAAGCACACAGAGTTGTTTTGTCTGCTTGTAGTGATTATTTCAAGCAACTTTTTAAAACACTTACAAAGGTTAGTGTCATTCAGTTATATATATGTGTGTGCAGATCTTTGTGACAGGGTTGACCAATCAATGTAAAATTATGTTATACTCCCTGTATAAGCTTCTTTATTCAGAGGTTCTGTATAAAACAATTGCAGAAATCTTAATTTCATATTAGGGGGCAATTCAAATCTGGATTTCAGAAAAAAAAGTGGTATATCTTCATACTTTTTATTGTTGAAAATGTACAACATTGTTGCAAAGATAAATTGTTAAAATTAATTTCAAATTATTATAACTATTTTGTTATAGTTATGTATTTTTTAAATATGTTTAACTTATATACATTTTAATATATGTATTTACAATTGTAAATCAATATTACCAACAGACAATCTCAATTTTGTAGTTGATGCCGAGAATTGATTTTGATATAGGGAGACTAAGTTAGACGCTAATAAAAACTAGAACTTATGGATTATTATTATTTATTTTAATAAAAAAAACCCAAACCGCAATAAAATGTACATTTATATAGTAATTACATAGGTATTTCAACCTTGAAGCACGTAAGTGCTATGTCCATTTTTTTCAAACTCATGATTTTGGGTTTATTCGATTCAGTTTCTTATCGCAAATTCAGGGATACCCAAAATCATGATTTTGACAAAAATGGACATAGCACTTGTGTGCTTCAAGGTATCGATGTGGTCATCAGCAGCTCTAAAGCAGGACTGTTGACTCCTTATCTATTTGGGCATACATAAGTACAAAAATTAAGTTTTTTAATAAATCAATGTTGTATCGTTAACTATCCTAATTTAATTGATTAAATACAATGTAGGTATAAATATTTAATATAGCATTTGAATAATGTGTTTTCAGTCTTTTAAATGTTTAAGGCGTATAGACTACCTCCAAACTTATATCTTTACTTTTAAAATGTTTAATGTAAAATGAATTATAATTTATCTAGACTTTAGTAAGAAAAGTTCTGAATACTTTCGTATACCAAAAAATTATGTTATGACTTGTAGTTTTATTTACGTAAATTTATGATCTTAGGACTTGGGAGCGAGCCATCATCCTGTAATTGTCTTACCTGGTGTTGAATTTACTGATCTCTGTGCTCTAGTCACTTTTATGTACAGTGGAGAAGTAAATGTTTATGAACATCAATTAGCCAGTATGCTTTCAATGGCTGATACATTACATATTAAAGGGTTGGCAGAATTTTCTAATGTAAGTTCTTTTTTTTAAGGGTAATCAAGTTTTTGAATATGCAATAGCTAAAAATATGTATCCTAAAATTAATATTTTAAAATATTTACATGGTTTACAGTCCTTTTTTTTTATTCACTGTATTTTTATTTTTTTTGTTAACAACTTTTATCAGTATAACACCCTCTTGAAAAAAGAACATTTCAACAAATAAAATATAGGTACATCATATTTCACATACTTACTCAATGAATAATAATAATAATAATAATACTAAGGGCCATTCTTACAATGTTTCTAACGTGCCTGTAAAAACGTTGGTAATTTAACAGCTATATCTTCTTCTTAAGTACTGGTTTCAGCAATCCTATATAGAAACACCTATAATTACAAATTGACTTTCCCAACGTTTCAGGACTGTGTTGCATGACGAAGGTTGTTCGCTTCGCTGCTGCCTGTAGATTTTGAGAGCCTAAAGGCAGCAGTGGAGTAAGCAACATTATAATCAGCAAGCAACAGTCCTGAAGATGGTAGGCTTCCAAAACGTGGGCGAAGCCAATTTGTAAATATATGTGTTATCATAAACCATGTAAATATTTCAAACAACTCTATAAAAACATCAACTTATTTACTTATTTTAAATTAGAAACAATTGTTAAAACTTTTGATTTTAACAATTTTGTTGAAGGTGCCTGGTTATACTCCTGGTACATTTGAGAAAACATCCCGGTGGAAACGATCACGAGTGGATGAACCTGAGGCACCAAGGGTGAATAGACCAACATTGAGTGAAACTGAAGCTTTTGCTGATTTGGATGTTGCTCAAGACTTGAGTAAACGTGTTCCAGAAAATGAAAATCAAGGCGATGCTGTAAATTTAGTTGCAAACACAGATCAAAAGCCGTCCACATCAGAAATAAATGTTTCATATGGCGAAGAAGCTCCAACACCTACAGATTTAGTTCAAGGTAAATAAATTGGAAGGGGAGAAAAGGGGAAAAGGGGAGTGTCGTGTGAACATTTCAAGAACCACATTATTTGTTGAATAAAATCATAAAATTTGGCATAAAAAAGAAAAAAAAAATTCAAATATAGGGAGGTGATCTACCAACAGCGCGCGCCGAAACTTGGAAAATTGGCTACTTAAATTTCACACGCCGTGCAATGTAGCTCAATGAATTTTAATCCAATTGACATTTGGATTAGCACGTTTTATTCCAAAACTTACTGGCTTTTGAATGAACCTAATAGTTCATTAATTATTATTACTTAACTAATAATAAATATTGTTTTTAAGAAACTTTTTATACAAAAAATAGGTATTCTCGAAAATGATCCTAAATTTTTAATTTTAATTTTAGGTTCATTCAAAGCATATGAATGTATTTTAACAAAAAAAATGTAGAATTTTTATTTAAGATAACTAGAGTAACCTGTACGCTGCACGGCACAAAAATTAAAAGCCAGATTCAAACAGCTGCAATGCTGCCATTTTTTATTTTTTTCATATGAAACCTTTTTGTAAAATACTTTGAATTGACAATTTCATGATGTAATTTATTTCATTTTAATAAATCTTACCATTTTATCAAAAGAAAGGAATCTGAAAAACTTCTGTTTACACAACCCTCCCCCCTTAAATGCATTGGTAATATGCAATGAGCGTAATATTCATTAACATAGGTGGTTTTAAGCAATGATAGCTAAGAATATTGTTAATTTTTTTTATAAATACTAGATTGGACAGTTATATTAAAAAATATGAAATTTTCATAAGTTCCAAAGAAAATGAATGTCTTAGCCTTGATGAATCACCTTTTATACTATAATAAAATCTAATTAATTAAACAAATTTATACTATTTATAAAAAGATAATGCTTACATTTTGAATTGTTATTTTTGTTTGATTTTTTTATTTTGATCAAGAAAAGAATGTGCTTTTTATTTCCTATGTATAACTTCATTAATATTTCCACTGTTTAAAAATAATGCTATTATTTTTAAACATGTTCTAATTTTGTGAATGATCCTTTGTGTTGTGTTCCTCAAATATGTGGATAAACACTCATACATTTTCGCAACTTTTGGCAAAACATGAAAAATGTGATAGTTTATTTAACAGTTATCTGATAGTAATTTTTGTTTTTAAGTTTATTCTAAAGAAAATAGGATTAATTTTATCTTTAATCAGAAATTACCAGATCCATAATGATACCCCAGACAGCAAAAAAAAAAATTGATGTTTCAAAAATATTGTTATAAATATAAATGTTTCAATAACTTTTTTTATTTTGTTCATTAACAGTTAAAAACATTTAAATAACATTTCACTATAATATTTTTAAAAATATTAATATTCTCTTTATGCTTTATGCTATATGTTTTGCAGTGTGTGACGTTAAACCCAATCCTCTAGTTAACTTGACAGTTAATTAATTCCTAATTTACTGAATTATTATTTGTAGGTCCAGTTGTTCAGGGTTCTCAGTCTGATAATGTCAAGTCACGAACACCTGTGTCCAAGCTCTATACTATGTGTTTCATATGTGGAAAACAACTAAGCAATCATTATAATCTGCGGGTTCATATGGAAACTCATCAAAATGCTCAGTACGCTTGTTCAGTATGTAGTCATGTTTCGCGGTCTAGAGATGCATTGCGTAAACATGTGTCTTATAGACACCCAAGGCCTACTAACAATAATACAACAACGGACAATTCGGTAACAGTGGATTCATCGCCTAATGTCAATAAATTACCATCGACTTGACCCAAAGGTTTGCATATCACGTAATATATACATTTTTTTTTTTTGTTATTATTATATAATTTATCGTTGTTACCCGCTTAGATAAATCATATTTTTCTTAGTTATACTCATATTAATTGTTGACTTGTTATTATTATTATTATTGCGTGAGTGTTTAATTGTTATTGTTTTATTGTTGAAATTTGTAATCTGTTATAGACCTATAATAGTAGATAATGTTACGGTCTACTGTGCTTGTGTAAAAGTAAACAATTAATTCATTATACCAAAAAAAAAAAAAATGTATTTATATTAAAAAATACATTTATGACTTTATAAATATTAGATTACCTTAAAAAATAAATACCTATTAAACTTTTTCTTAGTTTTTAAATTACGTTTTAATGCACTCTGTAATTGTTCTTATATCAGTTGAAAAACATTTTATTTTAGTTTAAATTAGTGTGGTATCTATATATTTTTGGTTTAAATTTGAACCAAATTTATGTTTATTGGCAGCAAATTTGCCATATTTATTATTAATACTATTTAACATTTTTAAAAAAAATTACAAATTTAAAGAAATTGTTATTTATTTAGTAATAATAGTTATAATATTAATATTTATTTTATCTTTTTATGATAAATGATGCATAATTTATCAGTTTTAAGTTACCAATATATTCTTTAATATTATTTTTAAAAAAAAAACTTTCTTAGCCTAATACTTATTGACGTAAGATTTGTTATTACTTTTATTGTTATTGTTATTATTATGATTAATGTTCTTTTTTTTTTTTTGGAGGACAGCGCAGTAGGCACACTATAATGTCTCCATAATCATGGTTTGTCGATGGTATAAACAAAAAAACTTTTTTTTTTATTTCTGTGATAACTTAATATTTATTGTGTAAATTAATTAATACCGGCCATGGTAAAGAAAGGTTATCATTTTAAAAATTCACTGTGATATGGGCTTGTTTCAAAGATTTGTAGAATATTTTGATTATGTTTGTTATTATTAAGGAAAGTAAGAACGAGAATAGTTGCAATTTCTCTTACAGTTGTTGAACAATTACAGTGTAACAATTTTTTGAATTAGAAAACTGTGATAATTAAATTTCCTCTATGTTCCATAAAACGTCATAACTATTTTTGTTTGTATAAACAAGTGCCTTTAACCGTCATATATAGATACTAGTCATTCAAAATTAGACTTTATAGTGAGAATAGTACAGAAAAAGAATGAAAATAACCTTGTCCAATATAAGTTTGTTATGTTAAGGCGTAAATGGTTTATGTGTAAGTGTTGTGGTGATATATGGAGACTAATTAAAAATATTTATAGTATTATATTTATTAATTTATACTTTATTCTAATTACATTATACATTATACAATAAATTCATATTTAATTCACTTATGTACTGTAATTGATATCACTTATTAGTATTTCTATCAAACAATGATATATTATATATCATTATATAGCCCAACACACCGATATATATAGGTCTTAAGACTATTGAAATTTATAATTTATAGTTAAATTACTTTTGCTTATTTTTTTCTCTTTAACTAACAAAATTAGACTAAAAGATAATTTAAAAATAATATAGTGAAGTATTTTTGAAAATTACTTTGTATCCTGTATGAACTTTATAAAATTAAGTTAATTAGATCTCAATTCTTTGATTATTGTTAATAACAAATCTACACATATGTCATATTAGTATGAAAAGTGAAAGGCAAAACTTTTGTTTATTTTAAGTTACAGTTTGTTTTTAAACAATTATATATTGTAAAACATTTAGTTGTTAATGCATATTTACATAAATTCTGAATTCAAAATTAATCATAGATATTATTACTTTATTAAAAACAAGACGAATAAGTTTTTTCAAAACTTTAACAAAATAATAAGATATTATTCCTTCAGATTTTCTTATTTTATACACTAAGTAGTTAAATTGTTATAGTTACACTATTATATTTTGTACAGAATATACTATATTTTGTAAGGATTGGAATATTGTTAAATGAGTCGGTTTATATAACTATATATTATATGTATTGTTGGTAATCATTGAGCTGTGATAAATGTAATGTTCAGGTTTTATTCTAAGTAAATCTTATTGATTTTTTGACAATTAAATAATTACTTTTTAACTTGGATCACTTTCTTTATTTGTAAACTGATGTTATAAATATAATACTTAAATATTAATTTAAAAAAAAAACATAAGCACTTAAAATATAGATTTACCTAAGGTATCCTTACTGACTTTTATTGCATGTTTCAATATTAATTATATATTATTTTATGTTTTGTTACTAAAATACGATTTTGAACGTTTAGAATTGTACTAAATTAACTATTGAAATTATCATTATTTTTTTGTAAAAGGAGACCTCCAAACATTAAACAAATTTTTATTGCAATCCCAGGGTGATACTTTTAAATAGTTTTATTATTAATAGACAGCTCTTCTTAGCGTTTTAATTAAAACTAATTATTGTCTGAATTTTATTTTTAAAATTTAAGATGGGTTGTTTTTATTATATATTGTAAATAAAAATAAATTTCAAAATGGTGAATTAAGATTTTTTTTTCATGTGTAGATATTTCATTATTTAATTGCTTACAGATAAAAGTGTAATCTATATTAGATTGAACATTCTCATAGTTTCTTCTCTTAATGTAATAAGCTATTATTTAATGACAAATTCCACTAATCAAGATAAAATACTTATAATGTATATTTGGAGGTGAGTGATAACAGGTGGCTAAATGTGACCGTTACACAGCATGTTAAAAGTACATTCTAAGTGACATAAGCATAAAAAAAGGTAGAAAAATATGATCTACAACTTGTGTACTAGTTACAAACAACAATTTTTAAATACCAGTCCAAGACTGTCAGGTTAGGTGACCAAGACACCTAACCTGGGCAAGACATTATAAATGTATGCAAAAAAGTAGGAAATAGATATAAAAGATAAAACAATTGACAATAGTTGTATGAGTAATACTTTATATTTTAGAAATATATTATTCACAGCCACTCAGTAGAAAAATTTAATTTTATAATTTTGCAAATAAAGTACAAGAAAATTGAAAGATAAATATTATAAATAGTTTACATTAATACATTTGACATATATAAGATCACATAAATTATATAAAGATATCAATAATTCATCAACAAAAAAGACTACAAGTCCCAACTGAATAAATGGTGTTTGACTAGCATATCTCTAACACCAGCTTTTAATGTTAGAGCGTTTTCTTTTTTTGGTGGAAGTTCCCAGTTTGGATTTAAATTAAAAGGAAATTGAGATAAAACTCTTAGTTCACATTTCACTTGTACCCATCCTGGACTACACACAAAACTCCATGGCTGATACCTGAACACAAAAATAGTGTTATTAATTCGCACTTAAGAAAAAATATTATAAAACCATCACAAAATAGCAAAAAACAAAAAATTATAATAATTAAAAAAAAGGAGGTTTTTTTAACTTTTTTAAGAACTTAAGTTATGTACAACATTTACCATTTTTTGACAATTTGATCTGAACAGCACAACAATTCCAACCACAAATGCAATGCTTGTTCGTTTAGACCAAGACAAATTAAACTTCTTAATTTTACATCCATTTGACAGCCGGCAGCATCGTGACTTTGATTTATACTTTGAATACATCTATACAACAACTTGAAAAAAAAAGAACAACAACCTCAAATAAGTTAATTATTATTAATTTATAACTATACTCTATTCAGAATAAGAGAGGTCTGGGCGGCCGATTTGTGCGCATGGGCGTGGCTTTGTTCCGAAGCATTGCATCGCACGCCTCGACTTGGTGGGAGAAGCATCTCACAGCCGCCGCACAGGACCGCTCTTATTCTGAATAGAGTATAGTTAAGGGTATACTTAACTCAATATTACAAGTTCGTGATAATATTATAATTACAGATAAATATAGTATTTTAGCCAGGGTAGATTTATAAATCTGCCATCATGAGATGGTTATTTATACAATTAAATTTTTAACTAATTAATTAATAATTACTTCTTCCGGTGTCAAAACTTTGCCATCTTCATCTAATCTATAGGTCTTGCATAACATTAATCTACTATACACAGAACTGTAATCTCTTTCTACTTCAGTCATTGCTGCTTCTTCAATAAATAACCAAGGATGACACGGTCCACCTGTTAAGTTGAAATAAAAAAGTTTTGAGACAATTACTTTTTTATTTAAGTGGGTTATCGCAAAAATCTAAACATCTAATATTTTATACATTGTATGTAATTAATTTTAAGTTTTATGTTCAACAAAAATATACCAACAACTCGCTACAAAATCACCTAATATAACTAAACAATTTTTACACTACCCTATTTGTAGTTCATCCCTGTTTTTCGATAGACCCGTCAACTGACAAGTACCAGTTTTTTAGAGTTGTTAAAAATTAAAACTGTTTACCTAAAAATGATGGACGTTTCATTCCATGCTCTAATACTTGTTTTAAAGCAGGACAAAGAGCTCCTCTTACTAAATCGGTTATAATTTCAGAAACAGAATCATCACCAGCAATACTATACTGTTTACTTCGTTCGTCTAATAATTCTACAAACTTGGCAGGAAACCATCCTAATAATTTAGATTGCACATTATTTTATTACTATTATTAACATTATTTGTAATAAACTATACTCAATTAAGAATTGTTTCACCTCTTAGACCATTTAGTTCGCCGACCCAACAGTGTTCGTCTTTACGACTAATTATAGTTATAATATCGTTTTTTCTAAATCCCAATTCATCGTCATCATGTCTTTCAAAATCTAAAAAAAAAAAAAAAAAATAGTAAAATAATAAGTATTTTTTTTTTTAAATTACAATAATATGATATTATTTATAAACGGCGTAATTAGTTTATCAAATTAAAAAAACAAAAGGCAATAGCGTATACCTAATAGTGCTTTGGCTCTTCTTTTTTTATTTCTTGATACATTTGCATAAGTTTCTATATCATTTAAATGGCTTTCTTTTGTAAAATCTGGTTTCAAAGAAATATTACTGAGTTTAGGATCAGTAATAATAAAATGTCTGGCTACTTGCATTATTGCTTCCCTTAAATCGACCAAAAACTCTGAAATAATTTACACTAGCTATTATGGATGAAAGATGAATACAATGAAACCTATCTAATACAGTAATAAGTATTAACTGATTTGAATATTCAATATTAAAAAAAAACATACCAGTCTGCCGGATATTTTTACATTTTATTGTAGTTTTAGAAGACTCTTCATTTGTGTCGTCGCCAAAGAGTAGCAATTGCATAAGAGATTTTGATTTTTGTATTTGTCTTCTAGTAAAATATAATTAAAGTTGTATGTTTAATGATCTTTAATGAGTTCAAAGTTCTAATTTTGAGTAAGCTATTTCTTACCTATTGAGATGTTGTTTAGGTAAATTTGTGGAACACTCGACATTAGGAACGAACGCACCTCCATCAGCCATTAAATATCCTAAATACCGCCTACGATATGTTTCAATATTTTCAATAGTCAGTTCTGAAGATATTTCAAAACAAACCTATAAACAGACAATAATAATTATTTATCATTTAAGAAAGTTAATTTATTAAATCGACGTACCTCAAATAACTCTTTAATACTAGATATATTACCAGGAATATTAGATAAAGCGTTAAAAATATCAGCTGAATTATCAAGAGTTTTTAGTATTGGTTCTGAAAATAGAAAATAACTAATTATAAAACCGACTTATACACTACGTATAAAGTGTCTTTTAGGATGCTTCTTGTATATAATATTTGTAATCCATGATTTTTAAAAATTAAAATAAACAAAAATAGAGATCACATTAATTCAACAATTAACATATAAAAAAAAAGAATACAAATATTAAAAGAAATGTGTTGAATTGATAACACAAACTTTACCCCTAACAGTTCCTTTTTAGCCAGCAGGTCGAAAATCTAATTCATTTTTTTTGTACTTCCATTTTGGGGGATAAAAATAACCTATCTATATAAACTCTCACGTCACTTGTAATGATCGGATTTCAAAAATTTCTGAAGTCTGATTAAGTTTATAATAGCGTTCAAAACTTTGGGAAATTAGACCCCTTTAAGAAGCGTGAGTGTATATACCAAAAGGTTGAATAGCACTACCAAAATGTAAGTAGAAAATAAAATGAAATATAATACAATTAATACTCTAAGCCTAATAAAAATAAATCAGACCACTAGTTGATTTAATTGAATTTTAGTACAACAAATATTTTCTCGAATATGAAAAATTAAATAGATAACCAATATTGTATATACAGGGCATCCTTAAAGGCTCATTTGAAGCTCGGTAGAACATTATATAGATATAAATATATAATTGAAATACCTTTTAATTTAAGAAGACCAATTGTTATTTGAAAAAGAATAATTGAACCTTCAAAAAATAATAAATCCCAAATTCTTAATAGAACTCTAAAGTTGACAACATTTGAAAACAAAGTTAAAAACCAATTAACTGTTATCAAACTTAGTTCAATATCGTGTAACCGTAAAAGTTGACATACACCAGGTAAATAAGTACCGAGTACAGTTTGTAGAACCTGTTGATCAGCTTTTACACCTTTAAAAATACAAAAAATATTATTTAAAAAAAACAATTCCTAGAAGACGTACTGGGTGTAAATAAATAGCTTAAGCATTAAACATCACTCATTAATATCACTTATAAGTATATCAAAATCATTTATAATTCTTGTTACTTTAATATTACTAAGGGGATTTTTCAACACCCCAAACAAGTCTGTGAAGCTAATTAAATAAATAATGTTAATTTTACCTATCAGAGTTGTTGTGTAATATAATGCAGGCAATAAATCTTCTACAATTGCACACATCACCCAAAATGATTCTTCTTCTTCAAGAATGAGTAGAAGAGATGCGACAATCATACTTGTACCTTGGCAATATCTGACATTTAAAAAAAAAAAAATTTGTTAATTGTTATTATTATTACTTGTTATGTTTCTTAATTAATTGAGGTTAAATAGCAAGCCGCTGAAAGTTAATAACTCTTGGTTTTATTATTCATAGCAGATGTGAGTTAAAAAATTAATGAGGTCTTAAGACTATATGGTGCTCTAGTTTGACTAATAATTCTGTATGTTTTTATTGTCCCCTCTTTGACGACGGACTGACGACCTATTACCTATTACTGGACAGCGAATCTGTCTAGAATACCATCGTGTCATGGTAGCGTTGGGCCTAAAGGCCTGTTAAGCTGATGCTGATGATATTTATATTTTTAGAAAGAGTTTCAAGTTGTTTGTTACAATGCTAATTATTTATCACAACATTAATAAATAATTAGAAAAAAAAAATTTAACAAATAAATGACAAATAATTGTTCACGTTCCGTTACACAATAAAAAAAAAAATTATTTTCACATACCCAATGTCGGGATATAACCACGCTAGTGAACGTAATACTCTTCGTAATCTTGGAATACCAGTACTTTGAAAATTATTAAAACATACATGACTAGGCATGGTGCGCAGAAGATCTTTTTCTATTTGTTTAGAAGACACCAGAGTATCATTGTTTGACGATCGTACTATTTCTTTGTAGGTAACATTGTGTGTTTGTTTTTTTAAAAGTGCACCTAACAATATTATAAAAAAAAAAATTAGAACAATATATCATTGTCTCGTTAGTTAAATTTATTAATATTAAATACCAGAAAATATCATCCATAATTGTGGTCTTAACGAATGCGGAATACCTTGACGAACCATAGATCGTAAAGTACTTGAACGAGTTTTTAATGTGATTGTTTCTTTTTCCAGTAATTCATCTTTGTAAGAATTTTCTAAATAAGAGATCCATAACAGTCTACTAAATTAAGAAAAAAATGTATCATATTTTATTTATGTTAATATTTAAACAAAACAAAGTTATAAACTAACCTTTGCTGAGGATCTTCATACAAGTCGTCATCTAATTCATATTCTTTGGTAACTCCATTGGTACTTTCTATGCGGAAACCGAATTCATCAAACCTAAATTACAGTTTTTATATTATTTATACATTTTCTAAATTAGTTTAAAAAATACATGTGCAATGAAAAAAATAAAAAAGTAAAATTGGTTAATGAAAAACAAATTTGATGAAACTACATGTAGTAATAGTGTTTGCCAGTTATAATATGAATCTGTTAAGAAAATTTAGTTTATTATTACATATACATGTAGAATTAAAAGTTAAAACAAATAAGCCTGATTAGAATTAGTCAACTCCTTTTAACTAATTTGGTTTACGCTAAATTTATTTAAATCACGCATGTAAATAGATTATAAATTACTTTATAGTTGTTCATTCTCGCTCATACTATTAATGATTATTACCATTGTTGATTAGGAGGTGATTTATTGTCATATTGAATGTAGCAGGTGTGAATGTCTTCTGGCCACATAGAAGGAGTAAGACCAGAAAATGGTTTTCCTTTTGTTAGTTTTATATTGCTACCCCATTCCTTAATGTTAAATGACAACCTTTTTGTCAAATTTCTATCATTTGATATCTCGTTATCCTCTTCGTCTTCAGTTTCAAGTGCTGTTTCAATGTGGATCTAGGTAAAACATCATATTACATCTATTACATCATTAAAATATTCTAACTTGATACAAAACAATTCACTAGGCTGATGGAAAAATCCTAACATATGGCAAGATTGTTTTAAATTAATGTCAAAATAGTTATTACATACAAATTGGAAACTAGTTGTAATAACACTGATTTAAAAAAAAATACTTAAACTTACGTTGTCTTCTTTTCCTGCATATCCTTCGTGTGATCTCGTCAAAAATAAATGTTTTAAGTCCATATTTCAATAATGTAGTACAGTAACACTTAAATTACTGTCATGGTGCTAAAATAAATGTGTATACAATATTGTAATGTGTTTACATTCATAGCCCGACCATTATTGTAGCTTTTAAGCCGTTTGCAGTAATCTATTACGTGTAAGAATATCACGAGACTCGATACAAAATATATGTCAAAAATCAATTTTCAAAGTACACTCAAAATGAGTTATGAACAAACCTAATTGATAATTTATATTGATAAACAAACTATGATATATATTATATAAAAATAATAGCTGATAAGAGATAGCTTATCAATAACCTTATACCAAATATAAATTACTAAATAAAAATAGATATAATTTTTATTTGCTAATATAATACGGATGAACATAGAATGTATATGCAGTTGCAGTGGACCGAAAAGAAGGCGTTGTACCAGTATTGCAGCATGCGCCTTAGAATCCCCAGTTTGATAATATTAAATATACAGTGATTGGTCAACTACAACCTAGTGACTAGTTAATATCTAGGAAGATATTAAACTTTATCGATAATTATGAGCATAATTAAATGTAATTTAAATTTTGTTATACAGTAAAATTAATCATCAGATTTATCATTAATTTATTAAATATCCATAATTTAATCAATTGATTCATTTATATCATTTTGTTGTTTATAAGTAATTTGTTTTAGATTTAGCAATAAATAAATACCTAACTAAAAAATTTCCAATTGATGAAAACATAAAAAAAAAAATATAAATTTCATAGCTTGCGCCCCCTAAGAGAACTTTGTACTTTCTATTTGTTAGGGCAATCGGTATAGGCAACTTTTTGGAAAATTTAATTGTAATTAGATTCTAATTATTGATTCGATAATTAGGACTTTTTGTCGTTAGTTTATTTATTCTTTTGACACATAGCATCGTTGATTTATTATGAAATCAAAAGATGATAACATTTTGAAAACAATGACACATTATTTTTTTTAAATAATATGTTCATTAGTCAGATTGATAGTTAATATTAAAAAAGGTATTTTTAACTTTTCTAAAATACTTTTTCCTTTTTTTTTTAATGGACAAAAATATTTACATTGTTTCTAAAATCAATAAGAATACTTTTTCTGTGTGAATTATAGCCAATTTTTGTTTTGCTTTTCAGGTATGTCTAAATAAATTATTAAAGGCGTTTGAAAGACGTTTTTAATAAACACATTTTTATTTATTTATATTTATATAGGGATAAAAAATAAAACGGAATACGTTGTATTTTTTTTATAATGTAGCAAAAACATGTTTATAAACAAGAGCTATAATTATTCATAATCCATATAATAATCATTTAAATTATAACAAAAAAAAAAAGCACTTTGAAATACTTTATAATATCACAATGACAACACAACAAAATTTTGTAAAATCAAGAAGCTTATTTTTTATAAATTTTATAATATTTTCTATTAATATAATATAATAGGTATGAGTGGTTTTCTTGTATATTGTATACATTCCATTAGATTGATAATATTTAAAACATAAGGTACTATAATTAACATAAAAATTATAAATATAAATGTTAATTTATAACATACACCGTCGTAGAATCGAAAACTTTCAGAATACATGTTAATCTATACCTACTTTTGAAGTATTAAGGTTTAGTATTTTAAAATTAACAATAAATAGATATTATAATTCTGTAATACTTTCATATTTTACATTTATATTTTATATGTATGTGTATATATATATGTATGTATAATGTATATATTTATTTATACTTCTTTAACTTAATATATTTATAAAATAATGTAAAGATAAAAAAATAAGAAACCATTCAGTCAATACTTAACTATACATTTATATATATATTTAATAAATAATTGATTTATAAAACAAAAATAGAAATTGAAATGTACGTAGAAATATCAAGTATAATTTACCTAATTTAAAAATTATATAATAATAATTATAATGTTTTTGTAACATTATAAGATACTCCATTTTCACTGTTCATTATACACATTTAACAAAACTTAAATCACATTAAATAATAATATACACTCGAGTTAAATATGTTCACAAAGATAGTACTATTTTTCTATATTGGACAATTATTAAAGATTAAAATTAAAATTGACAAAAGTAAATTATGTTTATTATAAGTAGTTTCTATTCGACGGGTTCCAATTTATCGATATAACCCTGCTAGGCATAATATAATTCTCTTAGATACTTTCTCAACAATTTATTAATTATAATAAAATTTAGCAATTTATTGTGTTCAGAACAACTTTCACACGTTCGCTATTAGTTATAATAAGTAGTGTACAGCGTAGTAAACAGTGTACAGTGAAGTAACATTAACAAGAATACACAGCCACATACAAATTATGCCACGCAAAAACAAAATTAGAATAAATAGATTCTTAGACAAATAACATAATAAAGGTACCTATAGAAAAAAATACTAAAAACAATTTAAGTAGCTAAACAAAGAAAAAACAGTTTTAACAAAATTAAGGTACTAAATAAATAATAATAATAATAGTTCTACTAGTTAAATGTTTTTTTTAACTATATGGTGGCTTAAGTTCGATAAAAATTCAAATATTCTGGTTTATTTGTTTTACAAATCTTAGGTAAATTAAACTTTAATTCATTAAGTAGTTTCTACAATATAAATGGCACAGGGTAACTGTAATTTTGTCATGTTAATGTATAATATTTACGTTTTAAAACTATGGATCATACGACTCGGATTAGTCAATACATATATACAGATTGAGTTTTCATACGAACAATTTATTAACTAAATTGCACGTGTTCTACGAAGAACTGGACGTTATTTTCTTTAAAACTTGAGGGGCTAACTTACAAACCAAACATTTTACTAATAAGTAATAACAATTCTTGTTACGTTAATACCCTTTAAAATGAAATGTATTTCATACACAAAACCCTGAAACTTTGCCAACTTAACCGTGTGTCTTAAGGTCTCGTGTACATCTAGTATTATTATGTCCTGCGTTTGTTTTTGTTTAATGCGCGTCTTTGGGCATTTGCAGTTCTCGATTACAAAAGCATCATCGTTTTTTTTCTTCTTATTTTGATCGGTATTCGCTTACCTTGAGTAGATTATACCTTGTCATTGGACGATGTCGACGGTTCGCGATCGGACACGCCGATCCTCGTCAACTCTTTCAGAATTGGCAGCGGTCGCTTGGGCCATGTCTTTTTAGATTTCAAATCGTGCGCCTGTCTCTGTATTTTCTCCAGTTCCTTGATCATTGGATATATCCTCTGTTCGATCCATTCGGCAATGGTGTACTTGTCGTATATGCCCGCCAGAGATTCCTGCACCGGTCTGATCATCGACAACAGAGGCCGGTAAATACGCGAATAGTCAAACATCAGCTCGTCTACACGGAGTGGCGATGAAAATTGATGTTCCACGTTGTAATCGGTCATCCAACCTCGATTTTTTTTAGTGGCTGCAATGAAATCCGCGTAATCCGTTTCGATAGAGTGCAGCCTGTACGTTAATCTGTAATACAATTATGAAAATAAGAATTAGATATGCTCGAGCATGGTTGCCGTGCGTCTTGGACCCGGACCGGTAAATGATTGTAGTTAGTTTACCTAAAGAACTGATGTCCGGGGAACGAGCATCTTGAAAATTGGTCCCAAAGATGAGGATCGTTGTTTAAATTTAGGAAATCACCGTCATAATCATTGGAGCTGCCAAATACACCACAGTTGAGACCTTCGTTCAATTTCGTTTGCAGCGATTGGTTAATGTACCCGTGAGTGGTCGCCATTAAGTTTATCACCATTGACGGTACGGACGCCGGTAGAGTCTCGCACAGTACAGCGAAATGATCATACCTACAGCATAAACAAAATGTGAGTACAAAGCTAATTTTAAAATTTCTTTTACAAAGACCTGACGAGCCAGACATATAACACAATTTGTTTATGAAACGATAGTGAATAATAGTGGACATTACCTTTGCCACCCAGTTATGGCGATCCCTTTGAATCCGCCGGTAAATCTACTCTCTTCGTTGGACATCAATTGTAACCAGTTCAAGTTGTTTTCAAGATGTCTTTTGACGTTCGGAACGTATAGCGTTTCTCCAAACGCTCCTTTGAAAGCACTTGCCGTCCACGCGTACGGAAACACTGCCTGATACTTTTCCCAGACGTTCTGCATGACGAACCTATACACGTCTTCCGCATACACCCATATCTATCCAACATTATCATCCGGTTAGAATCAACAGTCTTACAGAAACAATATTAATGACAATTGGTTTACCATGGGTTCGACGAGGTTTCCTATGTTGTACATCTGCATCGAAGTCACCGGTAGATGCCTAAGCATGTCGTCCCAAATGATCGGTATAGTGTTCGGGTGCTTGGTGCGGACATACGTTGCCACTTGCTTAACATGCGAGAGGAACAAATTTTCCCTGGGTTTGGACCTGCACCTGTAGCATTCGCCCATGTGGAACACTTCGTCACAGCCGATATGCAGATATTTGATGTTGCCGTGGAGTTCCATGATCTGGGAAACAGTACAAACATTAATACCGTTGTAATGTAATTAAAAACCGTGGTTAAAAATTACTCGTGTATACCTGATCGATCATTTGCTCGATAAATGTTATCGATGCGTTGTACGACGGGCACAGCGCTTGCGGGGACTCCTGGACTTCTCTAAGGTGAGCGAAATCCGGTGTTTTCAACGCAAATTCCATATGGCCGAACGTCTGTATCAGCGGGATAACGTCCAGATTGTTCATTTCGGCCAATCGCAGTATTTCCTTGACTTCGGCCTTTTTGTACGCGTTTCCGGCCGCTAACGGCTCCAAGGCACCGCTCCAAGGGAACATGTCTTCCCATTCCAACAGCAGGCCGGTGCCGCCGAATTGTTTGATCAACGGAAACAATTTTTGGAGGTAGGGTATCTTCGGAGGGGCTCCTTTCAGGTCCAAGTGGACGAGTCTATGCGGGGGTACGTACGGTTGCGATTGCTGGGCCACGGTGTTCATCTGAGGCTGTTGGACGCTGATGCGCGCCTGCTGCTCTTCGACGAACTGCACGTCGTCGTTGATCTTCCTAATCGTCCCCGAAACCGGAGCTGGCCGAGGTGGCTCGACCGGTTCGAACTCAGACATGAGCAAAGAATTTTGGTGGGCCATTTCGTCGGAGGTGCTGTATTGCAGACAGAGTACCAAGAGCAATGCACTGCCCAACAGGCCGAGCATTACGAATCTGCGTCGCCTCAGTGGATTTGCTAACCAACCAGCGTAAGAGGTCAACGATTTTCTCCACTCGGCTCTGAAACACAAAAAAATGTTTGCCAATTATTACCTGAAGTCAGTGAAAACTCAAACGGTGTTAAACGCGCTGCAATTGACGTGTGGCGCATACTAAAATTAAATATGCCGCTTACGTCCAATTAGAGGCAGCCGCATTATTTTTTATTAACACTTAATTATTACAGACGAGGTTGCTGTAGTTAAACAGGAAATGCAATAAATCGATATAAAATGTGTAATATATTTATGATGCTACGTGTCACTAGTGTGGGAGTTTGTTGTTAAACGGACCAAGACTTAAAACCCCATTTGAAGAGTTATTGTATAGTTGCATTAAGCGTGCGGGCGTGCACATTATGTATGAATGGATAAGCCTATCCTTTTTATTGTTTGTCTGGCGTATAATTGTGTATACTTTGTATGTTAATCGATTGGTTTTTTTATAAGCATCGTAATTGAACAATGGAAGCAATGCTGCAATTCAAATGTACATGTTAGTAGTGTACAGGTAGCTCAGGACCAGTCAAATACCTTGATAAAAAATCTGTTACACTGGCATGACCTCTAGTAACCTTCGCCAAAAAAATTTTACTTAACGCCCATTTTGTTACATTTGATAATGTGTATCGGCTTTTAGTGATAAACTAAGTCGCTTCCGTCGGATAAAGTGTACTAGACTTGTCAGCAAATTGGAAATAATAATAATAAAACCGCTCATTTGTAAATGTTTTTTTAACCATACAAAATATTTATCTATATTGAACAAAAATAAGAATAACAACGTTTACTACACAGTTTTTTTTTTAATATTTAATTTCTGCTAAGCACAAACCTCTATTTTGGTTCTATAAACCGCGTTATGATCAATTTTAAGACCAATAACATTTTTTGAAACCGATACATGTGTATACAATCCAGCATAAATAACTCTAAGTTCAACTTCTTTTTAAATACATTTTTATAATTATTTTATTACTATCAAACTGTCGAATATGTTTAAAGCTGTGTCCATTAGACTTTTTATACGGCTATCCTACAATAGTATTTTATTTTACGACAAAATTCGACCAAATTCGATGGCCTCGATGTGAAATTGGCAATGTTTACCATATTATAAAAAGATGAATAGTGTACGACTTAAGGTTTTGCAAGTACACTTTTACCCTAGCTAATTCGTTTCCATTATTCCAAATACGCGCTATTTCCTATTAGCAATGTGCGCGTTAGGTATCCGCACCGATGTTGAAGGTTATACATGCCGCTTTAATCAATTTGACTGCCTACAATAGTAATATATTATTATTATTGTTCCACGCCAACCATTGGCGACCTCCCACCATCGGGGAGCGAATAACAATAAGGAGTTGTTAATTTAATTAACTCATCACGCCCGATACAATAGGACATACATACTTAAGTCTAAACGTTGCGTTGGTATCTGAAAATTAAAAAGGGAACCCCTTACGGTCTACATTCTACAGCGTCTTTTACTGTACGTCTTTGACAATGATGTGCATCCAAATTGTCAATCGTCTATCGAGGGTGTTGTTTCATTACCCGCCAACTTGATAATACATATTACAATTGGTGTGCTACGAAAGTCTGAACTATAAAAAAATCACAACCTCTCAATCTGTACAATTTTTTATTAAGAAAAATACTAAATAAGGGTAAATTACAATTTGATGAGGAAAATTCCCAGGTTGCCATGTGTGAATAAATCAAACAACAGGTATCAAAAAAATATTTTCATTTTAATATTAAACACAATTATTATTGGGTAACAACGTCATACAATTATAATAGACTGACGATCAACCTCGTATCCCTATACTAAAAAAACAATTGTTTGCACATTGTCTTTAGTTATAACAATTTGTATTATATTTTGTATCATCTACAGATTCGCATCGAAACGTTTTATTTGAGAATGATTTGATCCCAACAACCTAAGTAAATTGACAATATACAACAAAAATTAAAAAACATGCTGTATCTTCAATCTTAAATTTCTTTGGGGGCTTATATTCTAATTGCATGAATTTATTATAATTTTTTCTAGTATTAGTGGTAGTAATAATTGGATTATTAAGGGTAGATATATGCGCCGAGGAAACACGGTTATCAAGAAATTATAAAGGACTTAATTTTCGTTAAACTGTGGACATAATATATTTTATAATATGTTGAGTTAGTTTTATTTTTTTATATCAAACAAAAGCTTTAGGTTTGCCGTCAAATTATCTCATGCTGCCAAATTATGCTTTTTGCATAATGCTTAGTAGATACTTCATACTATACCGGTAAGCTGTTTGAATGAACAAAACGATCACTAAATCGAGGTGTATCTTAATTTACTTGGTAAATAATATTTCAACCGTTATTATTTACGTTTGACTGAGTATACTCAAATCTTACAGGCTGTTAAACTAAAAAAAAAACAACACTAAAATAACTGTTATTTTGGACTAAAAAAAAAGTATAATATTATCCAGGTTATGTTCCATTTGTTCTTCCAGTACCGGCTGATTGATAATAATAATATTGTTTTACAGTCGCACGGTTCAATAAAACTACGGAATATGTATCTATAAACTATAGATAAATGTATCGATCTTAATTGATAATCTGCTAACTCAAATATAAAACCATAATTATTGAATTAACCATTTTTCTATAGTAATTATCTATGTAGATTATTTATATTCTTTATAGAAAGGATTTTGAAAATAAGACGTGTTTAAACAAAAATATTCACACAAAGTTCCGTGACAAATATCAGTCAAGAAATCTTGAATATCATTTTACAACGTTATCACATGTCTGGAATTATTCATGATCTCCCGGAAACCATCTTTATGGCGGCTCTTCGTATTTACCATGTTTATGCAACGTCGGTGTAATTGCGTGCAAATAAAAAATAATAATTTGACCAAACCCATAATGTGAAATCTCGCTTCTCGTTGAATATATAATAATACCAATATAGTCACTAAATGTCATGTCAATAAATAATATTGTTGTGTTAGCAAGGTGCAAAAATTACATCAATCTTCACTATTATTCCTTAAGGCCAAATTGCACAATACCAGTGTTTATTTTTATAGCCTAAAATACTAACTGATATACGGTCAATACACTGTATAGTGTATACAGTATACTTTATACCAAACATAGCATTATACCAAAACTAAATAGGCATGTAATTAATTAATTTTGTGTATCTTTAGATATAAAAATAAATGTAGTATTTAATCCTCATAAGAAATTGAAATTTTAAAGACAAGAAATGAAAAAAATAAAACAGAATCAATAGTACAAGTGACAGTTTAATATATTATATTATAAGTTTTGACATACATCTTAATTGATTTTTCAAAATAAGTTATTATTTTCTAAGAATTGGCATGACGATAACATACAACATACCCTTGTATAAATATACTGTATTTTTTATGTCAAAAATTATGACTTTAAAATGTCACGTCAGACGATTCAAATAAAAACACTATCGGGCGGGACCTTATAGTAGAATATTATATTGATCGAACGGGTAATTGAAAACTTTTAACACATTCAGCGAAGTTGTACCTAAATTATTTATTATAATACCGAGTTTTCTTTCCAAGGCGTTGCCAATGAATAATAATTAGAGAAAACCCTGTCGGAGTATACGGTGGTCGGATAAAAGTGAAGTGTTTGCTAATAAATGATTGGATGATTTTTTATCCCTTTAGACAGGAAATACTGAGCGATAAATTAAAAGTACGGAAAGACAATGTTCGCACTTTTTTGTCGGTTTTGTGTCTTTGCGAGGTGTTCACAACTTTTATACATAATAGCTATAGTCTATATACACCTATGCATAACCAGTCCTACAATATTTACGGTAAACCACCCTATAAATAGTACAAGCATACGGCATACATGTTCGCCCTAAAAAAAAAAAATAATGAAATTACAATATAGAAAAGTCGAAGAGTTTTATGAAAATCACTCCTCACGTGATAGAATTATAACAAAATAGACGAGGAATGAGGAAAGGCTATCGAATGGCTAACTAGATCTTATTTTTCGAAGTAAGCAATTACTTATGTAGAAAAAGGCAAGGAATAAAATAATTATAAAACAAATATTTGCCTTTTGGTATGGGTTAGGTTTATACTTGAAGTTATTAAAGTACCTGTACGGAAAATCATAATTTTGTTGACGATATAATTTTTGTGCGTCACAGATGCGGCGGGACTCAAACAGAAAAACAAGACTAACAGTTTTCAAATTAAAAAATGTTCGTGTTCGTTTAGCAACGCGAATATTCAGACACCGTCGTCGTGTTTTGGATGTTATTTAACTTCAGGGTTTTTTTTTCGGACCGATGCCAAAACGAAAATGGCAAAGATATATCTGGCTCGTTAATCTCTCCTAGATGACGACGTGCAAACCGTGTAGGTACAATGCACATTGTTTTTTTTTTTTTTTTGTACGTTGTCACAAGTCATTGCGCGGGCAACGCTATCGGTAAAAAGTGATTATCAAACTTTGACCCCGAATTCAGTCGTTCCTAGAAGAATCGTATCTCCGTTGTGATGAGGCGAATTTTTTTCATTTCATGTGTTACCGCCGTCTAACGTGTACGTTACCGCCTAATCAAATATAATTACTATATAATATAATAGTACACGGTAAACACTAACGACATACAAAGTCATTGTCAACCGAGAAGTGAGAAAGTCGGTACCGGTTTTTCTTCGCTTTGAAATTTGCCCCTCCCCCAAAACCACAGCGACTTATTTATTATTATTATTTTTTTTTTTTATAACGAGTACTTATTACAATTTTTTTCATAATACGGTGTATTAAATATAACGTGCTATGCACAACAAATTTACCGCACGCAGTAGCACGATAATAATTACCTAGGATAGCCTGGTTGTTTTTCCGACCGAATTTAGCCACCTAGATAACGGTAAAATAGGTATACTCAAATCGTACCACAAAAATGATCTAAAACACAGCTGT